TTTCTATCCTATCTATGCTATGTATCCTATCTTTACTATCTATTTCGCCATATCTATCTTTCTCATTCTATCTATATACCTTTATTCATCTAATTCTATCTATATCAAACTAGGTTAATCTGCATCTATGTGTATCTATTTTGATCTATCTAGCAATCTATCTATCTATATCTATCTATCTCTATCTTTACCTCCATCTATCTAGCTATGACTATGTCTCTATGTCTATATGTCTCTATGTCGCAATGTCTCTTTGCCGATAGCTATCTATCGATCTATCTATCTTTCCATTGCGTATTGACCCATCTTTCCATCCATCAATTTCCTATCTGTCCACGCCATGCACACTCCACCCACCAGTCGCCACACTCCGCACGCCAGATGCAAACTCGACATTCCACATGCCTACCTCCGCACTCTACACGCTCCATTAGACTGCAAACTCTACACTTCACACTGCAAACTCCACACCTCACATTGTGCACGAAACGCCCAACGTTGCATTTCACATCCAGCATACTGAACACTACAAATGAAAACCATACACTGCAAACATTACAGTCCACGCCATGCACACTCCACCCACCAGTCGCCACACCCCGCACGCCAGATGCAAACTCGACATTCCACATGCCTACCTCCGCACTCTACACACTCCAGAATCACACACACACAGAGAAAAAGTGCAAGATGGCGCAAGGTTCCAAACAAGTATGGAGAAGTAGGCCAAGAATAAAAAGGAACATGCCAAGGTTAAGAAAGAGTAGGTCAAGGTCAGAAAAAAGTGATCCAAGGTCAAAAAAAAGGGATCCAAGGTCAAAAAAAAGAGGTAAGGTCAAAAAAAAGTGATCCAAGGTCAAAAAAAAGACTTGCCCTATATATATTATTATGTGTGTGTGATCATATGTATATTATATACATATATGATATAATTATATGTGTATGTACATATTTATTTATATACATATATATATATGTGTGTGTATGTATATGTTTGCCTATGAATAGTAAATATTATAAGCTAACTAACATTATTCTACTTATTGAATCAGGAATCCGCTGGACAGTAGATGGTATATGTGTAACATGTTTGAACACATGTTGAATCATTGCTTCATCCAAAGTACTGAATGATAATGATATTGGCTAATATGTTGGTGGTTAATAGGTAGAATGATGCAATAAGCTGGTGCCCAAGGCAGGAATGAGATTTACCAGAAAATTTTGCAAAAGTGTTGGAAGTGCTTGTGTCGGTAAAGAGTTGACGGGGAGGATGCAAGCTGCAGTTTCGATTGAAGACACAAAGTCTGGATTTCAGGTTAAACAGTTCTTTCTTCGCTGCAAAAGGCTGTGAAGATGTGCTGGCATGGCTGCATCACACCGAAATGGATGAAAGAGGGAGGGATCCAATTTTTTCTGGGGCTCCAAAATAGCTCTCCAAAAATCTGCAGCCTAGGAAACCATCGCAACCAATCAAGACTTGCTGATATATATATATATATATTCTGGTTCGAACCCCTTAAGACAAGCTACTTAGACCCTGAATTGATATTGATATGACGTACATCAATATATGCAGAACATTTGATTTTTGCCTGTAGTATTTGGATCTCATTGGTTTTGGTTTGTCCACCCGTTTCTTTGGGTTGTTTGAGGGTCTCAATTTTGCATCCCATGCATCAAGGTTGTTGTAGTATAACCCACGTGTAAATGGGTAACCATTGTTGAAAGTAGTAACTGGTTCATAACCTCCCCTAACTGGATAAGGACCCTGGTTGAAGATGGATCTTATCTAGATAACCCGTCAAATTTTGGATAATATACATTATATCTGCTTATTCTGAGATATAAGCCTCGTGAGTCCCATGCCAATATCAAACAGCCTACAAACCATGGTTTACTTGAAAAAGAACCACTTTTTTGGAACCATTCATTCGGGCAATCTTCAGCAACAACCTCCATGGCCAGGATAAGATCGCCTGCACAGCTGCCATCGCCAGTTGCGCCAACGGTCACCACTGGCGTGGCGCGCTGCGACTGCTGCGCGACATGCCCTTGGTGCACCTGGCAGAGCCAGACGTGTCCAGCTGCCTGGCCGTGGGTCATCTGGGACCTGGGGTGGCTCGAAAAATGGGAATTTCAGGATCCTAAAATAGAGATGCTGTAACATAGAAAGCCATAGTTAAGGGTGAATATCCGTTTAAATCGTTTAATTACAGAGGCCTTATACATGTTAGGTACCTCCAATAAATCGGTGCTTGAAATGGCCATTGAAAAACTGATGGGCTATGTCAGGGTATCCAAGATTGGCAATGATACGCTGACATGATTTGATGCTGCTGGCATCAATATGAACCATGTTGATACAGGATGGTGATAATGATCATGATGATGAGGATGAGAGCATTGATTGTTGCTGGTGGTGATGATGACGACGATGATGATGATGATGATGTTGAAGATGCGGATTACAGTATTATTTTGATGGAATTGAGGTTGATGACTAGTGACTAGAGTATAATCTTAGTAAACTTGAGTCTTGAGCATGGAAAATCATGGAAACCTAAGTGAACAGATTCCCCAGGGTCTAGGAAAGCCAGTAAATTCCGACAATCAACCATACCATATCATACCAAATGTCACCATTTGGAATGTGTGAACTGCGAATTTACATCAAAGAATCCGCGAACATCCGCAAACCATATATTGAATTATATTTTCATCATCCATCTACGACCACACTGGAATATTGGTTAGTAAGGGTGACTCTCCCCAATTGGCCTTAACTCATCTCAATTCAGGTTGGTAACAATGTCATTTTAAATCTAATCTATAACTGGGATATACTAGCTTATAATGTAAGGATATGTAAGGTAACTTCATCCCAGTTGTGGGTACCTTACCTCTAGACGTCTAGACGTCTCACTTCGGCGCTTCGCGACGCGTTGGGACCAAGGCTTCAGCAGCGCCTTGAGCGCCTGTCAGTTGGCCGGGCGGTGGCTGGAAGCCACAGAGCTGCTACAGCAGATGAGGTGTGCCGTTTTTTCGGGGATGTTTGGAGGTTAAATAATGATGGTTTACTGGGACTTCATGGGATCTATAGCAAATATCTATAGCAAATATCTATTAATACAGGATGGGGCCCCCAGTCGATAGCGTGAACCGTTGGTGAACATAAGTGGCTGAAAAAACCATGGTTTATGGTAGACATTTCACGAACTAGTTCATGGGGACTGTTTCATGGTTTGTAAACCAACTTATAACTGGGGGGCCCCATCCTGTGGAGGTGTTTTTTTTCCCATAGTTTTTTGTGGATGGGACTACAATACTGTAATATATATTATTAATATACTATAATGGGACTATAAGGGACTAATAATATATATATATGTGTGTGTGTGGTTAACAACATAATTTGGGCCTATGTAATAACTTGATATAAACTTGGATGTTTGTTCAACTTGACATAACTTGCATGTTTGAATGTTGATTTGTATTCGAAAGCCTCGTGAATCCTCTGTGTTGATGTTGTTGCTTGGTTCAAGGCTTCTTTGGTCCGTGAAAAAGGGCCCTTTTGTTGACGGTACCAAACATAAAAACGAACCAAACACCTACCCTCTGGTAATTTAACCATAGCTATGGAAAATGACAATTTTTTAATGGGTAAATCCACTATAAATGGCCATTTTCAATAGCTATGTTAGTTTGCCAGAGGGTAGGGGCCGAGTCATGGTAATCCATGAACGGGATAGATAGTCTCCGAGCAGCGCAAGCTCAGCCCTGCCATCTAATGAATCCCTGTGCCTCCACACTGCTGGTGTTGTCTGATTCATCCACGGCATGTTCCCGTTGAACCCAACCGAATCCTGTCATTTTCAGTGCTTCTGGATTCTGTATATTGAACATGAACCCAATTCAAGCAGTTATTGATATATATATATATGTATAATATGTTATGATGTTGCTCTAACACGTTTTCTTTAGGTTAAAACTTGTTGTTGTTTCATGGTTATTTGTTGTTATTTAACAGTTTTTTTTATTATTTGACAGTTTTTTTGTGATTTAGCAGTTGTTTTTTTGTTATTTAACGGTTATTTGTTTTGTTATTGTATGGTAGTTATTTTTGTTTCTTGAATGCGTTTTGATGTGGTTTTGAATGTTATAGAATAAATTTGAATGTGTGTGGTTGTTTGTTCGTGTTCGTGTTCTTGTTGTGGTTGTTGGTTGTTGATTGTTGGTTGTTGGTGTGTTGTTGGTGTGTTGGTGTTGGTGTTGTTGTTGTCGTCTTCATGGAGTTCCGATCCGGAGAGCCACCCAAAAGTCGGATTCGAGTCGGTTTCGGGTTTCGGGTTTCGGGTTTCGGGTTTCGTCGATTGAAACCAACTTTCGCTGTCGGTTTCGGGTTTCGGGTTTCGGGTTTCGAAGGTCCGGGTTTCGGGTTTCGGGTTTCGGGTTTCGTTGATTGAGCTGTCGGTTTCGGGTTTCGGGTTTCGGGTTTCGATCGGTCCTGGGGAAGGTAAGTCTTCAGAGTCGGTTTCGGGTTTCGGGTTTCGGGTTTTGGGTTTCGGGTTTCGATCGGTCCTGGGGAAGGTAAGTCTTCAGAGTCGGTTTCGGGTTTCGGGTTTCGGGTTTCGGGTTTCGGGTTTCGATCGGTCCTGGGGAAGTTAAGTCTTCAGAGTCGGTTTCGGGTTTCGGGTTTCGGGTTTCGATCGGTCCTGGGGAAGGTAAGTCTTCAGAGTCGGTTTCGGGTTTCGGGTTTCGGGTTTCGCTGGTCGAAACCAACTCTGCAGACCTCTCTCCGGATCACGTCTCTCTTCATGAATATAACATTTATTTGTGGCAACAAAATAAATATGAGATGGACTGTGTCCTGTGTAAACAAAATACTGTAAACCGCATTACTACCTAATTTTTTATTATTTGATGGCCGAGATTGCGGTTGTTTGACTAAGTGGGTGGTGATTGAAGAGTTCAAATCCAAGAAAGGAAACCAACTGTTCAATAGACACCAAAAGCTCATGGAGCAGGAAAAAAAACGATTAAATAACGAAACAAATTCGAATTTTTCGTTTTATATATATTTTTTTTTGTTATTTAATTGATTGTTTTTTCGTTCTTTGATGGATTTTTTGTTATTTAATGGAACACTTTTGGTCATTATTTAATGGAAAACCTTTTTGTTATTTAACGGAAAACTTTTTGTTATTTAACTGATTTTTTGCGTTATTTAATGGAAAACGTATTGTTATTTTGTGGATGCGTTTTTTGTTAGTTATGCATATCTGAGTCTGGACAACGTGTTTTTTTTGTGGATAGTTTTTTTTTTGTTTGACTTTCTAATGTGTGTTATGTGTTCATTGTTTTTCTTTCCTTAAAGTTTGTCAGTATATTCTGACAATTTTCTTATTGTATGTTTTTTGTTTCCGGTTTAGTTTTGACGTTCTGCGGTCCATCTTCAACTTCCATTAGTCTAACTGCAACTGATACAGAACTTAGTATGAGGTTTACTTAACGGTTTAACATTGTTGGTTCGAGAGTGCTAGTGCAAGCTAACTATTGACTGCTCTATTCACGGGAACATGTAACTATGTGACTTTCTGGCATTGTCTTGGGGTTTAAATTTAAGTAAGCAAACAGAGTTGAACAATGAACAAGAGTTGAGACAACACAGCAACTATAGAACAAACAATGAGAAACAACACCCAAAAATGACAGAACATAACCATAAAATAAACAAACAATAAACATACAATAACAAAACAAAACATAAAATAACAAAGCACAACACAAAATAACAAAACAAAACATAAAATAACAAAAGAACAATAAAATAAGTGTTAAATAACAACAAAATAACTGTCAAATAAAAAACTGTTAAATAGCAGAAAAGAACTGTTAAATAACAAAACAACAACTGTTAACTAACAAAAAAAAATAACGAAAAACATTTGTTAAATGACAAAAAATAACTGTTAAATAACAGAAAATAACTGTTAAATATAAACAATAACTGCTAGATAACAAAAAAAAACTGTTGAATAACAAAAACAAATATCTGTTAAATAACAAATTTTAATCAATAAAACAACCATCCAGATGCAGCCGGCAGAGCAGAGAAATATATTCTAAAGAACCTAGCCCAGAACCTGGTAGAGCCACATACTAAATAAATGTAAATAATAGGTATATAAGTATACATATACAAATATATGTGTGTGTGTATAGATTCGTTTTTTCTGTCAATTTATATGCATCCACTTCACCATACACCACTTTGTCACCCATCAGGTCGCTGGAAATGCCGGTGGACGGCATCCACCTGGGCTGCGTGGTGGGTGCCCTGCAGCTCTCGCAGGGCCCTTCCGCGGCGGCCGCATGGCTGCGCGGAAGCTTCGATGGCGGGACGCGGCCGACGCTGCCGGCCGTCGCCGTAGGAGGAGAGGTGGAAGGCAGGGAGGAAGTGACATCTGGTGATGGGTCAAAACCCTCTTACTTTCTCACTTTCGACTGTTGCATCCGCTCGGACGGAGACGGGTGCTCGTCCGAAACATGACACACCTACACAAAACGGCCAGCGTTGTGGAGGTAGTTCTGAAAAATCCCTTGCAATCTGACGGGCCGGCAACCATCGGCAACCCTTTTGCAAACTGCTTGATGGCTCAAAACCCTGGTGCAAATAATTACCCTAAGTAGACTAAAATAGCTGGTTAATGGACGGTTATTCCCCCCAAACATGTAAATATGTAATAATAGGTTTTGACCAATCCCCATCCAGAGGGATGCTTGGATGGGGGAAGGAGGGTGTGTATATCACAACCAACATATGCAAACATGTGGTTTACATGGAGTTTAATGAAATATATAATTGGAATAGAAGGTGATGAATGGCGATTTCGGAGATGCCAGGAATTAAATACTTGGGGAAGTGATTGATTTGTAATGTAGAACATGGGGAAGTGAGTATCAAAGAAGAGATATTAAGGCAATTATAGTTTAATTCATAATTCAAATGTTGAAACGATGTGGTAAGTTATGATGTGTTATTGAATGACTTGTCACCGGGTATCTGACCAAGATGTCCAAGTTGATTGGTCAAACCATGTCAAACCAGACTGCTGAATCGTCTCAACCTGGCGGCTTTCTGATCTAATGTGGTTACTGTAAAACAATGCCATAAACCATCCCCAAAATCACCATAAATGTGTGGTATAAACATGTATAAACCATCTTAAACATGGGCTGGTTGATGTGATTGTTTTACCCACACTAGTCAAGTCAAGATCACAAAAAGTTCTTTCGCATGAATTGGGTCTCCCACTTTTGACCAATTTCTTCACTGGTGCCTGGAGACATCCTTGTTGATGTTGAAGCACAGGCTGCAGCGTGCTTTCAGTATCTCCTGGCTTGCTGGTGCTGGACAAAGCCGCGGGGCTGGTGACGGAGCAGCTGTTGCTTGGCAACATGGACTGCTGCCGATTTTGACAGGCACATGTTGATACATTTTGCAGGAACAATCTCAAGATCCTATAGGAACAAATGAGAATATTTTCAACACCTATAAGTTATGATAAATCCATTGAAGATCATTGAAGTCCCAATTTGCTTTGTTTCATCCCTTTCCAGCAAGGCAAGCAGCGGTGGAACGTCACCTGGGCTGTGCCACCACCAGCGTCTCGCGCTTGGATCGACCGACCTCGGGAGTCCTGCCAGTGGTGTTGGGCCAGCGGATGGCCCAAAGCACCATGTGGTGCCTCGGGATGGAAAATCACCAGTGAAAAGATCCAAACATGGTGATTTCATATGGGAATATCGTGGGAAATGATGTGACATGGTGATTTTTTTTGGAATAAAATGTTTTTTTTAAATGGGAAATGATGCTATTTGGTGGTGGAGGGAGGCCTAGTTGGAGCTAGTTGGAGCTACGAATCGGGAGGTCTTTTTTCGGAGCTAGTTGGAGCTACGAATCGAGTGCATAGATATCCCAACAATTCAACTACGTGATGTCAATATTGTGATGGGATCTGGGTAAATGTTGAATATTAGTGGCTAATAGATATTTCCTTAGCCAAAATATCTATGTTGAATAGGAAATTGTGACCGCTGAGCTCACCTTTTTTAGTGGCGTTCATGGAATCCCCAGAGTGCACTGATCGGTCCGGGATGGTGTCAGTGGACCAACGCCCAAGGGTGCTTCTGAATCATAGAGGATTCGTGGCGATTCGAATGTTAAATCAGGTTGAATTATCCCAAAGACACCCGGAAATTTTGATGTTTTTTTGTGGGGTCATGTTGGGCTGGCCCTGCCAAGATCAGAGGTTCCAGTCACAATTTGCGGGGCGCCTGGTGGAAAAGGAATACCTTTGTCTTTGCGAAGCGGACTCCACGGTAGCTCGGCGCGGAATGCGCCGGTGCCGGCTTAAGACCCCAGGAAGTTGGTCGGTAGAGTCGCATGTTTCATGGTCAAATGAATGGGGCATCCCGAAGCTACCCTGGTCATGGTGGGACATGATAGAACTCTCGTATCATTACCACGAGGAGTATACTGTACCCTCCATTTCTGGCCAGACCCAGTGGCCCAGACCCTCCGGAAATCCAACATGGCAATGTTTGATGACCAGGGGGCATTTCAGATGTTTTTTTTAAAGGTGAATCAAGACCTAAACACAGGCCTGGTAACTATCTTAGCTTTTTCTTTTCACAGGACATCACAGGACTCCATGAAATCATCTTTACACAGCTGGTGTGGCTGTGGATTTGTTTTGTGACAAAATGGTCCCTTCGAGGAGCGGGTCCGAGAGTCCTTAAATGCAAGGTGCTTAAAGTCGCACTTCTGCTTCTAACATCTTCTAACCATGTTGCAGTGGAACTGTCAAAACAGGTGTTTTTTTCCGGAAAAGAGTGACATCCTTCCAGCGGCCCAGTGGCCATGGCCAGTTGGAACCCCAGCTGACGGAGCCCTAGGTCTCCGCCGTCGATGGACGGCAGATGATTTCGTCACCTCTAAGAGTCCTCAGCGAAGGATCCCTGTCCTTTCCGGCACGTTGGAGAGGAGAATTGTGTGACGAATCCCACTGGAATCTCCTTGTGGCGCTTGAATAGTTGTGTTATGTTGTGTTTTAGGATGTTTTAGGTGTATGTGTGTGTGCTGCAATGTTTATGAAAGAGAGAAACAACACCTTCATCCCCAACAAACCAGAAAGTTACTAAGTATATTCCTGTGGTGTCATGCACACAATATTAAATACAATTTCCTCACGGCAGGTCCTCCAAATCTTACGTGGATGAAGACAAGGGTCGCGAAGCTGTCACCTTCTACCAGGTGAGCCGGGACTGGTGTGATGTGTGATGGATGCCTACATATCTGAAGGATTTATAGCCGCCACCTAGGATTTCAGTATGTGATATACTTGTAATATGTCTCGGTCACCTTCGAGTTTTCGCAAGTATAGTAATGAATCATAATTAATCCCCCAAAAAAAGACGCAGAAGATTCATTCTACGACTATACTAAATGGCAGTATCCTAGAGAATCCTAAGGACTCACCTAACCCCTGGATTTACTTTCGATTCTCACAATTCCAGGGATCTGCGCAGCAGGTGCTGAAGACCTATGAAGCCCCGGGAGCGTCTTCAACGTTGCTCTTGGTGAAGGCCGAACCCAGAACCGGAAGAATCTCGGCGCGCAGCAACCCATCTTTCCGAACAGGGGGAGTTCACTGGTGATTTGAGGCTTTTCACGATGAATAGCGGTAATATCAAGTAACTTTGGGAATGATGAATTTTCCCTTCCTGATCTTTTGGACAATCAAAGACGGGTAATTAATGGAACATTTCCCTGATTTATAGTTTATTTTCCAGTAACAACCAATTTCCCTGCTGCAGATAGAGCTCACGCATTCCAAACATCGCATATGCATAGCTGTAAACCATGTGTCCCACTTGCAACTTGTCCTTTGGTAATCTAACTTCGGGAGCAAGGAGCCGCTGTTTCGAAATAGTTTGCATTCTAGATTTACCCTCTGGTTATTTAACATAGCCATGGAAAATGGCCCATTTATAGAAGTTTACCTATTAAAAATTGTGATTTTCCATGGCTATGTTAGTCATAACCAGATGGTATCCATGACAATTAGGTGGTTCCCCAGCCAGCTACGCTTGAAATGCAGGGCCGCTTGAAATACCTATTGTTGGTTAGAGGCCATAGCAAGGGTGACGACATTCTTCCGGATGACATATGATTGGTTTTGCTGGGAACAACCATGTTTTTTTCCCCATGAACTATGATGGTGTCCTCTACATGTTCCCTTACAACAATCCAATGGTGCTAAGGAATGCATCAAATCAGAGCTCATTTGGCCAGCATCGGCCTCCCCCTAGTGGGTGACTGATGCTTGGCAGATGTCTTGACTTGGAGTTCTCCAATTCAGTTGAAATCCAACTGGTGATAAAGCCACTGGTGAATGGTTGGTTTGAATATGTTCTAATATATGTCTTCATGGGGTCATCTTTTTGGACAACAAATTCAAGTCAGAGGTAGTTCATTGCAAACGTGTTGCAGGATGTTTCTTCGCAGAAGGCACCATATCACACTATCATGCTATTTTTTCCTTTGCAGGAGACAGGAATGGACCTGTCTGAAATAGGGTACCCCCAACCCCCCCATCGTTGCCATGATTTCCCTATGTTTCCTATGTGTTTGTCATATTGGCGCGTAGATCCGCGTGTTCAGACAGTCACCAGTCATACCAACTTGTTGAACCTTGTTGATGTGTCCCAATAGCCCCATAATATGCATAATATGCTTCCATGCAAATCCCATCAAATCCCAGTTCCTTTTTTTAATCGATTATCGCAGTCATACATCCCCCTAATACTATGTACACCATTATACACCGCCCCAGATTTTTTTAATAGGGGATGAAACCACTACCTTGGAACCTTCGGGTTGCGAGTACTGGAGATGGGATTAACCCGATGAAATCCAGCATTTTTCAGATGGCCCCAGCAAGGGCAGTATGGCCGACCAGCTGCATGGTGTCCACGATTGTTTCTCCACTGTCATCGCTTGAGGCGGGATGGAACGATTGTGTGCTTGCAATGAGTCCTCGCGATTTCTCGCGTGAGTCCTTGATATTCCGAAAAATATTTCTTCACGCGGCATATCAATCGCCTTCAATATTTTTTTTATTTATTTTCATCCTCTTTCCCTACGAACGAAGAAGGGATTATGTAAATTATAAATATCAATCCCTACAGGATGGGGCCCCCCAGTTATAAGTTGGTTTACAAACCATTATAATCCCCATTAACTAGTTCGTTATATCTACCATAAACCATGGTTTTTTCAGCCACTTATAAACCAACTTAGCTCGCTATCGACTGGGGGCCCCATCCTGTAGCCCTCTGACTTTGTCCAGTCACTTGGCAGCCCTGGCAGCTTCCCAGCGTTGCGCCGTAGGCTGTTGGGATGGGATCAGCAGCCTCTTGAAATCCATTCGCCACTGGCTCCCGAGCTCCAAGCAGCTCTGGAGCAGCTCGAGGCGCCGCGAGGCGCAAAAGGAGCGGTCGTGATGGTGGATGGTGATGAAAAATGGATGTTGAAGGGATGTTGATGGATGTGAATGTTGAAGGTTGACATGATGTTTTTCGATTTTTTTTTGGTGTGTGTGTGTTTTCATGATGTTTCATGGGTCTAGGTGCAACATTTAGCAGGATTGGGAGGCCTGTGTAGCAGCCATGGGCGAGGCTATTCTTGTTGGAAGGGGAGATGGTTGTTGAAAACTAGAGATGACAATTTGTGCCAACCACAGATGCAAAAAGGATTGAATAGAACTAAAAGTTATCAGATGGACATTCAGACACAGCCTTGCAAATGCGTGGCAGCGAGGCTGCGGCTGTCAGGGTCCAAGCTATTCACTTGCATCCACCTTCCCATGGCCTGTGTCTTAAATACATAAGCTGGTACATGCTGATATGGTGACCGCCACTGACTCAAACCAACAGATTAATTCAGATTATTGTTGTATATCTGTGGAGGGCCAGCTAGTTTGATACAGCTAGCCGTTAAAACAATGCTTTGCATCAGCAAATCTATAACCACATGTTTGCCAAATGATGTGAAGCTGTTTTGGACACTTTACCAAAAAGTCACTTTATTTCATACGTCGATCTTTCCAGTTGGAAAGTTCCTTAAAAATACCGAGCCACTGCCTAGTCTTCCCACGCCATGTTGCCATCCCATGGCGCTTGTTGCGGAGCCACCAGCGGTGGTACCGGCACCGCACCAGCAGCTGTACAGCTTGACGCGGTCGTCGGCATGGCAAGAGGTGCTGCAGATGTGGTGCCGCTTCCAAAACCGAGCAGTGGAAACGATGCTAGCGATGATGGTCATGGAGGCTGTTTGGTAAACCCCCAAAAAAGGTATAGAAAAGTCATGTTTCAACATTTTAGTATTGCGGCAAAGTAGGATGTTGGAATATGTTGGACATGTTACTGTTTTATTTTGGGGCTAGCGGCTACCGGCTAACTACTATAATATCCTACATATTTAAATGTGGGGGAGCCGGCTTGAGGGGTTAGTCATGGCTATGAATAGCAGTCTTATACAAAGTGGACATCCAAGTATAGGGCACTTTCCTTGGCCCCGACCCCTAACATGTTTATGGGATTAAAACCTGTTGAAGTTGTACCCATTGGTCAGTTGGCTATACTTCTGGCCATGTTGTACCTCTTTCTAGCTACTCAGACCCTCCAAGTACCCATAAAAATGGGTAAACATCCCAAACAAATATAATGTGGGTAAAACTAAAACAATGCCACAAACCATCACCCAGCCAGCACCATTTTTATAGGTGGGATTAGGTTACCATTGCCATTTTTATGGCTGGTAAAAATGTCATTGTTTAAATTTTACCCACACAAAAGTGGATATAATGAATATAATTTTCCAAATCTTCCAGGTGCTTGGAGGGTCTAGCTCGCAGTGGGCCCCAGGAATATTCGCATGTACAATTCCGTCTTAAGCGCCTGTGGCAAGTCGCAATGGCAACGGATTCAGTGTCTCGGCGCCTTTTTTGACCTGCCGGTTTTTTTATCTTCCCTCTGGTAAACATAGAAATAGCGATGGTTAAAATGGTCCATTACCTATTCTGGTTGGTGGTTTGGAACATGGCTTTTATATGCTTTTATGACTTTCCATATGTTGGGAATAATAACCCCAACTGACGAACTCATATTTGTCAGAGGGGTTGAAACCACCAACCAGTATTAAATCTGGTGATTTTCCAGTTTGCTATGTTAAATCACCGGAGGCTATACATTCTGGTTAACAGTTTGCTATGGTATACCATTTGGCAAATTAACATAGACCCCGAAAATTACCCGAAGTCCAGTGGAAACTCATCTTGGTCTATGAAAATTGACTGGTGGGTAGATGGGCCATTTACAATCATGTAATTCCATGTAATTCGATAATTTGCCGTTTTGAAAGCAAACATATATATATAACTTATATATAACTTATATAATCCTATATATATAAAACTTATATATATATAGTGATTTTCCATGGCAAAGTGTTAAATGACCAGAGGCTACCTTCCAGTCGGAAATTTAAGATGGAAATCGGTGGGAAATCTGGCCAGGCCAGCGTTCTCGGGTCCACCTATTTGTTGGAAACCAACAGAAGTTGTGAACATGATTTACCAGGTGGTTAAGCAATGGCCCATAGAAATAAATGGTTTACTAGCTTACCGTTCGCTATAAAATGGGTAGATCTTTCCATGCTATGTAACAGTCATAACCAGATGGTAACCAACCAAAACATGTGGTAAAATGTGGATATATAATGATATAGTAATGATAAAAATTACACATACAAACATAAAAGGCATGGATTCACGGGGTTTTAGTTTTTTGGACTATTCAATATTTATTGGAGGATTCCTTGATGGACGCTGTTCCGGAGGCTGCTGGAGTTATGAAGTCCACATGTTGATTGATTAAATCACAAGCTTTGAATTTGGGATGGATTGAACACTGCACCAAACTGGATCTAAGTCAGTGTCTGTTTGTTGTTTGTTTTGTTGTGTTGCTTTTGCATATTCGATTGGTTGAACATGGTTAGGGCACAAGACCCCCTATTTGCCACGAATTATTCATCACGTTCTTCAAACATTATGATCATCCCCAATGCTTACATATGTATCATTTAAATCGTGATCGTTCAAAACAACACTCAACAGATAGAGCATCGGCAAATCAAACGTTGGGTAAAGGCGGATCCTCAGCAAAAAAATCGTCGGGATTTATATGCCCCCAAAATATAAAGACCTCCATTCATGATGGTGGGATGACCACGAGCCCCTAAGAAAACCATGTAACTTAGGCGATCAGTTCCACTTATAAGAGGAACGCTAATTTAATCATAGTTGTACTTGTTTAAATTGGGTTATAGTTATAAGTCTTAAGTTATATCCCAATTTATTCCATGACGATTAGAGGTTGGTTTATAGCTCCAATAACTTGTAACTCCAATAACTATAGGGTTTATGGTAGATGTATCTATAGTTAGTCAATGGGATACATAAACCAACAAACATAACTGGGGGGGCACAACCCTGAATCATTAACAAACCATACTATAGTTGTTTATAGCGATTAGATGGGATTATATTAATTATATTATATTACCCTCTGGTAAACTAACATAGCTATTGAAAATTGTCATTTATAGATGGTTTACCTATTAAAGATGGTGATTTTCCATAGCTGTGTTAGTTTACCAGAGGGTATATCCCAACTTGTTCCAACTTCGCTCTCAGCGTAGGCTCCTCCTGTCATCGTCGCTGGATGCCACCACTGTCACCTACAACACCGCCCTATCGGCAGACAGTACCTGGCGCCAAGCGGCGGCATACGTCGGGAACGCGCAGGAGCTATGGCTGCAGGGCTGCAGGGCTGGAAGGCTGGGACAAGAATGGTAGGTAGAGAGGGTTTACAGCAGAAATATGAATGTCAATGGGATTAATTATGATCAATTATAATGATTAATGGGAAATTTATATTAATCTGGGGTAATAACGGAATAAGAATTGGGGTGATAGTGGGATATACCGATATACCGATATACTTAGGTGATTTTGACCCCTTCCCTGTACCTGGAATTGTCAGAATCCTGGGTTGCTCCACAGCACTGCTGCCACATTTATGGTCCCTCTGCCACACTGTCTACTGCCACGCTTCCAAGTCCTTGCTGCAACGCTGTCTGCCCTGCCATTGCCTGCCACGCTTCCAAGTGTTATCCATGGCAAGCTGGGAAATCTGCGACCTCAACGGAGGTTTTTTCGTTCGTTGGGACGATCATCCAACCCAATGGGGAATTGGACAGCAAGATGGGATTGATCACCCCCCAGCTGGGGATTTTGTTGGTCCTCCTAGCTCACATAACATAACCCATAGGAGCCATGGTGCTGCTATATGGTGTGCCATGGATCCCATCAATATACCCAGTCATGTTAGCATATATACCATATACATATGGATCCTATGGGTAAGATAAGATACCCAAGAATGGGAAGATGTTGGACCCCCCAGAAGCAACCGTGAAGTTGCAACAGACAGGTCAACTGAAAGACCCGGAAGCCGCCAGCCATTTGGAGATGATGTTATTCCTCTGTCCAGGAGAGGGGACTGCAGCTGGACATCATCACTTTGAACAGCTTGATCAGCAACAACACTGTGAAAGCTTGGTTGAAGGCTTTGGAACTCTTGGGCAGCGGAGTTGAGAGCAATCTGCAGATGCTAATCTTCATCATGTGCGTTTTTGGATGGTGTGGATGTTCATTGGCATTGGCATTTTTTTTTGAGTTGCCAATCGAAAGTCAAGAATGGTGAGAGGGGTACCCTAGATTCGAGTCTTGGGTCTTGATGGTTGTTTTATCAAAGTCTTTTGCCATATTTGATTCATTTTATTTGCTTTGGGGGCATGGATGGCTTGTCCGAAGTGACCAAATCAATAAAGATATACCGCTGTGAAGTAGCAGCACCCCGTACTGGAAACATCCGTCAAATTCCGTAAAGCCTTTGATGTTTGACATGGTTTTAGCCTCAGAATTGGTTGAACATACTTGAACTGATAATAATTAAACCCAGTAAACCCATAGATTTACGAGTTCCATTAGTAAGTAAACCATATTAAACCCAGAAAACCCATAGATTTCCCAGGGAACAGCCTACAGTTTCCCGTTCCATTTTCTCTCAACCCAGGAAAGATTTGATCACCTTTAACGTCACTATGAGGTGGTTGTTCAGCGGAGGGTTCGTCGGTGGGTTCCATTGGTTTTTCACAATGGGTTAGTCAAGCTATAAACCATTAGTGATGTGAATGGTGGATAACTGATTTCAGGAATTGTCAAGGTTTTTTTTTGGGGGGGGATCGTTTATGGATGATGTATTTTTCTTACCTAAAATTAAAATATAAATGAATGGGAGACCATCCTTGGTCTCATGCCAGGTGTGTGAATGATTGCAGTAATCGGATTAATTTCCGGGTTAACCAAGAAAGGTTAGTTATGACCCAAAAAGGGAAGATTTTTCAGATAGAAAGGTCCAACAATGAGGGGAACATAGCACCAACCTTAAACTTGTTCAGTTAATATGAGTTAATACTGGTTTTCCATGGTTTTCCCGTTTTCAACATTGGTTTTTCATGAGGAGATATCCGGATATCCCAATAGTTGGCCTTATTTAAGAGGTTTAGTAATTGTCCAATTCCCCCAACAACGCAACGTTGGATGTGGATTTTGTGGATCAGGGGCTGCCAGTGGTTCTGGGCTGAAGCATTGCTGGAAGATGCCAAGGAGAATCAGCTGCTGCCGGATCTTGTAACTGGGCGATCTGAATTCAGGAACATGGGAACTAGAAAAAGGGGTAAATGAATGTAAATGATGGGTAAATGTCCCATACGCATATACATATACACACACATATATATATATAGAGAGAGAGAGCATTTGTAGATATGTATAGCAGCTGATGATGTTCTACCATGCGCATCCACAATAATGGGACCCTCAAACAAAATGCGTGTGGAAGATGGTTGTAGCGAGACCTCGCCATTTTTTTGTTGTTTTTGCTGTTGATTGGGGGGGAATCACCCCCAAATGGCCTGAAATCTCTTTTGGATTTTCTTATAAACAATATCGCGATAATGATTTGGCTGGCTGTTTCAGTTTCATTCCAACCTCGTATATACAGTTCTCCCGAGGAAGCCAGGGTTACGTAGTCTAATCTATTTCAGGTATATAAGTTTGAAATCACATTCACTCTCTTCAACTTAAGTCATCAACCGCTTCTGGTAACATGTTTACGTCATATCAGAAAATTATAGAAAATTATGGTTCCATTGGTGGGAATAAATAATCCACATCTACCGCGGCTCCTCGGTTCAAACGTTGCCAGTGAGAGGTCTCTTATAACACGGCGATCTCTGCTTTGGAGGATGTTTCAAGGCAAAACCACTGGGGGGATGGAATCATCAAAGGATGGGATTGAATGTTTCATAGCCTGCCCTTAAAGGATGAACATTTGATTTTCTGCTAAACATTGGTATTGTAGGATTTTATGTCCTATCTTTTTGGTGGTTTCTATACATACAACGCGCATATGCGGGTTTCAACACGACAATACAAGTGAGCTTTGAGTAACAGTGAGGCTACCAATCGGTAAAATTGGCAATATGATCAACAAGAAGTCAGGACTGTTTTTTTCTAACAAACTTGGAGGTGACTACCCTCTGGTAATTTAACATAGCTATTGAAAATGGCCATTTATAGTGGATTTTCCCATTAAAAATGGTGATTGTCCATAGTTATGTTAAATTACCAGTGGGTACCAAGATAAAGAGGCAGCATCAAACTCAGATCACCCCGGCATCGAAGGTGGCGTGGAATTTTCGGCCTTCTGCAGGAGATGCAGCAGGTGATGTTGCGAGGCATGACCGCGGCCAGGGTCGAACGTTGTGCGTTTGTTTAGCGCGTTCGAGCTTGAAACTGGAAACTTCGCCAGGATTGGTCAATCAAAATGGGATAGCACTTGATGAAACGGCTGTGAGTATGGGGCCAAAATGTATTTCACTGTGAAGCCCTTGTTGTCTGCAGATTGCAAGGAACAAACCAGGAATTCGACCCGCCAACATGGATAACATTAGCAGGAAAAATGAAAAGATGCGGGCGGAAATTGACGGTTTGTTTGGCTTGTTTTGTAACTGCAATGCAACTTTGGGTGCCATTTGTAGTTCCAAACTTTCGGGCGAAAACAAAGTCGGATGGGCCGTTGCAACCTACCAGCAAGGTGATATTAGTAGCTGACAAAGGTCGACTAACCATAGTCATCTTCGGACAGAAGCAAGGCCACTCCTCTGACTGGGATTTTTCCAACTCACTGTCACAGTCACAACATTATAGTTGAGTCATGTTGCAATCAGCAATCTGCAATCGGTATATCCTTGGGTAATTTCACATAGCTATGGAAAATGCTGGTAGATTACCTATAATGTATTGACCAAATGATCAAATGTAATTTTCCAATTGCGTAATTAAAGGACCAGAGGGTACCGTACGCCGTACAGTCGCGTCTGGGTTAGTCGGTGCAGGCGACTCCATCACTCAGTTCATGCTGATGGGAGCACTCAACATTCCAAAGGAGGATGCTCGGTGTTGCTCAAGATCTTTAGAGCCATGGAAGTTTCAATGAAGTTCAGTACTGCACCACTCAACCATCTATACTCAATCGCTTCACAACCAGCCATCATTTACCAACGTTCATTTCCTACTGGTTGGTGGTTTGGAACATGTTTTATTTTTCCATACGTTGGAAATGTCATCATCCCAACTGACTTTCACTCCATCATTTTTCAGAGGGGTAGGGCGAAAAACCACCAACCAGATCACTATTATGACAAAAATCACTATGAGTCACTATCAATCACTATTAACCACCACTGATCACTATTAATCCCACTATTATGTCATCATTAATCACTATTAGTCACTATTAATCACTGTTCAATGACCAACCCCAGACGATGGCTTTCCGAAAACAGGATGAAAGCGGCACCTCGCAGCGCCTTTTTAACGAAATGGGGCCACGGGGCCATCGGGCCATGGGGTTTCGCGCGATGTTTAGAGCGGCGCGCCTGGGGCCTAGGGCTCAAAATAGCTAGTGAACAGGATATATGTAATATATCTATAATATATCTACATATATATATATATAACATCTATATAATTTCACAAAAATATTTCTAATATCCTATACTGTCCTATAATATCCCACTTAAATCTATGATTTGGATTCGCCTTTGCGAAGCTTTAAGCCCAGGGCTTCGGGGTAGTTCGCATTGAACACGGTCTATCCACCAAAGCCATCCTGCATTTATCCTTGATATCCTCCAGTGTTGTGTGCGTCCATGGGTTCAAATATCCATTTTGGGTCGCCGTAACTGTATTATTACCATTATTTTTGGTTACATCGCCTTTCTCATGGGCTGTATTCGCGTTGTTACTGGTCAAAATCTCACTTTGTGTCGGTCAAACCGTCATTTGTGTATTTGGCATTCATGTTTGACTGGTTTTCTCCCCCTTGGTTGTCAGCAAATCAATGCTTGCGTGGCTTAATACATCTCAATACATACAAGTTAAAATCCTCAATTTTGATTTGTTCTGACTCTTTTTTTTGCTGCTGAATATATCCACAATTGCTTGTTGAAACCCCAATCGTTCTTGAACTCCGAATTTCCCATTGATAAAGTCCACAAACTATAAGGTGATTACATCACGAAAGATTCCCATTTGTAAAATCCACACTATTTGTGACATTTGTGAAAATCACACCTTTTCTCAGTAAAATCCACATCTTCCTGCATCAAACACCGGGTGTTTCATGGTCCCAGGTGGCCTCGTTGCCTCTCCTCGTTGCGGTGTTTTCGCGTCGCAAAAACTCCGCCGCTGGCGAATCGTGCCCTGGCGGCCTTGACGGCCGGCAAAGCCGGATGGGAAGAGGCGCTGCTTTTGACGGCGGAGATGGAGGGATGCTGAGCTGCGATAAGCTGCGATATGCGATGGGTGGCCCATGTTGCCATAGGGAATGTCAACGTTATGTCAACTGTCAACGGATATTTTTTTTTGGAAGGTAGGAATGTAATTTTTGATTTCTTTCTGGAGGGTATATCCGAATATCCGGTTGATTTTTTGAAGATGTCTTGAAAAATGGTTGCATTGAGAATGTGATGATCAGCAACATTAGGACAAGATTGAAAACATAGTCAACTCAAAATGGGAGAGGTAGGTTTTAACACAGATGTTGAGATAAATCATTGTGCCTTGGTTTTGTTGGATCATTAGAGGAGGAACTGGGATATATAACGAAGCCGTGTGTTTTTTATTTTTATTTTAGTATGGATTATATATATATACAAACCATTCAGCATCTAGAAGTTTGGATTTGCGGGAATGTTTTTGAAAGAACATCTGAACATTGATACATTGGTTCATTGGATGGCCAAATATGCAGCTTGGGCATGTCCAAGTCATCGGAATTGTTGCACCTAAAATTCGGAAGGGGTTTATTTACTATAGGATGTTGTATCATGAAATGGCAAGATTATTGGACTGTTAGAGGCGGAACTGAGCCAGCCAGCAGCCAGAAGTTTGGATGGATTTGTTGCATATTTTACGAGGACTACAACGCGTTCAGAAACCAGAAGTTTTGATGTGTGGGACTGCTTTACCTAGAAATATGTCTCAAAATCAAGAACCCTTACTATATCTCATTGCACACTTAGATGCTAAATCAATCAGATCTAGTCTTGACACAACATATGACACATCTTGGCTCATTGGCCCTGCATTCCGCCCTCCCATCGCCCAAAAGGAAGTGCCATGGAGCTGGATGTGGTGACCTGCAACTCGTTGATCAAGGCCTACAACTCGTGGCACGCCTGGCCCGCCACGCTGCAGACGCTCTCGGAGATGTCGATGCGCAACCTGCGGTGTGATCTGGTGCCCCGGGCTTGAAGATCTTGGGAAAATCACCATGTTGGATGCTGAAAACATGTGAAAACCTCTGGGATTTATGGGACCATAGTTGGGATTGCCATCACTACGAGCGATTTTATGATGTTTAGGAATGTTTTGGGGGTTGTACCATGTTGTACCCACGATCATCAAAAACGGTTTATCACCGTTTTTGGGAGCTAATGAAATTGATTTGTTGCAATTTTGCTTAAGCCGGGGCATGGGTCGGGGCAAACCAATCCCCCCAAAGATCACCTGTCTAGATTAGACAACGAGATGAACAGATTTATAATTGACCCCGTGGAATCATCACACTTGTATGCCATGTTTTTTTTGATATGAACACATGACGTGGCAGCGGAAGAGAAAGCTGCAGGACGACCCAGAACCCACTGATAGCGATCTATTGAGTAGTGAGATCTCCCACCACAAACAGCAGCAATACTCAATGTTTATTGGATAACAATAGATTCTAATAATAGCTAGATGTAGCTAGCTATTGAGTAACTAACATACCTATAGTTGCTGCAAATATATTTACTCTCTAGTAATATAATACATGTTTATTAGTGCTATATAGCGATATATTTACGCATGTACTATCTATCATATACTATGACTGTGAGCTGATCACTATAGCTACTATATTCTAGTTGTAGGTAACATATATATACATAACATATACATATAACATATATACATATATATAACATATATATATATATAACATATATACATATATATAACATATATATATATATGACATATATACATAAATATATATATAACATATATATATATATATGAAATTATATATATATGTATGCACCTGTAGTGATTACCCGGACAACAGGTCACCTACAACGAGTTGTTGACGCAACGCTGGGCTTTGGCGGGCTGGAGCTTCGCTGAGCTTCAGCGCTGGCAACTGGAGAGCGCGGCTCGCTGTGCGAAGAAATATGGGTTTAGTATGATTCAGTGAGATATCAGTGGGAAATGACCTATCCCTTAAAAAAAATATTCCATAGTGGGAATATAAATAAATATAAATATTAAATATCAATATAAATGTAAATATTATGTGAATATTAAATTATTATTAAATGTATTATGTATTTAATATCAAGGGCTATATAACCAACTATATCCCACTGAATTATTGAATATATAATTTAAGTAGTGTGTGTGTGTACACCGTTATAACAAACGGTTTTAGTTCTTGTCATCGATCTTGTACTATTCAAAACAGCAGGGGGCAGAGATACCTATGTCACTTTCTCTGCCAACGAAGCTGGGTGACATGTGGTAAGGATATAGATCAGGGACGCCTGATCTACGTACCTGCTATGGTTTTCAACTGTTGACTTTCTGTTCCTGTTTATGAGCTGTGCGTTGTTTCTTCACTCGTGACTCGGTATCCGCTGACATCATACTGCCAGGCAACTCAGGAAATCAGGCGAAGACTATGCCATCATTTACACTCTTTACTGGTCAATATCCAACAGTGTGTATTGGGTGTTTGACCTGAATTGGTCGCACCGTCGGTTGGTTTCGGCCAATCAAAAAGTCATGAGCGGGCATTTTCCCGTATTCCGAGTGGAGTATGAATCTCCGAAGCCGTATGCACTTCGAGTGCATTTCAAGTGTCCTAAGACGGAGTCAAGATTTTACTCTGTAAAATCCAAATCGAAGCAGCCATAAGGCGAAGTAGCCATAAGGCAGAAGTCCTCGTCCAGTTTGGACAAAGCAGACATAAGTCGAAGTTCCCAGCACCACGGGTGCAATTCAAGTGCTTTTTGGTCTGGTCAGAGTCTCACTTGTCATCGTCATCAGGTTCTTTTTAGGCTATGTATTCATTCTCTTAGGCAGGCTTCTTAGGTTTGTTTTACTAGGTATAGTACATGGTTCAACGTTTTGTTCTCACATCACTCGTCATCGTCATCAGGTTCTTTTGAGGCCATGTATTCATTCTTTTAGGCAGGCTCCTTAGGTCAATTTTACTAGGCATAGAACATGGTTCAGTGTTTTATTTCTCACTTCACTCTTCATCGTCATCAGGTTCTTTTAGGCCATGTATTCACTCTCTTAGGCAGGCTCCTTAGGTTATATTACTATATAGCCAACGGTTTAGTTTTGATAAATCAATCATGTTTTGATAAAGCAGGGAATTTTGTTCTACAGATTGAGCTGAAACTTGTCGGAACCTTTTCGATCAAGAGCTCAGCAACAACTCAAGCTCATTTTGCAGTTCCGGAACTCAGAATTTCCACTTGCCAATGTACCTGTGCGGTTTTTGTTTTTCACATCACTCGTCATCGTCATCAGGTTCTTTTAGGCCAGGTATTCATTCTCTCAGGCAGGCTCTTTAGGTCTGTTTTCTTAGGTAAAAACTAGGTGGTTTGCGGTTTTGCCCCATTTCGGGGCTAATGTGTGTGTGTACACCGTTATAACAAACGGTTTTAGTTCTTGTCATCGATCTTGTACTATTCAAAACAGCAGGGGGCAGAGATACCTATGTCACTTTCTCTGCCAACGAAGCTGGGTGACATGTGGTAAGGATATAGATCAGGGACGCCTGATCTACGTACCTGCTATGGTTTTCAACTGTTGACTTTCTGTTCCTGTTTATGAGCTGTGCGTTGTTTCTTCACTCGTGACTCGGTATCCGCTGACATCATACTGCCAGGCAACTCAGGAAATCAGGCGAAGACTATGCCATCATTTACACTCTTTACTGGTCAATATCCAACAGTGTGTGAAAATTGCTTTCTAACAGATTTTTATCCGCCTGTATCCAGTCATCCAGTCATTTTGCATATCCCAGCGGCCGAATGCAGCATCTAATGGGTTTATGGCTGGGAATCATCTTAAACACTGGTCACACACTCATGAGACTCAGGTCCTTGAAATAGTGTATCTAAGCTGGCTTGGTCATTTTCATCCCAGGATGACGAAGTTTTTGCCGATTGAAACCTTTGTTGGTGAAACCGGTGGAGGTTTAAGCAGGTCAGAGTGCTTAACCGGTCGTCAAATTTCGCACCACTGGTTGGAGTCCATTGGACTCTTCACCACTTCGAACTCCATTGTGAAAACACAGCAAATGAGTGGGGGAAAAGGATTGACATGATTTTCATGTGATATTGTGGCACCCGCATGTCAAGACAAAACATGTGTTACTTGGAAAGTGGTTGATGTTGATTTGGAGGATACCGAGTTGAAGTGTCGCTTGGAAATTGAACTTGGAACTCCAAAATAGTTCATTACCCATAGGATCCATGTATGCTATATATGGTAACATTTACCATCAATATACCCCAAATGTTGGCATATACACACCGTACATGGATCCTATGGGTTATTGTCAAAACCAAAAAAAATGGTTTTACGGCGGTATCATGCCAAACATCCCCCACGTTGAGACGACCCCCGGTGATGTAGAACATTAATCACCTACTACCGGTATTTTGTTTTTTTTACAGCACCCAGAAAAAATGGTGATGACTTGGGGGTGGTTTATGGCATCGGGTTTACTACATTAATATGCAGTGAAAAACCATGAAAAACCAAATATCCGTGAAAAAATCCATCACTTTTTGTTTCATTACATGAAAGTGGGTTGTTTATTGTTGTTTATCCATCATTTACCCATCATAAATTCACATTTACCAGTGGATTCCGGTTTAGTCCCGGTCTGATTTTTCTCAGGATCTCATCCTGTTCAACGCTGCCATCTCCAGCAGCAACCGCTGGGACGCTGCTATCAGTGTTTTTCAAGAGCTGCGGATGGAGAAATTCGAGGCGGACCGTGGTCCATGGATGTCCATGGTACAGAGGCACTGTGTGTTTTCGGATTTTATTTATGCGTAGATATAGTATACAATAGTATCACTAAACCTGCTTGCTGGAGGGGGTACCCCTCCCGGCCCTGTAAAGGGTGGTGATATGATAGTAACACCAGGTAACACCTATTAAAAAGAATTAAAGAGATAGAAGAGCCTGGTGTGATCCAAATATCATTATATTTGTAACACCTATAGGACTAGTAACACCAAGTAACGCCCAAAAAGATGGAAAAAGTGATTTGCCAGTACTTTTGCAGCTTTGACCAACTCTTTTTACTCCGGGATGCTATAATCAACTGATGAATTGACATGTATTTTTCAAGCAAAAACTTGGATTTAAACAGCAACATGATGATATCATCACGAGACAGGATGTCACCAATAAAATTCGGTGCGGGTCAAGATTTTTTAAGCATCAAAAAAAGTTATCTGATCATTTCAGATCATTTCTGCTAGGCATTCATCCAATTTACGGGAAGCCAATTTTAACCCATAGCTCTTGGTTACTTCCCCACAAAAATCAAAGATGGCCGATGGAAATCCGGATCACAGCTGTTTGTTAAGCCCCCACATTTGGACCACGACTGACCCAAACTCATTTACGATCGATGGGTTAAATGTTTCGTGTTGATGTCACGTCATGTATAGAAAGGGTCTATCTCTATATATATATATATATATGGGTTTTCCCACTCTATATGCATGTGTTTCATGTTCAGGGTCTATATATGTTTAAGTGCCACATTGTTTTTTTATGTCTCTCGTTTTTGTCCACGTTTGATTGCTTTGTCCACATCCGGATGTTGTTTTGCTGGCTAAATTCCTATGATTTTCTAGGGCAAATGTTGGTAAATATTCCAGCACCATGGAGCATATGGGGTATACATCCAGATCATTTCCCACGCAAATCAGCAGTTGTCTTCGGTAACCTTTTGTTGATTTACTGGTAGCTAATCCCATCCCCCTAATATTCAACACACCCTAAATGGGTCTCATGATGTGTAAATTCCCTTCTAAAGCAGGGTTTCTGAGGGATGTTTAATATAAGGGGAACGGGATTAATTGATCATCATTTCATCAATCATCCCATTAATCAGTTATACTACTTTTAATCTATTAATCACTGTTAATAACTATCAATCACTATCAGTGACTATTATTCACTACATTCATCAAATGTTTTCACTATTTTCCTCACTATTGTAACCACATTTTTCTTACCCTCTGGTTATTTAACATAGCCATGGAACATGGCCTATAGAAATAGATGGTTTTCCTAGCTATAAAATGGGTGGATCTTTCCATGACTATGTTAAATAACCAGATGGTACATCTAGATCTGCCTTGGGTGCCAGGCTGATCGCATCAGCTACAACTCCGTGACGGGGAAAATGACATCGTGGCAGCTGCTTGGGCCAAAGCTGGCAGATCGAATGGTGAATTTACGAAGAATTATGGTGATTAATAATGATTAATAGTGGCCAAAGTTGATTGATAGTGAGCCAATAGTGATTATTAGTGAGCTAATAGTGATTAATAGTGGCCAAAGTTGAGTAATAGTGAGCCAATAGTGACTAATAGTGTTTGGTAGTAACTAATTAATAGTAATATTAATGATTAATGGGATGATTAATGGAATGGTGTTATTCATCTCTTCCCCGTAACCACCAAACCATTCCGCAGAAGGCCTGGGATGGCTCCCGACTTGACATGCCCAACGAAGCCGCATGTACATGGCAAGCGCCAAAGAAAAACACTGGAAGTCCCCGATCGTTTGTGCCTTTGTTTTTCCATTTTACGTATCTACTGATTTGTTAGTGCTTTCACTCATTCAAATGATCCCAGCAATAAGACAATATAGGGTTCCCCAAAGATGGACATGACAAAATATAGTGATAGAAAGTATACGGACAATATTTACCTCACACTTTCCGGACATCAAACCTATCAAAATATGTTGTTGTGTTGCGTATGTCCAAAGGGGGTCCCTCATTTGACAATTCAAATGGGGAAGGGCGTATTTTCTATACCAGGTTTTGGGGGATCCTGTGTCCCCTTTTTGTTGGACAAACTCGTTTCTTATTAGTGCTGCTTGTATCCCCATTCTATTCCCACTGTATCTCCATTATTGCATTGTGGGATCCATTCAATGAATTCTATATATATATTATATAATTATTCCCCATGTCGTGTTTTCCCGTGTTTTTTGACTTTTTTTGGACATGCAATATGAGAGATGTGAGGCAGCCATGACCATGCCTCAGGCACGCCATGGCCTTCCAAGCGCGTTCTGGCATTGACAGCTGCAATAGTATGCTGAGTGCCTATGTCACTGGTCATTGTAGGTGGCTGCCCAAAAAGTGGTGGGGTAAATTTGGGGATGTACATACACCTTTGGGTTTTAGTGAGTAACTAAAGTGGGTAGAAACTAGAACCTAGGAACTGGATCCTTGGTCTGGGTTTGAAACTAGACTCAGAAACGGCAGGGGATCCTCTAGTTTTGGTATCCTTTAAACAAAAAGACAAACAAAAACATTCAAATCTGCTGGGTCCCCAAAACAATCATCAAGTGTAAACCGAGTCTGCGAAAGCATAGAACTGGTACCGCGAAGGGGTGGATAGGTTGAATATCTTCAAAATCCACACAAACCAACTTTGCAGGGAATTCTGTTGGTTATCTGACATGTATATATCTTAGTTTTTTGGATGGTCCCCCTAGGTAAAATGGTCCAATCTACCTGCCACGGCTTCCCTAAGGAACGGGAAAGCGAATGGCACAGAGCCTTTCATCTCTTAGCGCAACAAGATGTCCAGCGGGCGGCTGCAGATGTCGTTTCCTGCAATACGGTCATGAGCCCACTGTGCTGTGCATTCGGAAGCCGTTTTTTTTGAGACTACCATCTGGTTATTTAACATAGCCATGGAAAATCCCTTATAAATGGAGGTTTTAATGGGAAAATCATCCAGAAATGGACCACTTTCCATGGCTATGTTAAATAACCAGATGGTAAATGAAGTTGTATGGGTTAAAGGCAAGTGGTTTGAAGTTTCGATGGGTTGCTGGCGCGGCAAGGTGTTTTTTTGGTGCAGCCATTCGGCCACTCTGCCTTCTTTGGGCGTTCAAATAGGAAATCATCGAAGTACCACCGGGGTGAATTTTCCAGCCAGCCACGTTTAGAACAAATCATTTCATATATGTTTACCATTGTTTCCCATATTTTTAGTTGGTGAAATCGCCATGAATCATTCAAAATCCCTTGCTGTTTGTTGATCTTTCGCCATGGGCCGCCCAGGTGCCTGTGAGAAGTCTCAGCACTGGGCCCTTTGCTTCACCATCTTCGAGACGAGGGAGTCGGATGTGGCGCCTCGAAGCCCTGGGCCATTGGGGAGTCGTTGGCTGGGTACCCAGCAGGAAAGCTTCATACAAAACATGAGGGAAACTACAACATGCACATCTATATAAAACATCAAAAAATGCCAAATATCTGGAATACTATGTGGATATATATATATATCTATATATATATATCATGTGACTTTTTTTTCATGAACATCACTACAACCATATAATCATATGTAGTCAATCTACTTGGTTTGATGGTGGTTTCATACGTTTTAGTCTCCCATGATCCTCGTTGAACATTTTTTTCTGGGATTGGTTTCAACTTTGGCGTTCCGAAATGGATTGGTAGTTTGGAAACAGAAAACATGTAAGGATTGTAAGGGGCGACTGTTGTTGGGTGATCATGTTGGAAACAGTTGTGGACTCACAACCAGGGTTAACTCTGAAAACAAGGAGTCAGCCGGATGGTGTTCAGTACAATACACTGATGGGTGGTTTGGAACATGTTTTATGACTTTCCATAATATATTGGGATGTCATCCCTCCCATTGACGAACTCCATCATTTTTCAAGATGGGCACATTGCACCACCAAGCAGATACTCACCTCGAGACGTTGGAAGGTCCTGGTAGGTTGAACGGGCTTTCAGCGAACTGTGATGATGGGGCCCTGGGGTGAATGATTCTAATCCGGCCAGAATAGTCATCCCATCCCCCCAATAGTAAACACACCTTAAAACACCATGGTTTAGTAGGGAAATGTTGGGAAAATTCACATAGTTTCAACCATTTCAGGGGTGTTTGCCCATCGACCTCAGGTGTCCTATGGGAGCATGATGAGTGCGTGTGAAGCCGCGGGAAGGTGGCAGGAGAGTTTGTAACTCGGAGAATCAGCGGATCAGTGAGTGATTTTACAGCAACCCCCAGCCCATTATGGGAACAAACAAATGGGAGATGTCTTAAAAAACATGGGGAAATATCATTGAAGTACCATTCTGGAAACGCTTCACACCATGTTGTGGGCGTTGCATTCTTTCAAAAATAATGAGATCTGCGGATTGGTACTGTATTTGGTTTTACTCATTACACCCAAAGATGGATGATTAGTTGCTTCGTTGTTTCCAACAATGACGTTTTGGTCAGTTGGGAAAGTTTTGAGCCATACTGTACCGATCTTTGGAGACATATCCTACGGGGGAAGGGTTGTGTTTTTCAGGTTTCTATTGGAGCAGCTGGACGGCTTGCGGTTTCAGAGCAATGTGCCTTGATGGCTTGGTGAACCACACCCGGTGTTACCTTGGAGTTCCGAAACTCAGATGTGTTCGTGGCCGGGTTGGCCGGGTTGGCCCTTGTTCAGCTTTCGGTTTCGGTTCCCAGACCATGTTCATCCATGTTCTATTTCCAATTTCCAGCCTTGGAGGGTCCCAAGTCCCAAGATTTGTATGAGGGTTTGAATCGAGCAGCCAGTGTTTTTTCGCACCACTTGATGCCTGATGATCCCTGGATATGACCATTGGTGCTGATGAGCCAGAAGGTTATAGCCCTGATTCATCATGCCTCGTCAGGGCACTGAATCCCAATTTCTGTTGATCAAGTTGTCTTGCACGCAGGACCCTCCACTGAAACCAACCTTGAACCGTCCAGATGGCTGTGGGAGAATGATCCCCATGGGCCCCAATCGAACAGACATGGCATGAGTTGGTTCATGCTATTTCATGCTGGTGTGTTTACATATTTTTACAAACATTGTTTCTTGTTGATTCATGCGTAGCAGCTTATGGCACTAAAAGTTGTGTTTCATGCCCAGCCTACCCCGTTACTTTCCATGCGCAAATGAGGTGGTCATTTGCAACTCTGCCATCAGCACTTGCGAAAAAGCCTCGTTGTGCCTTGGACATCTTAAGGACCGACCTTGGTATGGGAAGATCCACCGATCCCATGGAAACTCGGTGGAATCTGGTTGGTTTCAACGCCCGTTCAACCTAGGGCAAAGAAAAAAACATACACTACAGGATGGTAAACCATTATATAATTTTGATTAACTATAGTTATATCTACCATAAACCATTGTTAAACCACTTATAAACCAACTTAGCTATCTTGGGGGCCCCATCCTGTATTTGCAATTTGTTTTATTTAATTGAGGGCTCGGGGATATTGAAAACAATGCTCATGTCTCTTACTTTTAATCAATGGGGATTCTCTGGCTTTAGGGGCGAATGGTGTTTTTTTAGAAACTGATTTGCAACTTGCACTACGTGCCCAATTTTCCCAGATGTGCAAATGTTACATCACATCGGATCAGCCATGGTAAATTTCCTTGCAATATGCCCATGCTATGTCCATAATTATAGCTGGCTTTGTATACCCCTTTGGTTACAAATCTCGACCTTTGTTGGGTAACTCCCCATCAATCCCATCAATCCCATCATCATCCGATAAATCCTTCAAGTGGGACATGAACCCGTTACCATCCAAATCCAGTCATACATATCCCGATGATATCCCAACCATATATCAACCATATATCAACCATATATTCACCAATGCATGTCCTTATTTTCTTGGACACATCCCGTCTTTGGACACCCCCCCCTGTGGGTCAGATCAGTTGAGGTGGCAACATGCCTTGTCGCTCTGGGCCTCCTTTCCGATACGTCGTGTAGTTGCAGATGTGATCTCTTATAGCGCCATGGAGATTACTGTTGAGTTCTACTTGGGGGGTCAGTTGCTCAGTGAAAATGTGAGTAGAGCAACAGTCCACCACCCAAATTTACCACAAGGTGGTATAAACCATCAACATATGGGTGGTTTATTATTGCTTTACTCACATTAGTGGGAAATCACCGGAATATGACCTACATGGAACAGCTGTGCCCCAACCAAGTATAATTCGGCAATTAAACGATAGCCACTTTTGCACAAATGCCTCCTCTGGCCCTTTCCCGGTGTTGGTAGCAACCTTGCGGAGTATTTCCAAGTATGGAAGCATGATGAAACGTGGGTCCTGAATTTAAATCAGCAAATATGAACACACAACATATATTTAAATATGTTTATTGTTAAGTTATAACCGGCAGTAGCTGTCAGGTTGATACTGCCTTGGATGTAGGTCAATGTAGGCCCCCTTTCCAGCCCCAATGTCAGGCCCAGGGGCCTAAAAATGCCTATAGAAAAGGTCAAATGACCTCGGATGTTGCATCAGTGGATAGTGCCGATGATTAACTTGTAGCCGCAACATCCGTTTCTACCAGGGAGGAACCACTTTGGAAATTTGGAGGCAACTGGATGCTAAAGTAAACTTTGAGTTCACCGTGCAGCCAAAGTCACTATTCCACTGAAATGTGATAGTTGAAACCAATGACTGTATATATATATAATTATATATGTATTTTTTGTTTTTTGCTGATATGCCTTCCGGTACTCCAAAATTGTTGGCTGGAAAACATTCTTGTTACAGGATATAGTTTAGAAGTGTCGCGTTTGATTGCCAGAATGGTGGTTAGGATTGTTATTCACAGTAAAATGGTTATGACTGAGTTTGTATCCCATGACAACTCCAATCCCATCATAACACAGAAAAGGGGAAGATAGGTCACCACCAAAGAAGGGGAGATTACATGGCTGTGTCCGAGAATAGATACACGGTTAATCTATGGCCATTGTCATATTGAAGCATGTGAAAACTATGTTCTAAACTGTTGGCTTTTGGCGAAGTTCTCCTAAAATGCCCAGACACACCCATCTCATTCTGTTGGGTATGCCATATGATATGTCCATCCTATCCCCATGTTTTTTGGTTGGTCTTTATGTCCCACATTTTTGGACAACACCCCGTACAATATCAATATCATATTCTGCTACCATCTGGTTATTTAACATAGCCATGGTATAGATGGCCCATTTATAGATGGTTTACCTATTAGAAATGGTGATTTTCCATGGCTATGTTAGTCATAACCAGATGGTATATCATATCATATTACTGCGGGTAATAAGCCATAGTTGGCCGAGTTACAATCCAACAATTGCTATCTGGTGAGGCCATTCCGTAGTATCATTCCAGAAAGGTCTGATAATTTTACTTAGTTAAATCCACATCTTGTTTTTTCACATCGTGGAATATAGTCCATGAATATTCATATAGTCCTTACAATATCTAATTAGATAATTCAATGGATTGGTTTAAGGGAAAATCTGCAGGAAACCATGGTTTTTACCATTAGATATGGGGGTTTCCTGTAAATTTTCATGAATTTTCCCTTAAACCAATCCATTGAATAATATTCGCCCATATCCATGAATACCCATGAAAATCCATTGATATCCCATTCAAATTCCATCAATATCGATTGATATCCATGACTTATCCATTACTTCAATTATCCATTCATATTCCACTAAAACTATTCATTTACATTCCATTTGTATCATAAATATACCAATATGTAATATTCATCAATATCCGTTCATATCCCATTAATTATATCCATTAATATTCATGGATCTCCAGTATACTATTAATATTCATTCATATCCATGACCAATCCATTAATTATCCATTCATATCTCACCAATTATTCATTAATATTCCATGAGTGATAAAAGAATCCCAATATATATATATTAACATTCACCAATATCCATTCATATCCATATCCCACCAGTTATCCATCGATACTCATTAACATCAAACAACATATGAATAATCCAAAAAAACAACGTTTGCCATCGTCGACCCTGTTTTGGTGTGCCATCTTTGATGGGATCTCCATAATAGTCCAGTCATATCCAGCCAATGTTCCATTAATATTGATTAATATTCATTAATAGCCTATTCCAAACGAAACATGTCTACTTATCCATTCATAATATCCCATTAATTATTAATTATTCATCAATATTCTGGTTGGTGGTTTCATTAATATATGGGATGTCATCCTTTCCATTGACTTTCATATTTTTCAAGATGGTTAAAACCACCAGTCAATGGATTGGTTTAAGGGACAATTTTAACCGGAAACCCCCATAAATGGTAAAAACCATGCTTTCCGGTTAAGATTTTCCCCAACAAACCAATCCAATGACTTAGCCCTATATGATGATGGGAAAACCATGGTTTCCGGTTAAGATTTTCCCTTAAACCAATCCCAATCCATTGAACCAACCAGTTCCAGCCATATCCAGCACCAACGCGGTGTCCTCAGGTGCCACCAGCAGCGCCTGCGAAAAGTGCGGTCGCTGGGAGCTGGCGCTGCAGCTCTTCTCGGAGCTCAGCGCAGCGCAGCTGGAGGCGCCTCGCTTTTTCCGAAACGAAATGGACAGTTTCACCACGAAAAATGGGGATTTCACCAGAAAAAAAAACGGGAAAAACCTGGGGATTTCACTGATTTCACCATGTTTGAAGTTAGTTGGAGTTGAAGTCTATGTTAATTTCATGGACTTAGGGTTGATATTGGCTGTCCGTCAGCTTGGTTGAACTAACTGAGGGTGTTTAAAACTTTGCTATGGAGAATTGTCCTTTTATACTGGTTGGTGGTTTGGAACCATGGAATTTTATGACTTTCCATTCAGTTTGGGAATGTCATCATCCCAACTGACGAACTCCATCATTTTTGAGAGGGGTAGGGCTCAACCACCAACCAGTGTAGAATTACAGATTTTTTTTCAAACCATGGCGATGTTCTGTAGGTATCGTAAATTACTACAGAGGGTAGCAACTGGTTAGTGTTTATGAGCCATCCGTGGGATGATCTTCCACCCAGCAACCCTAGAATTCCTTCATTCCCAGAATGGATTTCACAAAACAATTTACATAACCCCCATATTTCATTGGATTCCTGTAAATGATTTTCTTGAATCAGTCCAGTGATTTTCGAAGGACCTACCTGTTTTTGCTGGTAGCACTCCGTCACTTTGGGGATTCGTTGGGCAGGATTTGAAAGGCTGAGAGATCACCAAAGTATCCACCCGCCTGACATTTGTTCGGGCAAAATCATCACAGTTGGTGCCCTAGGTTGGCAAGTTGAATCACACTATATCACACTATAAAAGGAGTACTCATTGGGTATTAACACTAACATCCTTTATGGGTATTATGGCTGCTTTAGGCTCATCCTCTTCTGGCTACCACCAACAGCTACAACAGCTACCCGCTTTGCTCAGGCGGACTCGATCCTTTTTGGCGCTTGCATCTCTGCTTGCGAAAAGGGCAGCCAGTGGCTCGCTGCCATCACTCTTCTGCGGAGCGCTGCGGACTGCACGACGCTTGGGTTCGGCGCGAGGATAGAACGATGGAATTGGGAAGGAACAAAAACACAGGAGGGCGTAGACAGTGTGGTGTCCTGCCATTTTGCTCGCTTGTGTCCTTCATGTTTAAGCGTGTTCTTGTCGTCATCATCGTCCTCATCATCATCACGCTCATCATCATGAGAATCATCTAAATGATCATCCATTTTACACTCACCATCTTTTTCACCATCCTTTTGATCACCATGATCATTAAATTGAACCTGTCACCTCACCCCAGCAGACCCAACCCAACCCCAGCGCCACTCCGCCCACTAGGGATGCAACGGACCTACCCAAGTCAGGCAATGTGGTTTGCCAAGGGTGTGTGTGTGTGTGATCCCTTGCATAGCCGAAAAAGAAATTCCCGATCATGAGCAAGATCCAACCAGAACATCCCTGCGTGCTTGATAGATGACTTTGCACACATTTTCTGATTCCCTTTTTGATTTGTAGTCCCTAAGGCCCTAAGTCTCAACTGCCTAATCTGCTGTTCAGATGCTTTGGTTCCATTCTGTTTTTTCGCACTAACCCAGAGATTCGCTGGAATTGTTTAGTCCTGGTGTTTCCACATGCCCACAGAACCTTGGCCACACCGAGGGCACTGCTCGTCCCTGAGGAATTTGGTCACATACAACGCAGCAATCAGCGCCTGTGAGAAGGGTATCTTGGATGGCCAGTTATCCTGGCTGGTCGCGGGCTTCCATAGACTATGATAGTCATGGGGGATCCCCCATTTATTCGCTGGTTTAGAGTGGAAAATCCCATTCAAATGGATGATGAAATGGGGTACCTCGCATTTCAGGAAACTTCATGAAACTTCCATATGAATCATTGTAGAAAACATTGTAGATACTGAAAAGATTCGTTCAGGGTTTAACCACATGTTTAACCCATTTAAACTCATATTCGAAGATATTCATTCTTCTGAAGATATCATATTCATATTCATTACATTGCTGAATATCTTTGAATATGAATAGTTTGACCATGGAAAACCCCGAGTCGCAACTCTGGATGGACTCAGAGAATCATTGCGTCCAACTCCCAGAAACGAAAGCACATGCGATGCCGGCGATGCCTAAGACTATCAATCAATAGCCTATCATACAGGATGGGCCCCCCCCGTTATAAGTTGGTTTACAAACCGTTATAATCCCCATTAACTATAGTTAATCTACCATAAACCATTGAAATCAGCCACTTATAAGCCAACTTAGCTAGCTATCTTGGGAGACACTAGCTGGTTGGTGGTTTGGAACATCAATTTTATGACTTTCCATAATATATATAATAATCCTTCCCATTGACTAATATTTTTCAAGATGGTTGAAACCACCAACCAGATAGTCTATTTTGTTGATAGTGTACATAAAATATTCGTTTTCCCATCAACCGGAGGGGCAACCTTTACAGATATAGTGAAAAGCATGGTTTCTGGTTGAGATTTCGCAAGAAAACCAATCCATTGAATCACAATTCTGCAGACTAGTACTGTACCCTATAATTATCCATTGTTCTCCCTTTTTCATTCCATTATATCCATAAACATCATAGTTATCTCATGTTATTTCACAACTTCCCAGTTTTTTTCGTATGTTTTGACTCCTCCCACCGCGGCTTCTCGTTTGAGGTCTTGCCTGGCGAAGTGCGCTGGCGCTCTTCGCTGAGCTCCAGGGGGAAGTTCAGGCGGATGTCATCAGCTACAACGTCACTGGGCGAAACTTGCAGGATGGGGTTGATCCCATGATAGTTACCCTCTGGTAATTTAACATAGCTATTGAACATGGCCATAGAAGTAATTAGTTGATTTACCCAGCTATAAAATGGTGATTTTCCATGGTTATGCTAGTTCAACAGAGGGTACTGTACTTGTACCATTTGGTAATTGAAAAATGGTGATTTAATGGTTATAGTAACATATAGTAACACCCTCGAGTCATTTGGGGATTGCCTAATTTTCATGCTGATTTCATGGGGTATTGAGGGGATATCACCATTTTGAATAGGACATGATTGAATTGAATGGGCCAATTGTTCCTGGTTATGTTGGATTATCAAAGGTCAGATTTGGAATCATATAGTTTTCGAAGTTTTCAATCCATGATGGACAACTATTTGTGTAAAACAATAATTCAGCTTCAAAACTATAGCAACTATTTCATTGATGACCCGCTTGGGTTGTTCGTTGGTACCCTCTGGACATCAAACATGGCAATGGAAAACCAACCATTTAGTTCGATGATTTTCCCATTAAAACTTCCATTTAGTTCAGGGATGTTCCGTGGCTACGTTTGATGGCACCGGAGGGTAATGATCGACGCCGATGCATGGGGTACTACAAAGGTAGATTGATCTAGACCAGTGATGTTTAAAATAATGCTCAAGAGAATTCTTCGCATCATAGGTATTTATAGTAGACTTTGCTATACTAAAAATCACTGGTTTTCATGGCTGGTAAATCTACAGTCGTTCCCACAGAAGTAGAATGCGATAGCAGTATTTGATCATTTTTCTGGCCGAGTGAATTGAAGGTCGGCTGTGGGATGGTAATTATCGAACGAACAATGGGCCATCGAAAGTCCAGTTCACAATTCATAGCAGTGAAATGACCGGAATTTTCCAGCGGGATCCAGAGGCTATAATACACGCACACACACACACATATATATATATATATACACACTTATATATATATATATATATTATATATATATCTATATATATATATACATATATATATATATGTGTGTGTGATAAACTAGACTAAAACTCTTCTATGAGACCATTGAAGCTATAGCCAAATGTCCTTCCTTTCGCCCTGCCTTCGATCCTGGACCGCCAGTGGACCTGAGAAAATGACATGAGGCGATCATCACTGCTTGTCAGAAAGGAAAACAATGGCAGCAAGTGACTGACAGAAAATTTGGGTGGGTGGCCGGTGGTTTCAAGCACATTGGGGTATCCAAAGTTAACCTGGCTTCATTTTAACAATGTCTTTGTTTTTCTTGATTGTTCAACATTTTTGCGGAATAGGTTTGGCACTAGCGGCCACATTGGGCTCTGAAATAAGATTGAACAGTTATATAATAAGGACGATCCAATTGATGGTAATTTGCCTTTAGGCCGAATCTTAACGAAGGGTGCCACGTTTCCTTGTTTGTTTGAAGGTTTAGGTGCATGTGATAGTTTGTAAAGACAACTTCACGCCAATAGATAATCGCCTACTGGTTTGACCATTGTCTTACCCTGCGATGCCGGTGTCAATATATATAATTAATATGGTGGGCTATTTTTTTGGGTAATTATGTTTTCCCGTTTTGTGCATGTTTTTTTGGATTTCTGTTTCCCTGCTTCTTGCTTTTATAGTTCTCAGCTTCTTTGCTTCTCCACTTTTCTGCTTCTTTGCTTCTTCGCTTCTCTGCTTCTCCACTGTGTTCACTGCTTCTCTGCTTTCTGCTTTTCCCTGCTTTTCTGCTTTTCCAGCTTCTCTGCTTCTCTGCTTACCTGCCTTTTTGCTTCTCTGCTTTTCCCTCTCTTTTTTTGTTTCTCATACTGCAGATAGTCCTGAAGAAACATCATATAAATAATCCTTAAATCAACCACAAATAAACCCCAAACCAACCCAAAAAACACTAAAGCAACTCTGTAAATAAACCCTAAACACTCCCTAAATAAATTTGAAACTAATCCTCCGTAAACCTTACACCAACCCTAAATAGATCTTATTAAACCAGACCTAAATAAATTTTAAACCAACGCTAAACACACCGTAAACCAATCCTGAATAGGTCCCACACCAACTCTAGATAGATCCTAAACCAAGCCTGGATAAACCCTAAACACACCCTAAACGAGCCCAAATAGATGCTCACCCAAGCCTAAATATACGTAAACGAACCCTAAATATATTTTTAACCAGGCCTAAATAGATCCTAAACCAACCCTTAACAAACTTTAAACCAACCCTACATAGGTCCTAAACCAACCATAAATAGATCTTAAACCAAGCCTAAATAAATCCTAAAACAAACCCTAAAAAAGATCCGTAACTAACCCTTTAAACGAACCCAAATACACCCTAACTCCAAAACCAACCCTTAAAAAAATTAAAACCAAACAAAACCCCTAAACTAACCCTAAAACTAAGCCTAAATGAACCCTAGTGTGCAAACTAGCATGTTACATGGACAGTTCGAACTCAAAAATGCTGCAAATACCGTTGAAACAGCATCTTTCAGCTCCAAAATCAAATGCTACAAATTCCACCAAAATGTTGCAAATCCTATGGAAAATGAGAGGTTCCAATTCCAAAATGTTGCAAAGACAGTTGAAATGGCAGCTTTCAGCTCCAAAATGCTGCACATAGCAAGGGAAACGTGCAGAAAAAACGGATCAACAAAAAAAAACGGAGAAAAATAAAGATTCCCAACACAATTCCCGACCCATATATATATATATATATATAATATTTTGTCAGGCCTGTCATGGGTTCATTGTTCAAACAAATCCAATTCTGTGGCCCCCAAAAGCGGTTTTTGGGATAGGTTGAGATCACAAAGACGAAAGGATGTCTAGCGCCTCTAGCTGATGGGACCCCAAGAAGCCCCTTACTGCCATACTACTCCCATAAGAATCCTAGGAAGATTAGATGGGAATGGCGGTTTCAGCCAAAAGGTCCCTATAAATTCGATATTTCCGTGGGCTCGGCCCCAAACTTTGGGCTTCACCTTTGGAGGACCTGAGGGCCCCAGAGTTTGCTAAGTCAGTTGGTTTATAGATGGGTCAACTAGGGTTTGTGGGGGATATAGATGGCTAGCCTGCTCTAGTATGCTATAGTTAATAGGATGTATACACCAACTTATAACTGGGGGGCCGCACCATTTATGTCCTTTGACCACCCTTTTTGCTAAGGAGAAGGGTAAGCCTGCCTTTTCCAAAATCATTCAAAACCATGGCAAGCTATAGATATGTATAAACCCTGTAGTTTCTCCTTATCGACTATCAATCCATTAATCCGTTGTCAATCGGTTACCCTCTGGTAAACTAACATAACTATGGAAAATCACCATTTTTCATGGGAAAATCCACTATAAATGGCCATTTTCCATTGCTATGTTAGTTCACCAGAGGGTAAATGATATCACAGTTCAGACCGATGGTTGGGAGCTAAGGTGCTACGATTGCTGGAAGAGTTGGAGGTCTCACACGGCAACGCAAGTGTCGCTGGGAGAGTCGTGCTCTCGGGTCTTGGGGTATGCTATGGTAATTTAACGTAGCTAGTGAAAATGGCCATTAATAGTGGATTTTCCCATTAAACATGGTGATTTTCTATGGCTATGTTAAATTACCAGAGGGTATGCTATGGTATGTTTCTCCATTTCTCCATGTTAAGCATGATATGTGGAAAATTGGAAATATAACTATAGCAAGATAGCCAGCAACAATGGGATGTGATTTGGATGTAATTGGGATTGGCTTTACTTGATATAAAGCCAACGTCACTGACACCCCTAGAAGATGGAAACGATTGCCTCATGGCCACATATGGCCACTATATGTAGGTCATTCTTTGATTACACACTGGGGAAACGATTTCAGGTGATGGGCCATGGGATAAAAGTTCGTTCCAAATTTTGAGACACCCCCATGTTGATGTTGAAGCCACTTCCTCAATATGGGTGAAAGCTTGGGACACAACAAACCCAAAAGTCATGGGCTATGATTCTTGGCATGTCTCAGAAATATAAGCCTCCGGTAGTGAATCGTGGGAATGGAAAATCCACCATTCATAGATTTGTTTCTCATGAAAAATCTCCATTTATATCGGGATTTTACATGATTTTCCCACGACACTGGAGGCAAAAAGTGGGATCCCACATTTTGACCTATTTTCCAGCCAGCACTTGGAGCATCATTCAGGGGACCCATGAGGATTGCACATCTAACTGGTAATCAGAAATTTCAGGATCCCAAGGAACCCCCACAGTTGATGTTACCCGAGGTCATTGCCCTCAGCACCTCGGCTATGGTTTTCCGGCTTGGAACCTTCCAGGAATTTATTTTTGTTCGATGATTACTGGAAAGACATGTGATATACCATCTGGTAAACTAACATAACTATGGAACAGCACCATGTTTAATGGGAAAATCCACTATAAATGGTGATTTTCCATAGTTTTTTGTATGTTTACCAGAGGGTACCATGACTTTGCAGCTTCAATTCCCTTTGGGCAACTCACCGACGTTTTTGAACATGGTTGAACCATGTGTTTACGGATGTCCAGTCGCTCAGTTCTTCCCGTTTTTCAGTGGCAATTTGCACGGCGAGGCAATGCCATTCTTGCCTGCGACAGTCAGCAGCGCCCTGAAATGCCACAGTTCTGCGGTTCGTTGCATTCGGTCACTGCTGCGATGCTGGCGAATGCTGGCGAAGGTTAGAAAACCGCATCAGAAAACATTGCAATTCCGGGGATGGGGGTGTATAGTCGGTGTTGGAGACCCATATTCATATGATGGTTTGTCAGTGCGGTTGGCACTTCCAAACGGTTTTTTTTTGGTGGTTTCATGTTTCATGATCTTCCTTTGCGATCTCTATACTCTACTTGGGGGTGATTAGTACAAGTCCCACGGACTGGTATTTGGATGGGGCGAAGCCACCAGTGAATTTTCTGTGTGTTGCCGATGTTGGGTTTTGAAAACCTTCAAAGTTTCAAAGGGTTTAGGGTAGGACTGATACGTCCAGTTCAACACCGTGGTACGGGCGCTTTCCGCGAGCGTCAAAAGATGAGTTCGCTGGGATGTAGACATAGCCCCCAGGCTTCAGGTGGAATGTTTGACTGAACCAAGAGTTCCATGGGACCATGACTTGAGGATGGACTGGGACCCAAATTGCTGCATCCCAACAGCCATTTTTGACGACTCCCCGCGCCACCGCGGACGCGGACGCCCTTGCTACGGCTATGCCATGGCGACATCGGGCGACGTTAGAATTAGATCCTTGGAGCCGAAATGGCACTGAGTCGGCTGAATGGTTGGTGGTATGTTGGTATAGCCTCCAGTTATTTGTTACATAGCCATGGTATAGATGGCCCATAGAAATAGAGGTTTACCTATTAAAAATGGTGATTTTCCATGGCTATGTTAGTCATAACCAGATGGTACCCAACACGGACTTTTGATGTTGAATATTCATCGACCTTTAGTTTGCGTGTGCCTATTTTAGGTTGTTGGATAGAATGCAATGCGATATCGCATCCCCGGAGTAATTTTTACTGTACATGTGATAAAGGGCAAACTACATTACATGTCTTAAAATGTCTTAAACTTAAACCAATACCCATGTACCGAAGAACTTGCAGCCCACCCGAAGACTAAATCATCAACCAAGAAAGCGGCATCACCACAGTATATTTCAGTGTTGCAGGGCCAATGAAATTACCAGCCATCAAAGATGGCCGGCTGGGAGACACAGTTTTCATAGACTTTATGATGATTAAACAACATAGACCTTTTGTTTGTTTGTTGTTGTTTAATCCCTTTAGTTTGCGTGCATCTCAGATTTTCCGAGTTAATCGAGTTTTTTTCCGCTGACACCAGCCAGCTGAGTTGGCGGGATTCGTATTCCCGATCCTCATCTCAGCGTTTTGTTTATTTGCAAGCGAGGGCTTTTTCCTGCCAACTGTCCCGGGAAAATCATGAACAAATCATAACAAGCCTTGAAATACAACGTTCCAACATGTCCGAATTTCATCGAATTTCGGCATAATTGTTTTTGAATCCAAGTTTTCTCAATTTTTGGGCAGATTGTCTCAATGTTGGGCAGATTGAATGATTGAATCACCATTTTCGCTGGTTCCCAAGGAGCGACGGCTTTGAGCGCGCTGGGCGCGCTGAAACGACGCCAGCAATGGCAGGAGGCCTTGGCGCTACTGGAGGAGCACGACCAGCACGGTGGAACAGTTGCGGTGTCAGCAACGAAGGGGTGGAGCAAGCGGTTGGGCATACTATATCCTATGGTTAAAGCCACTATAAATTGTTATAAGAGTGGTTAATTATAAGTGGGGTTATCTATGGTTTATCATTGGTTATCAATGTGGTTGTAAATTGTAAATGGGGTTGCCATTCCATAAATGGGGTTACAATAGAACTGACTTATAACTGGTAAACGGCAATGGCTCTGACTGTAATATAGTATATATGGTTTATCACTACCATGATCAACAGAATTCAATGGATATCCATCGACAAATGATTTCCATCTAGTTCGTCGTTTCTGAATTACCAATGGGCCATGGGGTTTAAGGTTTAATAGAGGTTTACCATGGTTTACCAGCAACATGTGGATTTTAATGGGACTATATGCCTGGGAATTTAGATGTCCTTTTCCCATGTGTTGGTTGATTAATAGAGGGGTTTGTTTACCCCTTTAACAACAGGTAAATGATGATAGATGGTATACCAAATCGGCCCCTCTATTTTTACCAAAAGGACATTATTGCCTGGGAATATGATGGGAACATCGATGACCCCCATTTGTTGGCTTGATCCGACGGCATGATTTCTGTGGAAGGCATGGTGTCTATACCTTGGTTTGACCCTAGCCGCTCATAGCACATATTAGATTATGTGCTATTGGTTTATCACTACCATTGACAGAGGATGCCTCATGGAAGTTTACGTGATGGAAGTACTAAAATAAACCATGAAATGAGAACAAAAATAGGTCGAACGACAATTTTTGACCACCAAGAGTTGGAATTCAAGAAACATGGAGGTCAATTCTGTGTCAGCCGTGGAAGATAGATGAAGATAGGTCAATTTTGGCGATTTCTTTGGTGGCATTTTCTTCGGCCGAGTGGCCCTCAGCAGTGCATCAAGACCAGAATGAGCAATGCATAGATGTCCCGTGACGTAAATACAGAGGTAGTAGGCCTCAGGCATCAACCAACCTTATTTCCTCATTTTCCCAGTCAGAAATCCACCAGAAATGCGGAATCGAAAAAAAGAATATGGATGAATATGGGATACGGATGAACATGGTGGCTTATTTGGTTGGCGCTTCCGGATCTTCCGGATTCAGCAAATCCAAGAAACTGAAGGTCATGCCCTGTGCAGGTTCCCATCAAGTCCTACAACACTGTCATGGGCGCCTTGGCGTCCTGGAAGATGCCAAGACCGACATTGCTCATCCTCAGGCGTAAGCCAGCATAAGCCAGCCTCAGCCAGGATCATACCCTCTGGTAAACATACGAAAAACTATGGAAAATCACCATTTTTACTGGGAAAATCCACTATAAATTGCCATTTTCAATGGCTATGTTAGTTTACCAGAGGGTAGTCTGTTGGAGCGGGATCTCAGGTGCCTGTGCGAAGGCTCTCCAGTGGTCGGCAGCCCTGGCGATGCTTCAGTCTCTGGGCACTGACGGCCTTGGTGGGGCCCTGCAGCCCGACGTCATCAGCTACTTGTTGGATCACGGGACCATCACTGGTTGGTGGTTTCAAACATGAATTTTATTTTCCATTTCATATATGGGATGTCATCCTTCCCATTGACGAACTCCATCATTTTTCAAGATGGGCACATTGCACCACCAACCAGTTATTTTTTTCATAAAACCATATAAAACCACTGTATTCCATGGGCATTTCCACTAAACATTGCTTTTGCCATTTCAGAACGCGGCTCCGCCATGCTGAATAAACTCCATCCGGATCCCAAGATTCCACGAAAAGTAGCACGGCACATGTTTCAATCGCGGATTTTTCATGGGAGATCTTCAGGATCCATTTTAATGGAGGTACAAGTTAGTACCATATAATTCAGGCCATATGACTTGTGGATATTGTGGGGATATTCCTTGAACTTTGGGCTTGAACATCTTGAAACATGGGCCTGAAAAAATGGCCATTGATGATCCCGAGATATCTCAAGCATCTTATCTCATGCCATTTTATAAACACATTCTTTGATGTTTGGGATATAACATATTATGACAGGTGTTATAACATATTATAAGATAAATAACTTAAATAACAAAATACCATGCTTATACCAGTAGTACCGCACAAGGCGGTGGCGGAAGTTTCAAAAATAGGAAACCTATAGGAGAAGTTGGTTGTTGTGAATCAGGGATGGCAGAGCGAAGCCACTGATTGACCGAAAGGGGGTTGGAGTTGTGTTTGCTGGAATGGTTGCAATGGTTGCAGTGGCCACCTCACCCACAACTGCTGGATGTAGTGTGATGTACTGCAACTGTAGTTGTAGTTGTAGCGTAGTGGAGTTGTAGTTGTGGTGTAATGTAATTAGTGTAGTGTAGTTGCAGTCATATAGTTGTAGCTGTAGTTGTTTTGTAGTTGTAGTTGTAGTTGTTGTGGTTGGTGTCGTTGTTGTTGTTGTTGTTGCTGTTGCTGTTGTCGTCGAAGTTAGGGTAGTTAAGTTAGTGAAGTTAGTCAAGTTAGTTAAGTTAATCAATGTCTACTTTTTCGACATCTTCACGTCAAAAAAGGCTCAAAACCCTCAGTTTTTTACACTTTTGACTTCGAAATGTGCTTCGTGCCACAACGGCGTGCACTTTTTCGACACTTTTTCGACATCTGAACCTCCAAAAGTTGTCCGAACCCCTAGTGTTTTTAACATTTTGACTTGGAAATGTGCTTCGCGCCACAACGGCGTGCACTTTTTCGACATCTCAACTTCCAAAAGTGGTCCGAGAATGGTGTTTTGTACATTTTGACTTGGAAATGTGCTTCGCGCCACAACGGCGTGCACTTTTTCGACATCTCAACTTCCAAAAGTGGTCCGAGGTTGCGGTGTTTTGCACATTTTGACTTCCAAATGTGCTTCGCGCCACAACGGCGTGCACTTTTTTCGACATCGCAACTTCCAAAAGTGGTCCGATCCTCTAGTGTTTTGTCCATTTTGACTTGGAAATGTGCTTCGCGCCACAACGGCGTGCACTTTTTCATGTCTCATCTGGCCAGCTGGCTCCGCACCCGCCGCTTTAGCGAGCCTACTTTTTGACCCTCCGGAGCCACAAATCATTGGAAAAACACAGTGTTTCGCGACTTTCCTACCTTTTCGCGCATCTGCATCTTCTTTCTTCTGATCTTTTCTCTTCTGACTCTTTTCACCTCTGCTTTTCAACTGTCCATATTGTCGGAAGTTTCACTTCTAAACTTCCTTCGATGATCCATTCTTCATGACAGTTATGTTTCACAATACGAATCCTTTTTGTCCCACAAAAAACTCCCTGGCAGGTTTCAACAGCGCCATGCGCGCCTGCGCGTGCGACGGCGCATGGCCACGCAGCCTGACCTTGCTTGAGGAGTTGGAGAAGCAAAAGTTGCAGGCTGAGATCCCTCCCGAGCCAGCCACTGCTTGGATATGACTTGATAGATCCGCCAGTTCTGATCCTGGCGTTATACATAACGCATGTATCGAGCCTCCCATTTCGGTGACACCTTTGTGTGTATTTAGATGATGGATGTACTTATGATGGTGATGATGGTAATGATGGTGATGATGGTGATCATAAAACTACTACTGTAGCTAGACACTATAGTATACAAGTAGAGTTTACTGTTGTGGTGGCTATTTTTGGTACTGTGAAGTAGTGCATTATTATATTCTGAGTATGGTCCACTATGGTGATGATTTTTGTCGACCATGATTATGATAAAATGATACCCTCTGGTTTTTTAACATAGCCATGGAAAATGGTCCATTTATAGATGGTTTACCTATTGAACATGGTGATTTTCCATGGCAATGTTAAATAACCAGATGGTACGTTATTTCTGGTCAATGTCCTTTGACTCTGACTGTCAAAAATTGTCCATGTTACATCATATTGCCACTGGCAACACATGACCACCGAATCAACTGTTGAGAATTTCGCTTCCAACATCATCTTTTGAAACATCGTTAATTATAGATTTCACATGATTTCACCACTGATCTTCACGGATACCTTCTGGTAATTCAACACAGCTACGCCGCTACGCTTAAATTCACAATGTTTTAAAAGGTAAATCATCCAACTACATGAGCCATGAGCATCCATATGTCCATATGTTATGTTCGGTTGCCAAAGGGGAAATCGCAGCATATTTTTGTTGGTTAAATCCACATGAATCACCATGAAGTCACATTTTTTCCCCTTATGTATTGGTCAACATCCTATCTTCGTTGGTTAAAATCACATTTGTGTTGGTTAAACCCCCATCGACATGTTAACATCACAATAGAATCACCATAAAAATCACCATGTTTGTTAACCACACTCCGTTTTTTTGTTTTTGGTGTTTCTTTTCCAGGCCGATGTGGTCAGCTACAGCAGCGTCATGGCAGCACTCCCGGGCGAGGCGTGGTACCTGGCGTTGGCGCTACTGCAGCGGATGTTGCGGAGACGCGTGGAGGTGCCATGGTTGGGACAGGTTGGTTAGTCATTTACCCTGGTGATTAATGGTGATTTAATGGGTTTTAATGGATTTAATGGTGATTAATGGTGATTGACCATCAGGTAAACTAACATAGCTATCAAAAATGGACCATTTATATTTGATTTACCTACTAAAATGTGTGATTTTCCATCATTTGCTAGGGTTTAAAAGGAGTTTACCCTCTGGTAAACTAACATAAGTGGCCCCAGTCCGTGACACTCATGGCAGATGCTGGCTGTCATGACGGGCTCGGGGAACTAAATTGCGGCAAGTACCTCTCTCTATCTTTCTCTCCTGCCCTCTTCTTTCCATGCTCGCTCCTCCCTGCTCGCACTACCCTTCCAGCTTTCCTTGCTTTTCCTATACTCGCTCTACTTTAGCTACTCTCGCTGCTTTCCTTCCTCTCCCTACTCTCCCTACTCTGTTTGCTTCCCCTACTCTTTCTGATCCGCCTGCACTCTGGCTTTCCTGGCTCCTCTGCTTCCTACTTTGCCTGCTCTCTTGCTCTTCCTGCTCTTCTGGTATCCTACAAGGTTCCTCTTCTTCTCTCCTTCGCTTTTTGCCTTTTCCACCCTTTCTGTCTGGTTTCCGTTCTGCATTCTTCTTGCCCCAAGTCCGCAGCACTCATGGCTGGTGCTGGCTGTCATGAGGGACTTGGGGAACTGAAATCCAGCATGCTTCTTCTGCTGCTCTCTTCCTTTTTCCATTTCCCCCTTCCCCTTTGCCTTTTTCTCTTCCACCTTTGCCCCAGTCCGTGATACTGATGACAGATGCTGGGTGTCATGAGGGGCTCGGCCAGCACGTACCTCTTGCCTGCTCGCGCTACTCACTGTTTTCCTTGCTTTTCCTACTCTCTCTACCTTCCTTCCTGTTTTCCCTGTTCTCTGACTCTCCTGCCTACTCTCCTGCACTTCCTGCTCTGCCTGCTTTCCCGTTCTTCTACAAGGTTCCTTTTCTTCTTTCCTCCACTCTCTACTTCTCCACCGCTTTTGCCTTCTTTTCTTTCTGTTCTCTTCTCCCAATCTCTCGCCACTTTGTCCTCGTCTCCATCCCACCTCTATGCCGTCCTTTCTCCTTCTCCCCCTTCCCTGCCCCCTTATATCATGTCGGGAACCCTTTTTTTTTGGGTTCGCGCAACGACACTGGGAGAAAGAGTTTGGCTATGCAAACGCTGAGGACCAGCCCGCATATGCAGGCTGAGAAGGTGAGGGTGCAGCCCAGATAAAACGGGAAGAAGAGTTTGGATATGGCAACCCTGAAGACGTAATAACCACCATTTCAAATAATAATGTAATGGAAACATCCTTAAAATTAAAGGACCGGATAACCCCACAAGTCAACTTCTTCCAATAAATAACCAACTACAATGGAACTATGATGGTAGTATATAATTGGAAAAATCCCATTGTATGGATGAGGATTTTGTCGGCAAGAATTGGTGGTAAGCCCTAAAACTTGGGATAAAATTGACAAATGATGGTTGGTTGGTGATTTTTCCTTTGGTTACAGTGCTACCTGTATTACATTTGATTAGCATCCATCCTGCCATTGATATGTCTGGAGTGAAGTACCCAGCAACGCCACCCTGCACATCCGGAACCCCAGTTTGAGCCAACAGGCAGCGTTTTTTCCTGCCAAAAAGAAACTCTATGAACTCCAAGTTTGGTTGAATACCCTCTGGTAAAATAACATAGCTATTGAAAATGGCCATAGAAATAGTGGATTTACTCATTAAAAAATGTGATTTATCAAAGTTATCTTAGTTCACCAGAGGGTAAAGTTGAATGCCCAGCATTGCCGATCCAAAAGAACAGATCTTCATCCAGGCAGACCTCGTTTGCTTCAACGCTGCCATTGGTGCATGTGCCATCGCATGGCTGCAAGCCATAGCCGTGTTGGAAGATCTGCAAGGAGATGGCACGGCCGTAGTGCATTCACCACCAACCAACCATTAGTCACAGTCTGTCTTCGTTGTACCAGATTCCAATGGATTACATGGTTCCTCTAGATTTTGCCCTTAAACCAAGCCGTTGAAGACCCTGTGGCCGGACCATGAAATCAGGTCCTCACATTGTTCAACATTTGATCACAGGACACTTGGGAGTGCAAGGGGCAGACACCATTTCGTACAACGCTGTGCTTCATGCCTTGGGGAAAGGCAACTTTGCTGCAAACAAACTGCCGGCCCCTTGTGGTTGATGTCGGGAATCTGTGGATTCTGATATGTGGCGCTTGGGAAAGCATGAAAGCATGACGGCTTCATTCTCAACACATATCACCTCCAGTTAAATCAGTGGAAATCAGACAGGAACTTTCAATTTCAATCTTTTGCCTGGATGATCCACCCTCCATTTTATCATTTCAACTTATTTCATCTCCCTATCATGTTTTTCACCACACCTTTCGTTGAAGCCCGGGAAGCCAGGTACCCAGTGGCAGCAGGCCTTCCAACTTCTCCAACTTCTCCAGCTCCAGCAGGTCGAAGCCAACCTGGTGACCTTCAACGCCAGCATCAGTTGCCTCGAACGGGTCGCCAAATGGACTGCCGCCCTGGGAGTGCTGCAGCAGATTTCCCAAGATGAGACCTGGGTGTGGAGATCTCGGAGATGGGTTGGATGAACCACATAAAATGGGGACAAAAAGGAAGTCATTGTTTGGGGAAAGTTGGGTGATGGTTGGGTGAAGATGGTCATGTTCAACAGGTGGACTGCAGTGTTTGTTTTTTTTGTCGTCGTTCTGGTCCCAGTCTTCTATGGTTTGATTGGTTAAGCCTGGCTTCACTTTACAACATCCTTCACACGCAAGAAACCACAGACCCATCCCACCTTTAGTGGTTACTGGGTAGATTCACTTGGATTTGGCTGAGCATTTTTGTTCGGTTTGGTTTCAGTGAACCTCACCTAAATTTAGTAAGTGGTTAGTAACTGGCATGGCATACCCCCACAACAAATTCACACAATTGGGTGGTATAGCTACCAGGTGCCACCTATAATTCTCTTTAACTCTAGTTCTGTCATGTTATATCCCCCATAAACCCTATAGTTACTGGAATTGTTTCAACCAACAAGGCCAACTTTATTTTTCCCCATGTAGCTACCAACCTAGGACCTGCAACCAGACGTCATCAGTTTCAATTCCAGCATCAGCCAGTCCAGCTGGCCGTATGCACTGGTCCTGCTTGGCGACCTGGAGGAGAAGCTGCTTGTGGATCACTTCAGCTATGCTACTGGGGTGGAAAAGGTCGGCAAACCCCAAAGATCCAAAGATCCAAGACTAAACCATACTAGACCGGGATTTTTGGGAAGTCTTTGTATTTTTTTTGGTGCGGGTAAAGGAATTGTTCTCATTTGTTGCGGGGTCTGTAGCTTTCCAGACATTGAGGGCGGCATTTCGAAGGAATTTTCTGAGGAGAGGAAGCCTTTTGGGTGACCATTCTTGGATCCATGAAGGCTATTGTAAGTCCCACGAAGTGGGATGATCAGTCAAAGACGTACTTTGAAAACATGTTCGTAAATCTTTGTAATATGCAGTAATAACATGCCAATGTGAATGTGTAAGGCCCAATCCCATCTCACCCCAATTCAGTGCCCTTTTTTGACATCCCTTCCTCGGAAGAGTCGCATCATATCGGAATGGAAGGTGTGGAAATTCAACCTGGCGGGCCGCTGCGAAATCCCCGAATTGATGTGTGGCTTCTAATGGGAAAAACGTCTATGAATAGAGAAGTTTTAATGGGAAAAACATCTATAAATGGAGGATGAATAGTTTTGAACGGAAAAATCATCAATGGAGGTTTGCAACTGAAAAACTCATCGAATTATAGCTGTGGCATTTCCTAGCCATGTTTGATGACACCGGAGGGTGCAAAAACGAGGCGGTGACCATGCGCTCCCTGACCCTCTCCTGGACCTGGGCTTTTGGCTGCATGGAGCGGCTCCAACTTCAAAGGCTTCGGCCCAATGCAGTGGTGTCACTCGGCGGTGCCATCTTGGCTGATAGATGTTGGTATATGTTGGTAGATGTGGAGAAGATGGGTCTGATGACAGTTGAAATGACATGAAGGATGACCATGTTAACTGTGGAGAAACTTCTTGACATGTGGGTTGGGCCCAACTAGGCCAGGAATATCTCGTATGACTGTGTGACTTATTAAGCTGCACCGTGACTTGTCGAAGTGTTTGCCCTGAATTGCTGAAACATGGGTGAATCTACTAGAGGAGTCTATTGAAAGACAAGGTTCATGTTTGGAGCCCCTGCTGGTGAATGGGGGATGGGTTTAGGCAACAAACATCCGGAAGTGTGCGATGCTCACCAATTAAAACATCTTTGTAGGGGTTTTGACTAGTTCAACACGGTTTACTATGCTACAGCTAGCACTATGGGAATGCCAATCAGCGACCATTAAACGGGGACACAGGGCAAGAAGAACTAGCCCCAATCTCTGAACAAATACATGAACAAATGCACCGCATTCCATCATTTTGAACCAGAATTTCTGGAGGTATTTGATGTTAGGGAGCAAGGGATGAATTTGATAACTCAAACAAAACTAGACTACCAAGCAAATTACGTGGATCCAACTGATAACAGCTAATAAAACTACGATGCTTAGCATACTTGAGCATGATTTGATATGATGTTTTATAGAAGGCTCCAGACTGAAAAACCGTATCCAGACCAGTGGCGATGGTTTTCCGCAGCTCGCATCCTGTCCTGTTTGGTTTCTGGGGCTTAAGACCTGCAGAACCACAGATTTTGGTCATTGGACCAATGTTGAAAAGCCTTGACTGTCCAATTGTTTGGGACATGGACAACTTGATCTATTTATATCGGTTCTGTAGCCGTTGATGGGGTACAAGCTGATTTTAGCTTGGCATTTGAGGAATACTTTGATGGGCGTAGTTGGCATGACAAAAGGTCCCCGTTTCTGGAACAAGTTGGGGAGTTTTCCTTCAAATCACGCAAATAAGCTGCACCGAAGACGGGTCAAACATGCCATTTTTTCTATTGTATCAAGGGCCCTGTTGCCAGCACTGAACTACTTGTATCAATGTTGATACACTTCTAGTGTGCTCTGGTGATGTATTTGTTATATGATCATTTCATCCTATTTGGATCTATTTGTGTCTTTCCCAAAGCCCCCCCACATGGCTTTCAAGGCATAACACCCTGCAGGGTGCCATGGCTTCCAGCACCCTGTGGTCCCATGCTCTTCACGTCTTGGGCAGCGCGGATGGAGCGGATGCGTTGATGGCACTCAGCACGTTGCTGGGAGGACTGGAAGAGCGATGGGAGATGGCCATGGGGATGCTGCGCGATTCGCAGGTCGGAAGTCGGGCTAAAAGCAAATCGCTTTTGAACTAATCAGACACTAGGAAAAAACGATGATAAATCCATAGACTTCACATTTCACATCTTCCTTAACCACTTAACTCTGGTGAATTCAATTTTTAATCACCATTTTCTTCATTCACATTCCATATATAACAAACTGGTTAGCTGCGTTGAAATCGCCATCTCTTCATTGTTTCACCACCGGTGCCCAGACGGCCGCCTTGGTCCCCGACGTGGTCTGCATCGGCTCCGCCCTGGGCGTGGCGGCCGCGGCCTGGCGCCAGGCGTTGGACGTGCTGCGGGGGATTCAGCTGGAGCCGTGGCCGTACCAAGGGGATGGGGGGTGAAGCATGGTGAAGTACTAAGGCTTTACTAAGGCTTATGCAGTTTCTAAGGAATATCAATCTTTCTTTCTATCTATCTACCAAATCTACCAAATCTACTAATCTACTAATCTACCTCTACCTATCTATCCATCCATCCATCCATCGATCTATCTATCTATCGATCGATCTATCTATCTATGTGGATATGGATTTAAGATGATTTAAGATGGGTTTAATGGATTTAAGCAGCAATTTGCTGATGTATCGATTTATGATAGCTAAGTGGGCTAAGTTAAAAAGTCTTTCTGATAATATGTATATTTCATGTATGTGACCTAGCAAAGTTAGGCGATTTACTTGATTCATTTGGAATTGATTGGGTTTGATATGGTTTGATGTGGAACTGTTTTTGTGGGTTTCTTAAGGGGGGTTGAACCACAATCAAGTTCTGAAAAAGCCAACCCACCAAAAGTTGGGGTCATCCTCTTGGTCTTTTTGAGTCGAAAAAGTTGAGGACTCTGTGCAACAGAACATGGTCATCATCAACACTGTCATCAGAAGCTTGGTGCAAAAAAATGAGGATTTTGGTGATAAAAATAAATAGCTTATTGATGTTATTGGTTATAGAAATCATCAGCTACCAATGTCATTTATTTATGGTTATTGGTTGCTGACGAGCCGTTGTGAACCTCAGAACGGCTTCCCTAAGACGTCTTCGTCTTCGGGAAGCCATGACGTGTTGGGATGAGTTGGGGTGATCCAAAAGCGAGCTACGCGGTATGATCCATGGGCCATGGAAAATCATACGGAAAATCACCTGGTTGGTGGTTTGGAACCATGGAATTTTATGACTTTCCATATATTGGGAAGAATAATCCCAACTCATGAACTCCATCATTTTTCAGAGGGGCAGGTATACCACCAACCAGCTATGTTTCTGTCATTTACCTACTGAAAAAATTGCAAAAAAAACAAGCGGAAATGATTGAATTACTATAGTAGAGGATAATAACGGGCAAACCCAATCATAAACCATCCGCATTTTTTGTTGGGTATATCAATCTATCGATCGATCGATCTATCGATTTATCTCTCTATCGATATATCCATTTTTCCATCTGTCCATCTATCCGTCTATCATTCTTCTATCAATCTATGATATCTATCCATCTACCTATCTGCCCCATTTTGCCCCTGGTAGCGGAATGTTTTAAAAACACAAAATCAACTGGGACGACTTGAAGCATCTCAGGTGCCATGCGAAATCACTGGCAGCGAGCTCTCGCTCTTCTTCGAGAAGCTTTGAAACTGTCCATGGAAGCAGACGCTTGAAGGGACAGGTGGGTCCGTTCATGGTGGTTTCAATAAATGAGGAATGCCCAAGAGCTGGATGGTTTACAATGGAAAGTCCTATTAAAATTAGAATGGATTATTTGGAGGTACCCCCATTTCAGGAAACCCCCATATTGCTTGAACAATTTACCCATGGATAGCAACCCCCCCAAACCATCCTCAAATTACTTTATTCTCAGATTTGGATCCGTACAGGCTGGGGCTTTAAACGGTAGCCGATGGTTATGCTTTACAGATCTTTCTGGTGTATATGTTATATGTCTACATATGTCTATGGTTTTTATATGCTGGTTGGTGGTTTCAAACAGCCGCGATTGCCCAATGCTACCAGCAGCTGCGGCCGTCCACCACCGATCTTGGGCAGGTATCTTTACAGGGTTTTGCCATGGCTTCATTCCCCATGACGTTCGCTGATCATGCTGTAGGTGAGAAGGTCTCCCTGGTTTCGAAATTGTGTTGCTTTGACCCATGTCTTGAAGCTCACATTATGGAAGCTCTGTATGACAAGGTGACGTTCAAACTGCATGGATTACTGGATGGTTCTCATGAGCGATTTAGCCTGATGAATGTTCGATATCAGCAGCAATATCCAACTCCGATTTTGGCACTGGAACATGATTGGCTGCTTCAGACAATTGAAGATCCCCCTGCCTCCATACTGACAACGACACATGGTGGAGTGGTGATTTCACGACATAGGTCGCAGAGCTTGCAGTCCAAAAGTGCGAGGGTTCACACGGTCGGTGCGGCCAGCACGATCTCCTTGTGCGGCAAGGATTCTCAGCTGAAGGCTGGTGATGACCCGTGGATTGCACAAGATCCTTGGAAACAGTATACCCAGGGCAAGTCTGCCTCATGCATCCCAAGTGCCAGTGATGGGATTCATCAACTTGCTGATAGGATCCAGAATGAAGTCCGTCAGAAATTGCCCGCTATGACCCAGATGGAACAGGATGACATGCCAGAACGTTTGTCCACCCTGGAGAATCAGGTTCAGCAGCTGATGGGACAGCACAAGGCTTTGGATCAGAATGTGCAGGATTTGTCAAATCAGAATGCTCAGCAGTTCGCAACGATGCCATGCCAATTGACCCAGCAGAGCCAACAGTTGCAAGGTCAAATCGATGGGCACTGTCAGAATATGCAGGCACTGATGGAACACCAAATGGTGCAGATCCGAGGCCTTCTGTCGAAGCGCCCCCGTGATGTCCAGTATGGAATGACGGTATGGGGAAGGGTTTCCTAGACAAGGAGGTGTGTGCATTTTGGTTTGCCTGCTCACATTAGGTTGTTTCATGGGAGCCCTGATCCCCACAGTTTGTGCAATCGCCTTTTACATGTTTTTGCAGATGACCGTGTGTCAACCCAGGCAGTCGGCTGTGAAGGTAAGACCATGGAGGTTTTTCATTTTGATGTCTGCTGGGCTTCTGCGAATTGGGGAAGCATCAAACCCTGCCTCCTGCCCACTTTGATGAAAAGATGTTTCGCATTGGTACGTTCAATCCCTCAGGTCTTCGTGCAAGGGTTTGGATTTCTTCAGTGTAGGCTGAACACCTGAAAACCGGGTTGCCAGCGATCTCTCTGGTGACGCGTTCGACAAAGTGGTGACAAAGTGGTGGTTTCAAACATGAATTTTATTTTCCATTTCATATCTGGGATGTCATCCTTCTCATTGACGAATATTTTTCAAGATTGTTTTTACACCACCAACCAGCTATGGTTTTTATGGATCGTTAGGCAGCGTTCGCCCGGTCCGGTCCGGTCGCCTTGTCCCCCTTGCGCAACCCAGCAGAGCCACGCAGCAGCCCAGCCACCAAAGCAACCCAGGAACCAGCAGAAAGAGCCAAGCAGCCACCAAAGCAAGCAGCAGCAGCAGCAGCAGCAGAAGCCCCAGGAGAAGCCCCAGGAGAAGCCCCAGGAGAAGCCCAGCAGCAGCAGAAGCAACCAACCAGCACCTCCAACGCTACTGTCTACATTCCTTCCTCGGCCCCGGGCTGCCAACATTTGCAATTTGGAGAACGGCGCCGCCCCCCGGAGCAGCGGGGCCTATAGTCTTACGGCTAAGGCGTCGACCTAAACATTGAAAATAGGCTTGACTCGCCGCGCGGGCGTTCGAATCCTCGCGGGTCCGCTTTGCAAGGGGTGGTGTGACCAAAGTTTTGTGTTTCCAGCGCTGCTTGGCCACGGCTTTGTGTTACCAACAACCGCTTCTCAAAACCCATTCTTTTCTTGCTTGCTGCTGCTGAAAATTTCAAAATCAGTTGTTTTGCGAAACTTGTGCTTAATATTCTATTGCTTTGTTTCGCGTCGGTCCGGTCCGGGTCGGTCTCGGTCCGGTCCTCGTTCTGCGGCGTGCCCGGCGTGCCCTGTTAGGGTTGCACTGGTTGAACAGGCCCCCGGGCCCTCACCTGTTTTCGGAACCTGGCACCGCCCAGGACTTGGTCGCCTACAACGCCACGGTGACGTCCTGCGAGAAGGGCTGCCGCTGGGTGGAGGCGCTGCTGTTGCTTCGAGAGGTGCCGTTGATGGGGGGTTCACCCGGGAAAACGTGGCATTTAGCGGAAGCAAAGTCAGGGGATATCCATAGCCATCACCCCAAATATCACAGGAACTGAGTTCATGGCCATCAGTAGATATCAGTTAATATTACAGGAACTGAGTTCATGGAGATGTTATTCATTTACCATTTTTTCAGATACTTTAGTGAATTCTGGATGGATAGATGATAGACCAGTTACTTAAGTAATACTTGGACTATTCAGTGAATATCCCACTAGTTAATTAGTTCACTGAGCTCCCCACATCATACCTCACTGTACAGCGGGATCGTGAAGGTTAAAGCAGGGCCAACACTAGACGTGCAATGGTCCTGCTGGTGTCTGATATGTGTTAATCCTGCAAAGGTCAGTAAGGGATGCTATTCCAATTGGATAGCTATTGAATAAGGTAAGGCGTAAAATACATTAAAATACATCGTGTGATTTGAATGGCAATGACGGCAATGAGTCTCATAATGAATCCAAATTATGTTTTCACCAGTGGCCAATCAATCCGTAAGAGGAATCATGCCAAACCCTGGGTAGGTGTTTGGAGGTTGATGGGTGGTTTTGGTCCATTGGTTTTAGTTGGCTTTAAGCCAGAACCTAGTTGTGCCCAAGCAGCAGTAAGGTCAATCATCGCCGAAAATGCCTAGTCTTGGAAAATCTAGGTGAATGGAAGGCTTCAACGGGTCAATGTGTAGCTAGGACTGAGGACGCGAAGTGAAAGTCTGTAGTTTGATTGGGATATTGCTTCCACTTTCGCGGTGTCTTGGCCCAGTAATTAGGAATATCACCATTTTCTTAATGATGTTCATGGATTTTCCCACTGAACGTGCCGTCTCTTCAGAAGGCGAAAGCCTTGCTACATACATTGAAGATACTGCAATAACATATGAATTAGATTGAATTAGCAAGAAAACCAATAATTTCAGATATATATAAATAGTATTACAATATAAAACATCACAATACTGTAATACTTCCGCATACACAATATATATATATATATACATGCATATATGTATACATGAATGTGGACCGTTTCGAAGCCAGGTGAAAGATGTGAAGCTCACAGCCGATGTGATCACCTATAGTGCGGCCATGAGCGCTTGTAATCAAGCAGACCAATGGCAGAGCCTGGGGCCACAAAGGATGCCACCGGGGGTCAACCATCAGAGGTGACTGGTTTAATCCCATCCCCCATCCATTGCATGGTCCCCAAAAAATGTGGCAATTCCCAACAAAAAAACATGGCTTCGCTTAGGGGATGTTTAATATTAGGGGGAAGGGATTATATGCTTTTGATATCAGAAGGATCACACTTTTTGGAAACCTTCAATGAAATACAATTGAATAGAAAAGCTGGTAACCTGGAAATATGGGGAAGACATCATCGAATTACCATCCTGAAACACCTTTTGGATCTTTTGGGGGCTGCTATATATGATTTTGAGGATTTTGACTATTTCGATGAGGATTTGACAAATTTGACGACCCAACACATATAACTTTGCCACAAGAATCAGTCGGGAATTCGACAACAATCACTAAAAACTTCGCAAAAGAATAGGTATGGCTGAATTGTGGGAACGTCAACAACCATTGGATTTGCGGGCACAGTGAAACTAACTCAGCGGGGGGGGCCGGTATTGGGAGAATGGATGGACACTTTGGATTGTCAGTTGCACACAGTTTGATCACTGAGTTAATTTGAGACAAAATTTACAAGGAATCCTTGTTTCACCTTAGTTGCATTTCCTGCAGAATTCGCTCCAACAAAAAAACAATTCTGGGATTTCACTTTTGATGGGGACGGGTCAAAAGCCCATACTCCTCCTGTTTTACGGATGTGCCCCCCGTAATTATGGTAGTTAATTATTTAATAGGTCTTGACCCATCCCTTGATCATGCCAGCTATGGTTCTTGGATTGTTTTCACCACTGTAACTAGTTCGATTTATCTATCATAAACATCCATAAGCAGACAATTCACCAACTAAACCCACTTAGCTATCATAGATTAATTTTACGTCATAATGTGTGCGGGCTAAATCAATCCTTATTTTGAGTGGTATTGCTCTCCTGTAAACCGACATGTTACACGAAAAACCCATCATGTGCAGATCCGTTTCCTATAGGGAAACCCACGGGTTTTCCAACCCATGTTTTTCTATGTTTACTTGGTGGTTCATCCCACTTAGTCGGTAGGTTATAACTATAACCCTAGTCATAAGTGTATTAACCCTATCCACTAAGAAAACGAGGTGTAACCTACTCAGTACATGGGATGAGCCACGTACCCCTTGGGGTTTTCCACCCCCATCCTCCAATCTCTGCCTGTTCCCCAAGGATCACCCTAAGTCTTTTTGCGGAGCTCGGAGACCTTCGTCTCCGCCCGAGTTCTGTGGCCATCAATGCGGCCATCAACGGCCTGGGGAAGGGCAAGCAATGGACCCAGGCCCCTGCAACGACGGGAAGGCCAAATATATGGTCCCAATATATGTCCCATGATAGTCCCAGTATTAACTAACTTTACTATAGTATGGGTTCCAATATAACACCATGGTATCATTATATTTCAGTATGGCTACCAGGCTACCATGGTTTTGAAGTCGGAGTTTTGGGCCAGTGTCTGCGAGGAAATGAAGTTCTTGTTTGAATACATAATATGCTAGTCGAGTTAACCGAACATGGGATTTGGCTCAAAACACGAAACGTGTGTTGCCAACCAAAACGTTCGAGATCCTTCACCAAACACCCATCTGAACAGTTTCCCGTTTCGGCGTTCAACTTCGAAGTATTTCGATATATATATATATATACATACACTTATCTACATGGGTTTGACATAGTTTGGCTGAAACTTGGCTATTCCCAAACCCATTTGTTTGTCATATTATTCAACAATAACATACAATAACTATATTTTCCCCTATGTTTCCTAGGCCCCTTGGGCCCCTTGGGGAACGTATCTGCCCTTCGAGGCAATCCAGAGCTTTGAAGCGATGCAACAGGGCCGCGTGGCTCCAGATGTGCTCACCTTCCACGTGGCTTCCAGCGCTTGCAACGCTGCTGCGAAGTGGCGCCAGGGAGCCGCGGTGCTGCGCCAGCTGCACAAAACGGTGAGATGCGATTTGCTCACCTATCATGTGACTCGGTTGGAGATTGAAGTGATATTAAGTGATCTTTTACAGACACGAAAAGATGTTTAATGACCTAATTGACCTAATATTTGACTAAGAAACACACATGGTTACTATCATTATTAGGTCATTAAACATTATATTAGGTCATAGATTGCTATGATTATTTTAACAAACACAAATATAATATATATATATATATGTATATGCATAGATGACTATATTTTATAATATTATTATAGCACAGATGTATTGACTCGATTGATCTCTCGGTGGTCTTCCCTCTGTGAGGATCATCCCAACCTGCTAACCACCAGCTGCCCACCAGCAACCCAACGAGGGTTGCAGCCAAGTAGCATTTAACTTGGTTGGCATTCATACGTATAGAATCATATGGACATGTATGTGTATATATATATACTGTATATATATATATATATATAGCAACATAATGCGCATTATTTTTCAGAGAAAACACACACAATCACCCGTTGCAACAACAAACAATCATCATATGTGGCACCACGATCCAACGTCAAGTGTATATAATATACACGCATGTATTTATTTATTTATTTATATATGTATGATATATGATATATGATATATGTATAAATAGACAGGTTTATATAACATGCACATAACATCTCGCGATATGTGATGGAACTGATTTTGGTCCGGGTGGTTTCTTTCCTTGTTCTTGGCATTATTGTTTTTTGGGTCACGATTGACTGCCGCTGTTTGGGCATGATCGTGACCACTGGGCCGAGATCTCTGGCAAGTCTTTTGGATCCGTGTTTTGGGAAATCTGAAACATTTTGGAGAAAACATTGGAAGATTGGAATTACACCAAAAAAAAAACTATAAATAATCTGACAATCTCAATGATTTCAATCTTAGATGTTGAACATAAATGAACATGGGTCAATGTCCTTTCTTCGTATTCGTTGTGCATCCTCACTGGGAGGTGAGCATGAGCGCATCTGCTTCGGCCAGTTGGTGGCATGATCGCATTCAGCCAGGCAGTAGGAGATTGATGGACAATGACAATGATGTCCAATATCTGCATCTGGATGGGAAAATTCAGGGAAACAATCCGAAATGCTAAATTTTTCATATATAGATGAAACATATTTCAATTTGAACTAATTATCCTCGAATCATTTGGTTAGGTCGATGAACGCACCCTTGGTGGATGTGTAAACTTGGACCATGCCAGATCCAAGAGCCCTGGTTTCCTCATCTTGATGGTTTATGTTCCCATGTGTTTATTTGGCGCACTTCTTTGCTGGACTGGTTATTCAAAAAAACATATAAAGTCACAATTGATACCCTCTGGTCATTTGACATATGGCAAAATTCATAAACCCTCTGGTAAACTAACATAACTATGGAAAATCACCATTGTCAATGGGTAAATCGGTAAATTCACTATTTCTATGACCATTTTCAATAGCTATGTAACAAATTACCAGAGGGAAACTTCTATGAAATTCTAATCATTGACTTCGATGATCTACCTATGATCTACCTATCAAAACTGGTGCTTCTCCATATGTCACCTCCCCAGCCCAAGGTGGCGACGTTCGTACCAGTCCCTAAGAGAGCTTCAAGAAACTCGGAGAAACTGGGAGAGAACCTGGGGAAAAATCGGAGAAAGTTTCGGATGTCCTCCACTATGTCCACTGTCCCATCCGCGAGTTTTGGAGTTGCCAGGAAAATCGTGAGAGGCTTCAAGTGAAAAACCGTGATAAGTCGTACAGTTGATGTCGATGTTGCGGTGCTTGATCGGAAAAGAGAGGTACCTCCATTGTGAACGTACGTAGAGGGTGAATTGGGTACCAGTTGATCTTGAAACTCGATACTGTAATACTTCCAGCAAGACACAGCAAGTTGCAATCCATGCACCGGTCCATCAGCCGGCAAAACGAAGTAACCCACATCAGTCGGGAGTTTGTATTTGAACAAATATCATGGTCAAATGAATGTTGCAAATGTTCGACCTGTCTGTGACAGTGGACGGCTGAGTAATTTTTGTTGGGTTCTACTGGGGGTTGTCAAAGGTGGTATGATAATCGACAAAAATGGTATACGTTACCACTAAAGTTTCCAGATGTTTTAGCTCTAACTGATTCAATCCAGTTGCGATCCGTTGAACATGTCTTGCGCTCCCATAGCAAGAAGTATTTGAGGTGTGCCCATTTGCATCCGCATTTGTGCTGATGAATATTCCCATTGCTCATTTTCTTATTTTCCCATGTTTCCCATCTGTTCGCAGATTATTTATGGCATTTTATAGCATTTTATGTTCCAGATTATGATTTTATACTATGGTCCCATCTTTACCCAGATCATTTGCTGCTAAAATACGGTTATTTCCCATCTTCACCCAGATTCTGAGATCATTTACTAATCTAAAAAATACGAAACCCATCCCCCATAGGATCCATGGTGCTGCTATATATGGTAACATTTACCATCAATATACCCCAAATGTTAGCATATATAGCATCACCATGGATCCTATGGGTTTTTTCAATGGTTTTGTTGCCTCCAACGCTTCAAACAAAAACCCAAGTTACGCCCTTCAGGACGCAGGTCTGCAAGCCGGCTCGGTGACGTTCAATGTGGCGGTGGCGCCTTGTGAGCGGCGCCCTGGCCTTTTGTGTTCCGCTTTGACCAGTGGATATGGGATTTGAATGAGATTTATAGTGATTTAATGGGATTTTATAGTCGATTCAATGGGATAATGATTGGGATAATGTGAGGATATTTATGGGAAAATGTGGGATAATGTAGGCTAATGATTGGGATAATGATTGGAAGAATGTGGAGATATACCCTCTGGTAAACCAACAGTTTGCTATTGAAAATGGCCCAGTCGAAATAGTTGATTTAGCCATTCAAAATGGTGATTTTCAATAGTTGTGTTAAATTATCAGAGGGTAATGATTGGGATGTACCGTAATTGATGCAATTGATATTATCATGTGTTAAAATAATGAGGACTGGTTTGATGGTATATCCCAGTCTATTTTCCAAACATGGCGCCATGTGTGACGGAAAAGTTCACTGCTTTGAGGACGGGAATGGGGAGCCAAAAAAGCCCGAAATACCAGTGATTCGTATGGATTATTGGTGAATAGTGGTGGTTAATAGTGATGAATAGTGGTTAGCCCTCTTTCAGAGAAAAACAAACAAACTATATATGTATATACATATATATGTATATATCTGGGTAAATTATATCGACCTCACGGATCTCCCTCACTAGAATCATGGTTTGTAAGGGAAACCATCCCCATGTGAGGCCTTAATTCGGGTGAGTGAAACATTATAACTGGTTGGTGGTTTCAAACATGAATTTTATGTTCCATACTATATGGGATAATCCTTCCCATTGATTTTCATATTTTTCAAGATGGTTAAATCCACCAACCAGTTATAATTTATCATAAAAGCATATAAAACCACTGTATTCCATGGGCATTTCCACTAAACATGGCTTATTTTCAGGGTCTATGTAACGTATGTAATTTACCAGCCAGATAATTTACCCAGATATATATGGTTTTCAAGTTCCCCCATGGCGTTCGGTGAGGACGAGTCACTGGCAAGATGCCCTGCACCTGGTTGCAGAAGCAGAGCAGCTGGAAGCTGCGCCCTGGTGGGATACAGACGTCTCATACGTCCTGGTTAATCATCAAAAATGATGGTTTCAAAGTTTTACAATGATTTAATACATCAGTAATATGGTTTAACAATATGGTTTAGCAATATGTATGGTTTATCAATATGGTTTAACAATATGGTTTATATATATTTTCATCGTCCTGAAATGTGCGAAATGGGGATGTTCATATTGCCAGTATGATATATAATCCTTCTACCCCTGAAATGGGACATGAAGAGATGCAACAGGGCAAACGGTGCTTTTTGTTTACGCGGTACCCTCTGGTAAACTGTCCCATAACTATGGAAAATCACAATTTTAAATGAGAAAATCCACTATGGCCATTTTCAACAGCTATGTTAGTTTACCGGAGGGTATGCAACGTAATGTGATTTTATGATTATGACATAATATTTATGTAAGCGGAAGGAAAATTAGATTGGAGATCCAATATTGCAAATCAAATTGGATTATAATGGGGGAAGCAACTGAGGTTCAATGGTTTGATTTACGGAAAACAAATTCGCGAAACTATAGTTTTTTAATGTCGAATTTCTGCAAATAAGCGCTGTCAACTGAAGGTTACTTGTATACTAACCCCCCCAAAAAAAAACTAGACGACGGATGGCCCGAGAGCGTAGAGGAGCAGAGTCTTCTGTTGTTAGTATGGAGACACTATATTACAAGATAATATGATAAAGATGTATTATAGCAGACGAGAAGGGTAGTATCAAGACAATATATGACTAGTACAAGACAATAGTTTGCATCGTATTTTTGTGAAGTTTTTCATACACAGAACTTTTTACAGACAGACGCTTTTGCACACAGAGACTTTTACACACAGACGCTTTTACACACAGACGATTTTGCATACAGAGACTTTTACACCCAAACACTTTTACACACAGAGACTTTTACATACACAGACGCTTTTACACACAGAAGCTTTTACACACAGACGCTTTTACACACAGAACTTTTTACAGACAGACGCTTTTGCACACAGAGACTTTTACACACAGACGCTTTTACACACAGACGCTTTTGCATACAGAGACTTTTACACACAGACGCTTTTACACACAAGCGCTTTTACACACAGACGCTTTTACACACAGACGCTTTTACACACAGACGCTTTGACACACAGACCCGTTTACACACAGAGGCTTTTACACACAGAAGCTTTTACACACAGACGCTTTTACACACAGACGCTTTTACACACAGACGCTTTTACACACAGACGCTTTTACACACAGACGCTTTTACACACAGACGCTTTTACACACAGATGCTTTTAGACACAGACGCTTTTACACACAGACGCTTTTACACACAAACGCTTTTACAGACAGATGCTTTTACACACAGACGCTTTTACACACAGACGCTTTTACACACAGACGCTTTTACACAGAGACGCTTTTACACACAGAGACTTTTACACACAGTTGCTTTTACACACAGACGCTTTTACACACAGACGCTTTTACACACAAACGCTTTTTACACATAGGCTCTTTTACACACAGACGCTTTTACACACAGACGCTTTTACACACAGAGCCTTTTACACACAGACGCTTTTACACACAGACGCTTTTACACACAGACGCTTTTACACACAGACGATTTTGCACACAAACACTTTTACACACAAACACTTTTACACACAGAGACTTTTACACACAGACGCTTTTACACACAGAAGCTTTTACACACAGAAGCTTTTACACACAGACGCTTTTACACACAGACGCTTTTACACACAGACGCTTTTACGCACAAACGCTTTTTACACATAGGCTCTTTTACACACAGACGCTTTTACACACAGACGCTTTTACACACAGAGCCTTTTACACACAGACCCTTTTACACACAGACGCTTTTACACACAGACGCTTTTACACACAAACGCTTTTACACACAGAGGCTTTTACACACACACACTTTTGCACACAGACGCTTTTGCACACAGACGCTTTTGCACACAGGCGCTTTTACACACAGACGCTTTTACACACACACGCTTTTACACACAGATGCTTTTACACACAGACGCTTTGACACACAAACACTTTTACACACAGACGCTTTTAAAAACAGATGCTTTTACACACAGACGCTTTGACACACAAACACTTTTACACACAAACACTTTTACACACAGAGACTTTTACACACAGACGCTTTTACACACTGACGCTTTTACACACAGACGCTTTTACACACAGATGTTTTTAGACACAGACGCTTTTACACACAGACGCTTTTACACACAAACGCTTTTACAGACAGATGCTTTTACACACAGACGCTTTTACACACAGACGCTTTTACACACAGACGCTTTTACACACAGACGCTTTTACACACAGACTCCTTTACACACAGAGTCCTTTACACACAGACGCTTTTACACACAGAAGCTTTTTACACACAACACTTTCACACACAGAGGCTTTTACACACAGAAGCTTTTACACACAGGCGCTTTTACACACAGACGCTTTTACACACAGACGCTTTTACACACAGAAGCTTTTACACACAGACGCTTTTACACACAGACGCTTTTACACACAGACGAAAGGGTTGCTCCGGCACAGGAAAAATCGCAATTTTACCTTTTACATACAAACACTTTTACACACAGACGCTTTTACACACAAACGCTTTGACACACAGACGCTTTTACACACAGACGCTTTTACACACAGAGACTTTTACACACACAGACGCTTTTACACACAGACACTTTTACACACAGACGCTTTTACACACAGACGCTTTTACACACAAACGCTTTCTACACACAGGGGCTTTTACACACAGAAGCTTTTACACACAGACGCTTTTACACACAGACGCTTTTACACACAGACGCTTTTACACACAGACGCTTTTACACACAGACGAAAGGGTTGCTCCGGCACAGGAAAAATCGCAATTTTACCTCAGTTTCTACCGATCGACCCTCATTTCGTGCGAAAGGGTTGCTCCGGCACAAGTAAAATCGCAATTTTTCCTCAGTTTTTGCCGATCGACCCTCATTTCGTGCGAAAGGGTTGCCGTAGGACAAGTAAAATCGCAATTTTACCACAGTTTTTGACGATCGACCCTCATTTCGTGCGAAAGGGTTGCTCCGGGACAAGTAAAATCGCAATTTTTCCTCAGTTTTTGACGATCGACCCTCATTTCGTGCGAAAGGGTTGCCATAGGACAAGTAAAATCGCAATTTTACCGCAGTTTTTGCCGATCGACCCTCATTTCGTGCGAAAGCGTTGCTCCGGCACAAGTAAAATCGCAATTTTACCTCAGTTTTTGCCGATCGACCCTCATTTCGTGCGAAAGGGTTGCCGTAGGACAAGTAAAATCGCAATTTTACCACAGTTTTTGCCGATCGACCCTCATTTCGTGCGAAAGGGTTGCTCCGGGACAAGTAAAATCGCAATTTTTCTTCAGTTTTTGACGATCGACCCTCATTTCGTGCGAAAGGGTTGCTCCAGGACAAGTCAAATCGCAGTTTTACCTCAGTTTTTGCCGATCGACCCTCATTTCGTGCGAAAGGGTTGACGTTTCGTGACTCGCCGCCGGCACCACCCTCGGCCTTAAGAGAGAAAGATAAAGAAGGCGAGAGAGAGAAAAGGGAAAGAGAAAGGAGAGAAGATGTGAAGATGAGCAGATGTGAGAGAAGATGTGAGAGAAGATGTGAAGATGAGCAGATGTGAGAGAAGATGTGAGAGAAGATGTGAGAGAAGATGTGAAGATGAGCAGATGTGAGAGAAGATGTGAGAGACGATGTGAAGATGAGCAGATGTGAGAGAAGATGCGAAGGAGAGAAGATGTGAAGATGAGCAGATGTGAGAGAAGATGTGAGAGAAGATGTGAAGATGAGCAGATGTGAGAGAAGATGTGAGAGAAGATGTGAGAGAAGATGTGAAGATGAGCAGATGTGAGAGAAGATGTGAGAGACGATGTGAAGATGAGCAGATGTGAGAGAAGATGCGAAGATGAGCAGATGTGAAGATGAGAGAAGATGTGAAGATGAGCAGATGTGAGAGAAGATGTGAGAGAAGATGTGAAGATGAGCAGATGTGAGAGAAGATGTGAAGATGAGAAGATGTTTTACAGACCCCCACTATTGGAAGAACCCTGCGCTCAGACGCTCTCGGGAACAACAGTGTTTCCAGGATGGTATTTCGAAGATATTACACACATATGTCCAGGTTTTCCCATTTTTCTTCGGGGTTTGCTCTGAAAAGAATCAGGTCAAACCAGATCAACCTATATATTTATCATAAAACCATATACCATTTGGTTATTTAACATAGCCATGGAAAATCACCATTTTTAATAGCTAAACCTCTATTTCTATGGGCCATATACGTAACAAATAACCAGAGGGTATATATATATATATATATATATATGGGATGTCATCCTTCCCATTGACGAACTCCATCATTTTTCAGGATGGGCACATTGCACCACCAGCCAGATATAAAACCCATGGAAATTTCCAGGTTCTTTTTTGGTGTAATTCCAATATTCCAAGGTTTAAAATCCAAAATGTTTCAGATAAAAACCAAAACACGGATCCAAATTTCCCAGCGGAAATTTCCCAGCATGGGCCATCTATACCATGGCTATGTAACAAATAACCAGAGGGTAAATTTCCCACTGTATTTCCATATGGAAATTTCCCAGTGGTAACTTATCTGACCAAAAAAAATGATCTCAGGACGTCATCCTCTACAACGCCAGCATCGCTGCTTGTCCCCCTTGGCACTGGCGCCACGGCCTGGCTTTGTTGGCCAAGGCTCAGGCGAAATCATGGGATTTCCCGAGGAAAATGATCTGCAAATGGTGGTTTTTTAAGTGGTTTATCTATGGGTTTATCAAAAGACAAATGGTGGTTTCTAGAAGTTTCTTAAGTGGTTTACCTTATGTCAATTCATTGGTTTATCCATGAGCTTTCAACATGATCTACAGATGGTAGTTTCTCTATGTCAATTTACTGGTAAGAAATGATGTAATTTGATATGCCATGGGGATATTATTTTCATAGGGTGAAATTTATGAATCTCCGGCGGATTGTCCCTGAAAATGCACGCAAAAGGGACATGATCCTTTGCGGGAATGCAATTGTTGTTGCGAAACATCGTTCGACTGGCACTTGTAGCAACCATTTTTCGGGTGCTGATTTTTCCAGCTCCAACAAATGTGTGTCACTAGCAGTTTCACCATGCATTGGTCCCTGGCCAACAGGCCGTGTCTCTTGCCGACCTTGCGAGCTATGCTGCTGTGATGCAAGGTGCAGATATGGTGGCACCGCCGCCTCGGATGATGAATGAGATTGATGACTTGGCCCAAGGGCTACTGCTGACTGAATGGGAGATGAAAAAACAGGGGCGACCAAATTACCAGGATGGAGTGAGAAAGGATTGCTATTGACCGAAAAAAACAGCATGGAATACCGCTGGAACTTGCCTGACTTTGGGGGGCAAAAATAGGGGTTTGTGCATCCGTTTTCTCCAGCTGTTACTGGGGTGCTTTTGATGGTAGCAATTGGGTCATTGAATTGGATCAGCTTTTGCTGCGGAATTTTCTATCCTCCCAGCAGTCAGATGTTTTGGGGTCGTCTTCCCAATCTCGAAGATGCAGATGGCACAGGACTATAGTGACGGACAATCACTTAGAACGTATTTTGGAAAAAAAATCTGAATATTACTGTTTTTTTTACGTTCTAAGCCTTGCACTTAGAACGTCGAAAACCATACACTTAGAACGTCCAAATATCAAGATTCATCACTTAGAACGTACCGGGGATTTAACACTTAGAACGTGTCTAGGTCACTGATGATAGTGGAAAGGCTTGTGAAATCTTTTATCTCTAAGTGTTGGATCCAGCAGCTAATTCCGTAGGAAGCATAGACATAATTTCGTACCATTTGGCTTTTACCTCCCATATGATGTGCAAATATTGACGATCTTTTATCTCTGGAACACTATACCTTTTGGATCCTTTTGTTGCTTTTTGGGGGTTCTGTCGTTCTAAGTGTTGGATTCAGGAACTAATTCCGTAGGAAACATAGACATAATTTCGTACCATTTGGCTTTTCCCTCCCATATGATTTGCAAATATTGGCGATCTTTTATTTCTGGAACACTATACCTTTTGGTGCTTTTTGGGGGGTCTGACATTCTAAGCCGTAAGAAACATAGACATAATTTCGTGCCATTTGGCTTTTCCCTCCCATATGATGTGCAAATATTGGCGATCTTTTATCTCTGGAACACTATACCTTTTGGATCCTTTTGGTGCTTTTTGGGGGTTCTGACGTTCTAAGTGTTGGATTCAGCAGCTAATTCCGTAGGAAACATAGACATAATTTCGTACCATTTGGCTTTTCCCTCCCATATGATTTGCCAATCTTGGCTGTCTTTACTTCTGGAACACTATACTTTTGGGTGCTTTTTTTGCGGGTTCTGACGTTCTAAGTGTTGGATTCAGCAGCTAATTCTGTATAGGAAACATAGGCATAATTTCGTACCATTTGGCTTTTCCCTCACAAATGATTTGTAAACATTGGCGATCTTTTATTTCTGGAACACTATACCTTTTGGTGCTTTTTGGGGGTTCTGACGTTCTAAGTGTTGGATTCAGCAGCTAATTCCGTATAGGAAACATAGACATAATTTCGTGCCATTTGGCTTTTCCCTCGCATATGATTTGCAAATCTTGGCGGTCTTTACTTCTGGAACACTATACTTTTTGGTGCTTTTTGGGGGTTCTGACGTTCTAAGTGTTGGATTCAGAAGCTAATTCCGTAGGAAACATAGACATAATTTCGTACCATTTGGCTTTTCCCTTCCATATGATTTGCAAACATTGGCGATCTTTTATCTCTGGAGCAGTATACCCTTTGGTGCTGTTTGGGGGTTCTGAGTTCTGATGTTCGAAGTGTTGGATTCAGCAGCTAGTTCCGTAGGAAACATAGACATAATTTCGTACCATTTGGCTTTTCCCTCCCATATGATTTGCCAATCTTGGCGGTCTTTACCTCTGGAACACTATACCTTTTGGTGTTTTTTTGAGGGTTCTGACGTTCTAAGTGTTGGATTCAGCAGCTAATTCCGCAGGAAACATAGACATAATTTCGTACCATTTAGCTTTTCCCTCCTATATGATTTGCAAACATTGGCGACTTTATCTCTGGAACACTATACCTTTTGGATCCTTTTGGTGCCTTTTGGGGGTTCTGACGTTCTAAGTGTTGGATTCAGCAGCTAATTCCGTATAGGAAACATAGACATAATTTCGTACCATTTGGCTTTTCCCTCCCATATGATTTGCAAATCTTGGCGATCTTTTATCTTTGGAACACTATACCTTTTGGTGCTTTTTGGGGGTTCTGACGTTCTAAGTGTTGGATTCAGAAGCTAATTCTGTAGGAAACATAGACATAATTTCGTACCATTTAGCTTTTCCCTCCCATATGATTTGCAAACATTGGCGATCTTTTATCTCTGGAGCAGTATACCCTTTGGTGCTGTTTGGGGGTTCTGACGTTCTAAGCCGTAGGAAACATAGACATAATTTGTACCATTTGGCTTTTCCCTCCCATATGATTTGCCAATCTTGGCGGTCTTTACTTCTGGAACACTATACTTTTTGGTGCTTTTTGGGGGTTCTGACGTTCTAAGTGTTGAATTCAGCAGCTAATTCCGCATAGGAAACATAGACATAATTTCGTACCATTTAGCTTTTCCCTCCTATATGATTTGCAAACATTGGCGACTTTTATCTCTGGAACACTATACCTTTTGGATCCTTTTGGTGCTTTTTGGGGTTCTGACGTTCTAAGTGTTGGATTCAGCAGCTAATTCCGTAGGAAACATAGACATAATTTCGTACCATTTGGCTTTTCCCTCCCATATGATTTGCAAATATTGGCGATCTTTTATCTCTGGAACGCTATACGTTTTGGTGCTTTTTGGGGGTTCTGACGTTCTAAGTGTTGGATTCAGCAGCTAGTTCCGTAGGAAACATAGATCGACATAATTTCGTACCATTTGGCTTTTCCCTTCCATATGTTTTGCAAATATTGGCGTTCTTTATCTCTGGGACACTATGCCTTTTGGTGCTTTTTGGGGGTTCTGACGTTCTAAGTGTTGGATTCGGCAGCTAATGCCGTAGGAAACATAGACATAATTTCGTACCATTTGGCTTTTCCCTCCCATATGATTTGCAAACATTGGCGATCTTTTATCTCTGGAACACTATACCTTTTGGATCCTTTTGGTGCCTTTTGGGGGTTCTGACGTTCTAAGTGTTGGATTCAGCAGCTAGTTCCGTAGGAAACATAGACATAATTTCGTACCATTTGGCTTTTCCCTCACAAATGATTTGCAAACATTGGCGATCTTTTATCTCTGGAACACTATACCTTTTGGATCCTTTTGGTGCTTTTTGGGGGTTCTGTCGTTCTAAGTGTTGGATTCAGGAACTAATTCCGTAGGAAACATAGACATAATTTCGTACCATTTGGCTTTTCCCTCCCATATGATTTGCAAATATTGGCGATCTTTTATCTCTGGAACACTCTACCTTTTGGATCCTTTTGGTGCTTTTTGGGGGTTCTGACGTTCTAAGTGGTGGATTCAGCAGCTAATTCCGTAGGAAACATAGACATAATTTCGTACCATTTGGCTTTTCCCTCCCATATGATTTGCAAATATTGGCGATCTTTTATCTCTGGAACGCTATACGTTTTGGTGCTTTTTGGGGGTTCTGACGTTCTAAGTGTTGGATTCAGCAGCTAGTTCCGTAGGAAACATAGATCGACATAATTTCGTACCATTTGGCTTTTGCCTTCCATATGTTTTGCAAATATTGGCGTTCTTTATCTCTGGGACACTATGCCTTTTGGTGCTTTTTGGGGGTTCTGACGTTCTAAGTGTTGGATTCAGCAGCTAATTCCGTAGGAAACATAGACATAATTTCGTACCATTTGGCTTTCCCCTCCCATATGATTTGCAAATATTGAATTGGCGATCTTTACCTCTTGAACACTATACCTTTTGGATCCTTTTGGTGCTTTTTGGGGGTTCTGACGTTCTAAGTGTTGGATTCAGCAGCTAATTCCGTAGGAAACATAGACATAATTTCGTACCATTTGGCTTTTCCCTCACAAATGATTTGCAAACATTGGCGATCTTTTATCTCTGGAACACTATACCTTTTGGATCCTTTTGGTGCTTTTTGGGGGTTCTGACGTTCTAAGTGTTGGATTCAGCAGCTAATGCCGTAGGAAACATAGACATAATTTCGTACCATTTGGCTTTTCCTGCCCATATGATTTGCAAACATTGGCGATCTTTTATCTCTGGAACGGTATACCCTTTGGTGCTTTTTGGGGTTCTGACGTTCTAAGTGTTGGATTCAGCAGCTAATTCCGTAGGAAACATAGACATAATTTCGATTCCACTGCGAATTCCAATTTTCTGCAATATTTTAATTGCGTTTTATAAAAGGAAATTCAATTGATTTCGAAAGTGAAAACAATAGTTTTTTATGTTTTCTTAAAATTAAGGTTTTAAATTTATTATTAGGGTCCGCTTCGGAATCCAATTGTTGGCAATATTTAAATTGAAATCGAAAAAATGGTTTTTCTTATTAAGGGTTTAAATTTATTATTTAGGTCCGCATCGAAATCCAATTTGTGGCAATATTTCAATTGCGTTATACAAGGAAATTTGATTGATTTTGAATCGAAAAAAAATAGTTTTGTTTTATTAAAGGTTTAAATTTATTAGGGTCCGCTTCGAAATCTAATTTTTGGCAATAGTCTAATTGCGTTATAAAAGGAAATTTAATTGATTTTGAATCGAAAAAACTTGTTTTTTTTATTAAGGGTTTAAATTTATTATTAGGATCCGCTTCGAAATCCAATTTTTGGCAATATTTTAATTGCGTTATATAAGGAAATTTCACTGATTTGAAATCGAAAACATAGTCTTTCTTATTAAGGGTTTAAATTTATTATTAGGGTCCGCTTCGAAATCCAATTTTTGGCAATATTTTTAATTGTGTTATATAAGGAAGTTTAATTGATTTTGAAATCGAAAAAATAGTTTATATAGCGACGGACAATCACTTAGCACGTTCTAAGTGTTGGTTTACGTTCTAAGTGATAAATGGGCCTAAGTGATATTTTGACGTTCTAAGTGATGAATTTTCCCTACGTTCTAAGTGATGAAATTTTGCTACGTTCTAAGTACGAAAAAAAATTTTTGGAAAAAAAATTACGTTCTAAGTGATTGTCCGTCACTATACTCATGCTGCAGATAAATTACAACAGGAGGAACATGATGCACACTCACAACATGTTTTTTTCTCGTACTGTATGTTATAAAATGGGTTCAAAGATGTTGAACGTATTTAAATATGGCTTGCATCAGTGCGCAGCATCATGTAAGACATTGCGTGATTTACGCATATGCTAAAAGGTAAAACTAGTAGTTTAGCTTACTGTAGTACATACTCATCTGCCTGCAACGCAAACATAATTCAAGACAATGAAGGTATTGTTACATGATGTTACCTGTAGGTATGTTAGATCCATGTGGCACCTTAGTTCCGGTAGGTGTTGGCATTTGGCTCGAGGCGCCGTGCCGTACTGACCGTACTGTGCCGTACTGAGACACGGCGACAAAGATGTCAAGGTGTGGTTCGATTCCACCAATCTTTGAAGTGCCTCCTATAAGATATATATTTCCCGGAGCACTTTAAAACAGAAAACCAGACACAAGAAGTGGACACTGAAAAAAAACACACATTTGAAACCGATTGGTGGTTTCAAACATGTTTTATTTTTCCATATAATTATTGGGAATAATCAAATTGACTTTCATATTTTTCAGAGGGTTAGGTCAACCACCAACCAGGAAACTATGCGACCCTTTCCCCATGTTCTCTTTGGAAAGTCGGTCAAAACCATGGAGACCACGTCCGAAACATGCGATGGATCTGAAGCAGACCACGTCCCACATCCAAGCGCTGGGCGTCTTGGCGACCTGAAGACACCATTTTGACCGGCAATTGGATCATTTGGAACAATGTGGTTATAAAACTAACATAACTATGGAAAATCACCATTTTTATTAGGTATTCATAGGTAAATCAACTATTTCATAAATGGGCCATGTTCAACTTTTAAGAGCTATTTTCAATAATGTGGTTTTATAACAATGTCATAAACTACCCATGTGGGAATTGCTTGTACCACCTATAAACATGGTGATGACTGGGGGATGGTTTATGGCATTGTTTTACCCACATGGTTTAAAAGATCGGTCGGTCAAGCCACAAGTCTGAGGATATCATATGATGTCAGTAATCTTCAGAAAAACCAAACTAATATGTGGTGCTGACTAAAGATATCCTCAGAAAAACTCAGTAATCTTTAGATAAGTATCATGTAAAAACCAATAAAGATATGTGGTGATATGTGGTGCAAATGGTGCTCGCCAGTCAAGGAAAAAAAAACCAGTCGGAAAATGATCCATGTGGTTCGATTTACGGACCTATGGTGATTTTCCAAAAAGCCTATTGCTAGCTTACTGGAGGGTAACACTTGGGAATTGAATATTTGGAAACCAACAGTTAGAACAAGTGGAATCTCATCATTCTAATCAACACCTAGAACTTTGGAGAGGAGAAAGTACTAGACTCGGGATTTTTTCTCGCATTCAAGAGGTGGGATGGAACCGAGATTATCTGTCTGGTGATCTCCCCGGGAATGTCCGGTGCCAGGGCAACAACCTGGCGACGTCACGTCTCCAAAAACGCGGGGTTTTTGTTGGGCAGTTGCTGCAGTTGCAGAAGCGATTTATTTCGGATCTAAAGCCAATCTACAGACCTGAGGTCTTCGTTGTTATTTCCAGTTGGTGGAAGCAGTGGCAAAAAAGTGTTGTTCCTCAGAGATGCGAGTAGTTTATGTAGCATGGCCTTGGAGGAAGTCCATGCTACATCACAGATTGGGGCAAACATGTTGTGGAAATAGCAACAAATGGGAGTTGGCATTCTTTTTCCCCACCTGTCAGGTGAGGCTCTCTAAATATATCTAAAATCGTTCTATGTCAGCACCTGCTTCCTCCTTCTCTCCTAGCAAGCTCGCAGATCTGTGTGCCTCAAAAGACCTCGATCCCTCTGTGTGCCCCACCGGACCTCGTCAAGGATATCTATCAGAGAATGTGCCAGGAGAAATGTCACAATACATATCAGAATATGATGAATACCCTCTGGTGAACTAACATAGCTATGGAAAATCACCATTTTATAGCTGGGGAAATCCACTATTTCTATGGCCATTTTCAATAGCTATTTTGACATAACCAGAGGGTATGTGCCAAACTAAATCTCAGAATTGGTGACATTAACACCTGTCACGTGAAAAGTGCCAGATTTTTTTTGAGAGATTCGTATTGCCTCAGATTTGCCAGGCTATGTGTCAGACGGTATGTCAGAGCTGGAATCATTTTCTTCAAAAATAGAGATAATAAATGATAACAATATATATTGTGCATATACATATATAATTAATAATGATAAATATAAATTAATACTATATTATTCAAGCAGTTCGTCGTTGGTTTGCTCCCCTTTTTCTTACCAGTGGCTGTCAGGTCGCCATCGAGACTGGCAATCCGCTGTGGCGTTGCTGCAGCAGCTGCGACAGGTCCAGCTCCAGCCCTCAACGGTGACCCACAACGCGCTGGGCAACGCTTGCCGCTGTCAGTGGCCGATGACGCTACAGATCTGCGGGAGAAACTTGGAGCCGGATCTCATCTCTTGTGACTTGGTGTCAAGCACCAGTGGCCGAGAAGTGGCCTTAGTTACTGGGTCACCCGTCAATATGATATAATATGCTTAATATTATGTAATTTGTATAGTTTAATATAATATAATACAATGTATATATATATATATTTATATTTATATAAAAAATATAATATATATTACATTTATAATGTGTATATATATATATTTCAGTTGCAGGCTCATTTTTGCAGAAGATGTGAAGATGTTAGAAGTTGCAGACTAATACCGGTACAACTTACATCATTTTACCAAGAACCACATTCAGAAATCCAACATACTTGGGGTTTATCCCAACTATTTCGGGCAGGTTATGTGGAAAGTGGTTGTAGAGAATTACAGCTGCGTAGGCATTGTCCTAGCAGGCGTTGCCACATCGTATGCACATCAAATTGTTTGCTTGAACATAAGGCACTCCAACCGATGTTTTTCCCATCATTTTCCATCATTTTCTAAAAATCAATTCACTTTTTGGTGGTGACTTCAGTGACTCCCCCTCCATTTCTGGAGAAATCTGCAGGTAACACCATGCTGAACGCCTTGGCTACGGCCACCCGCTGGCATACCTCCCTGACGCTGATGGATGCCATATGGTCCCCGGATGCCTTCAGTTACAACTCCGCTCTGTCCGCGCTGCAGGGCTTGGAGGCCAGGTGGGAATGGGGTCACAACCACCATATGAATGGGGATAAACCTCCAGCTATAGCAGCTGTTTGAGGGTAGTTTTTTTTGGGGGTACCAGGGTTATGCAGTTATGCCTCAGTTATGACCCAGAACCAAATCTCAACTAATTCACCGGTGACTGTGAAGCAACATCGGGGCATCGCATCCCATCCGCCAGGACCAATGGTTTCGGGCACTGGCCGTGATGGACACGAAGGCTTTCCAGCCGGATTTGGTGACGTTCACATCCATCGCCAGCAGCTGTGCCAAAGCGCTGCAATGGCAATCCGATGTGGCATTGCTTTCTTCGTTGCAGAACTCAGCCACAGAAATTGACGCGTGGATTTCACAGCAACCCATGGTGGCATCAACGAAGCCATAGGTTTCTAACGGTGTCCAATGGTTTCCCATGGTTGTGCCGAACAAAGCCTCCAACAATGGTTGTGCCCACAGGTTTCCAGTGGTTTCCAATGGTTGTGTCCAATGGTTGTGTAACCCAACAAGTCTAGTCCTTTGAAATACGATGCTACCTTGGCACTGACGCTTGGGTCAAGCAACATCTTTGGATGAACACCTGATGCAGGTTGTCTCACGTTCAGAAAAGTCAGGGCACCCAGGGCATCACACCAGCTACTTACACTGCCCAGAAATTCCGTCCTATCGCCATCGTTGCGAGAGGGTATTTGGTGCTTCACCACAGTAAGTGGATCACAAAGTATGGCAAGTAGGCGCAATGTCCAGTAATAACTTAGGACAACTTAGGATGTTAAATGAACCTACATGATATGAAAATCAGTTACTAACGAAGGGAGCCACCAAGTATGCACAGTTGTGTGAACATGTTCAGGACTTGATCACCTTCAACGCTCTCAGCAGTTGCTTCGGCACTGGATCCGCGCCTGCGTTCCATGGTTGGCGGAAATGTCAGGTGCCTGGCCGGGCCTGCGCCCTGGAGCCATGTGAAGTGAGTTTTAATGGAAATAAGGATTTCATCATCAAAAAATGCTAACTGAACCAGCGAAAATGGGATGAAGATGGGATTTCATCAGGAATCAATGACCAAAGGTGTTGAAAAGCCCACGAAAATACCACTTCATCAGCACATAAATATAGATTAGAAAAATATTCAAACCAACAAAACATGCGGATTTTCACCAACAAAGATTCTGGGGCTGGAACTAGCAAGAATTGGTTCAACCAGCGCAAACACAGTTATGTTTGTTAATCTATACAACTATAGTTTGATATATCCACCATAAACAATCCATAAATTCACAGTTAGCGTATCACCTATAGATACCCACTTAGCTGACTTAGCTACCATAAACCAACTATACTATACAGTTCTATACAGTCCCCCATGATCTGGATTCTCCATCGCCGAGGTGCTTCTCAGCATCGGCCTGCGCCGCGACAGCATCAGCTTCGGTGCCATGGTGAGCTGCGCGGCATGGCCTGCGGCGCTGCAGGGGCTGCAAGGGATGCAGCAGGTTCCGGGGGTTCCATGGAGCACCTTGGGGCACCCTGCCATGGGATATGGAAGTTTCCTAAAAAGGGGGTACCCCAATAGCTGGATGGTTAATGGAACATCCTACTAAAATGGATATGACTGGGGGTACCCCCATTTATGGAACCCCCCATATAGTACTACAATAATCAGATATTAATCAGCAATGTTTTTGCTGTGGGCGAATTTTGTCTAAGATATTGACCAATTTGATGGCTTGGAAGCTGATTGATTTTCCCAATGAAACCCCAAACGTTGCGATGGGTTTGGCTTAGCCGCTGAGCCGTTGGTCGATATCCCAGTCCTCATGTTCCCATATTATGTTTGGTAAAACCGTAGACTAATCATAGTATTTCCCTAGATGCACGGTGCTAGATGAGCTGGGAAAACATGGGAAAACACTTGATTGGTTGGTGGTTTGGAACCATGGAATTTTATGACTTTCCATTCAGTTGGGAATGTCATCATCCCAACTGACTTTCACTCCATCATTTTTCAGAGGGGTTAGCAGCAACCACCAACCGATTCACCACGCCGATGGTTCAGCCAATGTGGAACACCCATAGGTGAGTTGCAATCCCATCCCAAATCATACCGAGCATGGCTGGAACCAGAAATGGACATTAAAAATTAATCATCAGAAAAATCCTGATGATTGATAGGAAAATATAGGACATGTTATAGTTCAGAATGAACTGATATGAACTGATTCATGGATGTTCATGGTTTCATCGATTTTCATCATCAAGATATTTGAGATAAACCATAGCCATTGATAGATTTATGATTGATACAATTGATATATATTGACTATACATGGCATATATATATATATAGATTTCTTTCACATTTCACGCCTGTCCTCCACCTGCCTGCCCGGCTAACAGGTGTCCGTAAGACCCACCAGGGTCACCTGGAACTCCCTGGCACAACGCCTTGCCGAAGCCGCGCAGCCGCGGAAAAAACCTGGGAAAATGCGGGGGACATGGTGATTTACCCTGCTAATTTGTTACATAGCTATTGAAAATGGTCATTTATAGTGGATTTTCCCATTAAAAATTGGGATTTTCCATAGTTATGGGACAGTTGACCAGAGGGTAACCACTATAAACATCTCCAAAAGTTAGGTGATTTGAATGGGAATTTTTGATGGGAAGTGATGCTGTCCAGTGGACAAAGGTGATCGCAACGGCGTAGAGGGTCACTGAGGGATTCATAAGGCAAAAGTGAATGAATTATCATGCATATCAGAACAGATTGAATAGATTTCAATCGATTTCATACAAATGCTCATTTTTTGATTCATCAAGCTCATTTTTGGGTGGATTTGAAGCTCTCAGCAGTGACTCAGCAGTCGGATGCAATGAGGTTCCCAGCAAACTCACCCAGATATTAGGGTCAATTGGGCTCACCAAACACTATCCATCCCTGGATGTATTGGGATACATCCAGGGATGCATTTTACCCTCTGGTAAACTAACAGTTTGCTGTTGGAAATGGCCATAGAAATAGTGGATTTTCCCTTTAAGAATAGTTATTTTCCATAGCTATGTTAGTTTACCAGAGGGTACTAGTTGTCATTGGACCACAGTAGCATGGAAAAGTAAGGTTTTTAAAATGAGTGTCCTTTTTCCTTTCTGTTCCATGTCCATGTCGTTTCATGGCTGATTTTTGTCCTATTTTTCCCATGGTTTTAGCTGGCCCAGCACCGAGGCCCAGCTCTGGCTTCGCACCTTTCTCCTCTTGGGCCACGATGGCGTCGACGCCATCAGCTTCAACACGGCCATCTGCGCCGTGAAAAACACGGCGCCTTCGGCCTGGGGCACCTGGCAGCAGGGCTGGCAATGCTTCAGCCGGATGGCGATCCAGGTGGGGCCACAACAAGATGTCAAAATGTGGCAAAGCAGTAAGAATGGGCAAACCATGGGATATATATATATATATATTTATATAATAAAAATAATAACAATAGTAATAATAATAATAGTAAATAATAGTAAATAAGTATATATATATATTTACATATAGATAGATAGATGGATAGATAAATATTTATATATATGTAATATATGATTGTGAAATGTTGAATATGTGGCACACCCGTAATAATGGGAGAATCATGGGATGATACTGGAATCTATAGTGGAATAGACAAGTAAATAACACCATCTCCCAGACGGTTTGTGAATGGGATGGTTTATCAAATCGGGGCTACATTTATGAAGATACGATGAAGATACAACGAAGATGCGTGGCACTATGACATAGATACGGAAGACAAGGCTTTTATTACTCCAAATTTCATGTGTTTAGGTTTTGGGTACTGAGGTTTCTCCTGATATATGCTTGAAGAGATCCCGAAGAAGGAACATAATTTAGATGTGCGTGGGAGCAAGCGGTTTCCAACCCAGAATTGACATCTGGCATCACCTCGTATTTTTGGCAACCGGATTCCAACGTGGTCATGAACCTCTTACTACCTGTGATTCGACAGAACATTCACAACTTTTACTTGTTCATTTGATCAAACATGATTTTACTTTCAAGAACCTGTTTTCCATTGCCACGTTTGATAACCAAGGACCAAGGGGTTCATATGCACATGCACCCAGATGGGCCCAAGGTGGTCTGTCCAAAAATTGGGGATAATCCAAAGGTTTGGTAAGCATTTTCCTGACCAACATAGCCATAAACTGGACGTAAATCTGAAGACGATCCTATAATCTTGCTAGTTAAATATCCAATTGTATCCCATGAAATATCCACATATCATTGGTTTGTACATACTTATGCATCCTTTATCCTCCATGTTTTTTTGTTATAAGTTACGAAGTCATGACATCAGTGTTTACCTCCATTTCCAATCATGTTTTCCGATCGCCCCTTGGATCATAAAGTCAAAATAGCCCCATGGTGCTGGTATATTGACCAACATTTGCCTTAAAAATCAGCCAGTTTTGTGGGTAAATATTGTAAATATTTTGCTCCACCATGGGTTGCATATGGGTAAAGTCATTTGAGTAAATGGATGGGTTTTCCCATGGTTTTCCCCCCCAAATCCAGTTTTCTTTCCAACAAACCCTGCACAGTCGCTCCGTGCGGATGCCTTCACCCTGACTGCCCTGATGAGCGGCGGCAGCGGACAGGAGGGCGGGTGGCAGCGCGCGTACCTTGGGCAGGTGTTTGGCTTTGGGAAATCGTTCCAATGGTGGAAGAAAAAAAAAACATGAAAATATGCTTAAAACAAGGCCATGTTTACCATCCAGGAAAATCACCATTTTTATAGGTGGTATGATTACCATTCCCAGTCATGGGTGATAAAAATGACATTGTTTGTGGATTCAAAAGCCTCAACACTGTGAGTATTTGAGTTTGAATTGGGAGTATAATTGTCATCCAAACATCAAAGATGGCAATGCAGCTGGGAAAGAATAGCTATCGACACTTGGGAGACTGTCAAGCGGTCAATTTTGATGATTGCCCGCAAGGTGAAGACGAGTACTTACGAAGGCATGTCTGAAGATGAGAGATTCTCCACCTTAAACAAATGATGTTTAGGGTACAAAGTGTGATAAAGACATGCAATTTCTCCGACCTGTGTTTGGTGGTGATTCACTGACTTATATCATTTCATTGGTGAGTTTTGCAGGAATCCAAGAATTGAATCGTCTTTTCATGCCATTTTTTTACCATCCACATCCGAACATTTTTTTTGAGCAAATCGTAGCTGTTTCCCAAAGCTGGACCACAGATGTGGGATGATCCCCGATCAATGGCCATGCAACAGGAACCGAAAATAATGGAGGTACCGATTCCATATATAAGGCCTATTTTTTAGGCTTATGTAAGGGAAATTAAGGGAATATCCCCAGAAATTATGGCCTGAAAAATGGTACTAACGTACCTTCATTTTAGGATCCTAGAATTCCGATTGACCCGAGGTTGTCATTGTTGGAGCTTCCAACGATGACATCGCTGCCATCGCTGAACGCCGCCATTTCCTGCTGCGTGGACGGCAGCGCTTGGCAGTGTGCACTAGTTCTTTTCGAGATGGTGGCTTCGAGATCGAAGATTCGAGGTTGTTTGTGTCAGTTGTTCTCCATGAGGATCAAATTTGTTCTCTTTTGCATATGCATCTCATGTTTAGACAAATTATATTGATTTGGGTTTCTGTATCACTAAATCATCAGTTGAAAATTGCCGGCTCTCATTTGGTCAACCTGATCACGAACATGTCGGTTGACCTGGTGGAGCCCAGGCCGACAGTCTGGCCCCAGATCTGGTCGCCTATGCTGGGGCAATTGCTGCATGCCATCACGGGAGGCCTGGCAGTCGAAGCCTGGAATCATCCCAACCTTGATGCAGATTAGTGTGAAGTATAGTGAAATCTTATAATTTACCCAGATCAATGGGCCATTTTCCATATCTATGTTAATTTTCAGTGTATATGAACACACTTTTTGCCAATGTTGTCCAGTTTTTTCCGGTTTGTTTATCATCCTCCCTTCATATCAATCGGTTTAGCTGTTCCGATGATGTTCCATCGTTGAGGCAACCTGATGCCGCATGGAGCTTGTTGGAAAGGTTGGAAGAGGAGCCTCGAGTTGAAGAGTTGACCCAAATTCCAGTTCTGTAGCCTGGCTATTTAAATTGTATATTTAATGTTCAATTATATATACTGTCAATGTAGTATTATATGTATAAGATTATAAGATATAGAGAGAGAGAGAGATATTTTTGAAGATGTATGTCATCACTATAGGGTAAAACCCCCAATTCTCATGGGCACTTGGTATTATTTATCCTAATTTTAAAAGACACATTTCATCGCCACAGATGCTCCAGGACTTGCTGGAGCCGGACCTGGTGATCTTCTCCTCGCTTTTCAGCGCCTGCGGAGCCTCTCGAGCAGAGCAGCTGCTGCAGCGCATGGGGCGGCAACGCTTGGAGATGAATTTGGTGCTGGGAAATGCGGTGATCAACAGAGACTTGCCATGAATTTAGGTGACCTTGGGCACCCTGGGGATCATTTCTGGCGAAATGAAATTTTGTATTGCTGGAGTTATTTGATGGAGATGAGTATGAGGATAACTGCCAACAACCAGCTGAAGTATAGGAATTTCAGGACTTTGACCGCGTTAAGTGTGGTTGGTGGTTTAAATTTGTCGATAATTGATGATCCCCAAAACCATGGCCATTTCAGTACTTGAGCCATCAGCCACTTGGTGGCGATCTTGAGTTATTACTTAAACAACACTTGGCCGATCTCGGGTTATTTACATTATATAGTGGATATATAGTGGATATATAGTGGATATATAGTGGATATTATATACTAGGGATTCAGTTACTGGCAAACATGGTTATTTTTTTTGAGAAACTTGGCGGAGCTTTGGAGATTGGGGAAACTGTGTCGGTAGATTATGTGTATTGAAGTCCAACAACCTATTATAAATTGCCATTTATAGGTGATTTACCGATTTAAGCAATGCTACTTTACCGGAGGGTATTCTGTATTTTGGATATGCATGTTAAATATTAAACGTGACCGGGTGAATGGCCCTTTAACTGAGAAGACACGGCAGAATACATATATTTGGTGCCAGGCCGGTCACCACCCGGAGCCCAGGCTGTGAAAGTTGGGAAGAAGCGTTGGCTTCTTTACGCGAATTCGAAGAGCAGTCTTTGCGCATGGATCTAGTGTCCTATAACTCAGCCACTGGGATTCCTATGGATTCCTGGGATGTCAAGACACGGATCTGGGGCAAACCGCAAATGGGGGATTGATTCGATTGATCAAGTTGGACACGGGGATTAAGTGGCCAAATTGGGACTTGAACCAAACAACATCGGTATATGTCTCCTTATATTTCTAGTGTTGAATGTCTTCAATGGTACTGTCCCCGGTTAGGGGATGTTTGGAGCCCTGTATGTGAGTGCTGCGGGCCAATTCCCGATGTCGCTTCTAGGGTTCAAACTCACCTGCTCACCATGATTTCGGGGTCATAGCCTCTCTACATGGCCATCTTCCAAAGCAAACCCGTATTGGTGTCTAGATTTTGTAATCCCTTCCCCAAAATTAAAGTACCACCCAAACACAAAACGAAACTGTTTTTTCAGGGCATCTAGTCGGCATCTAGTCATTTTGGAGCAACAATTGATGATCATCGCGCTAAGGTCCTGCACGCCAACACTGGTTGTGTCTTGTGGCAAGCCGGTGTTTCTTGGGTGGAGGAGGCCAACTGCAGGCCACGGGCTCAGCCGGGGGGGGAAGAGGTAACGACCATGGAAAGCCCAGCTACTGAGTTTCCCATGGTAGATGATGCCCCCTGTGATCCATAGACTTGGTTTGGCATGGTTTGGCAGAGTGCAGGTTCCAGCAGCCTTAGTTGTTCAATTTCTTCAATTCATTTTGCCATATTTTGCCGTCCCATGTGTGGAGCAGTTTTTTGAAGAATGTGGGATGACCCAATCAGAACTCCCAAAGGATGATCATATCAACCTTACTAAATCCGAGCATATCCACAAGTGGCTTTACATATTGAAGATGGGATTCATGATGACCACCCCAGGTCACGGTTCTACAATGTTTTACCTGACAGTTTCCATACCCAGAGACGTACCACCACAGACTCAAAAACTTCATCCAGATTATCGTGTTCCCCAAAATCGGTTCACCATTGTTCATGGGGGTCTCCAGTACCCCCCTCAAGATACCACCCTCCCCCCTCTTAAGTGCAGCCCAGAAACGGGAAAAAAAATAAGGTATGATTAATGAGGATTTGATCAAGAAGGAATTAGTAGGAATTGAACAGCAAAGCGCCATGGCACGAGATGACCTAGCCAGCCGGGATTCTGTTGGCTATGCAGTGTTTGACGGACATTGGGTCGGAATTCCAAAATCAAGAAACATGCCATCTGATAATGCCTTGACGCGTCATCAGCACGCATATAAAAAAAACACATTCCAAATTAATTACCCAGTGTACAAATAGTCTGGGGGATTCTGGGGGATTGGACCACCCCTTTTGCCACAACTCCAGAAAAATCCTAGCTGGTGGATTGGGCCCTTTTTGCATGTAAATTCTGGGCGCAACCCAACTTTAGGAGTTTAGGGGATTGCACCAACTCATTGCAAAATTCTGGACCCAACCCTAATTTCAAGAGTGTTGGGGATAGCACCCGCATTCCTTGACTAAAATTCCTGGCGAAACCTCATTTGACGGGATTGGACCCGACTCAACCTAATTTTGAGGGTTTGGGGCATTGGCCCCACCCTTGCCAAAATGCCAGACGCTTTTGGCATCCCTTGGCAAAAACAACAACGCGCAAACTAATTTGAGGGATCAACAATGGTGACTTGAGGATGGTTTATGGGGGGTTATTGGTTTCACTCACCATATTTAATAATATTTAATATTTTCACCGGTTGTTTAATGGGTTGGAAACCTTTCAACTCCCATTTGGTGATAGTTTATACAATCCAACCCATCATCATTTTTAGTGATGACTTGAGGATGGTTTATGAAGTGGAGGTTTACCCGCAGTTTACACCGTTTTGACCACAGGGACCACCAGTTCTTTTTGGACACCTGGCGCATCATTTTTCGCCATTGCTTTCACCCGTCTCCATGGCAGGACCTTGCGCTCCGACGCCGTGACCAGCAGCACCTTGATGTCAGCCCTGGGGAGGACCGGACGCTGGCGGCAGGTGCTAGAAATGACCCGTGGCGGTTGTGGTTGTGGTGACGATGGCAGCCGGCTGGTGCTGAAACATGGCCTGAAATGGGCTAGAGATGGAGGCAAAATTGGGGTTGAACTCCTGGGATTGATGATATTTTTATGTGCAACCAGAAAGGCCAAAAAGACATGGTGGGATGGGAATTGATGATTGAATCACCTGGGATTTGACCAGCAAGTTGGGGATATTCGGGGATCATAAAACTGCCGTTTCTTCGACAACAAAGGCACCCGTGCTGCCCGTGCTCATAAAATTGTCATCTCATGATCCAGATGAGTAAGGAGAACAATGGGATACCCTCTGGTAATTTGTTAGCCATGGACCAATGGAAGCCATTGTCCATTTAGTTGGACGATTTTTACCCATTGAACATGGTAGATTTTCCAGTTCGCAAAGTGTAAACGTCATGTCCAAAGGATACCCAACTTGGGGATGTTGAACACTGACTCGTTCTCTGTCAGTGCCGTCAGTTTCACCGCGCTGTACGCATAGATTCAGGATATAGAATGCTATAGAATGATATAGAATGATATATCATGATGCAAAAAACTTTCAGACACTGCTCACTATAATAATTATATATCCCATCCCATCCCATCGCATCCTATCCTATCCATATTTTTCTCTCTCTCTCTCTCTCTCTCTGTCTGTCTGTCTGTCTATCTATCGATTCTATTCTACTGTATTCTATCCCATCTATCTATATTAATGCCCATCATTATCATTATTATCACCTCCAATCCATAGTCCCCCAGGAAGAACGGCTGCATGGCATCAGCCTCCTCGGGCAGCTGGTCCTGGGCTCTGGCGTCCTTCGTGCAACTCGTGGACGAAGCCCTGCGGCCTTCGGAGACGTCCTACGGCTGCGTGCCCTGGGCGAACAACGCAACGGGAGAACGGAGAAGGGAGGGTAGAACTTGCTTGTGCTGACAATGTTATGTGTATATTTATACGTATATATATATATAGAGAGAGAGAGAGCGTGTGTGTGTGTGTGTTTGTAGGTGGGTTTATTTAGCATGTATATCTGTATATTTGTTGTTTTTCTCTGGGGGTCGGTTTCCATGCCGCGCTGTTTGTTGGCTATATATATATATATGTATGTATATTGACGGAACTGATCAACAATGTATTGTTGTTGTTTCCTGGTTACCACTGTGGTATTTTTTTAATAGTCAAAAGTCGTGATTTTAGCTTTTGCTCAGATTTTGAGCTTGGCCTGTCTTTTTTTGGATGTTTCTCAGCTATTCCATGTGAAAAGCACATGACTCGCGTTTCCACATAAAGCGCAGGTGTTGATAAAATCTCTCCACCCCAGACCTTAATGATATCACCATGATGGCTTCAGATCACACCAGGTGGTGAATGCATGTGAGAAGGGACAGAGGTGGTCCCAAGCGATTTTGGTCTTTGCAGATGCTGGGACTTAGATTTGGCGCAATGACTTCGTTTCCCTCCTCCCAGGAGTAGTCCTCCAACCTATTTTCTCACACTCGATCCTGGTGGTTTTCAGAGGCTGTAAGTGTGAAGGTGTTGGACCTTGCAGTAGGTTTGGTCCCCCATAGCTTTTGTGCATTCTGAGATGCATGTGGGCTCCCAGCATACCAATCACATCAACGAACCAATGGGATATCGTGGAATCAAACATCAATGGACATCAACAGGGTGTGTTCCAGACAAGCCTGTTGATTCCACTTAATACACATATTTTATATATACAGTTTTATACACACGCACATCTAGATAGATTATTATAACGAACTCACTGCGACATCACTGGAATGATCATCAGTATATACCCAAATGGCCGCCTATTTTGGCGCAGTGACTTGTTCTTCTTTATCCAAAGCAATATGTAATAATCCTGAAGTAGATAGAATATGGGATGTTCGAAAACATTACCATGTTAGTGATGTTTTTTTATTTTTTAAACAAAGAATGACATTCTATCCACTTCAGTGATGAGAGAACACATCATTAATATAGATCAAGGATCTCAATATACATCATTTGTTGCATCAATAAATCAGCAAATAAATATAGGTATAATATATATATATATATGTGTGTGTGATTATATATGTACATGTTAAAAATCAAACAAATATTCATCCAAGATCTCCGGAGGAAGTCTTCAGCTGCGCCAGCTGCAACGCGGCCATGATGGCGTGTGCAGCCGGGGGTCAGTGGCAAGAAGCCTTGGGTGTCTCGGTCTCGGTGCTCCGTCTCGGTGCTCCAAGTGGCTGCAGAATGGGTGCCCTTTTTTTGTGGGTGAAATATGGGCAAAACATGGCAAAACATGGCAAAAACTCACCATTTGGGCCCTTAAAGATCCTTGAAAGATCCATGACTCGTGGGTTGAATCACCTATTTTTGTGGTTGATGTCGGTTGGATATTCCAAGGATTGTTGGTCAATGTCTTTGTTTCCTTCGGCGAATAGCAGTTTGATTCAAGCTTGACATAAGGCTCCAGGAAGAGATTGGCATTTGTAAGACAAGGGCTGGTTGCTGATGCAGTGATGCAGCATTTTAAAGTATTTTTTCAGCAGCTATCTTTCTCACAGTAGTTGGAATACTTTAAAGATCTTCAATCCATGAGAAGATCCGCGAGTATCGCAGGTTTGGTGGAGCTCTGCAACGGCTGCATGGATATCATTGGCATCAGTGCTGCCATTGCCACTTGGAGATGAGGCTGATGCTGATCATCCCAACACAGTTAGATCAGTTGTCATGGTTGGGATATGTTGGGATGATTATACTAACATAGTATATGTTGGAATTTACTACATGGTCATAGTGTATGTTGGAATTATACTAACATGATATGTTATGGTTATAGTATATGTTGGGATATAGTATATAGATCATAACATACAATGCTGATAGATGCTGATAGATTATCCCAATTAAAAGAACAAGTATGTTCCTAGCATTTGTTCAGTCAAATAGCCAAGGAATTTGCGGTCGTTCTACTGTGGGTTCGGAATTCGGAGATGTTCGGAGAATTTTAGTTTGGTGACCAGCAGTGGGCAGGTGGGTATAGTACTAGCCTGGCATTGTTCTTGCTCAATTCCGATTTTTGTGTCAGTTTAAGTTGTACGGAATGACTTCAATCGTCATTTACATAATATAACGACTCAACGACTTCAATGTTCGGTTCATTCATGGAATTTGTTGCATTTGTTGCTTAAATCATGCCGCTGCAGGCATGTGAGCGAGGAACTGCTGTACGGCTTCGTCATGTGATGTCCTTGCTGTCGCTGGCACAAGGACTCACTGTGGCCACGTTGAAACCGGCGCGGTGAAAAGCTGCTGCAATGTGCCGAAGGGTCGAAACTTCTGGTGCCAAAAATGGTCTTAGAAATGGTCGTGTTCGCTGAATTATCGCCAGTTTTTTGTTTTGGTCAAGGAGTTGGACATGAATCGTGATTGTACCCTCTGGTAAACTAACATAGCTATTGAAAATGGCCATAGAAATAGATGGTTTACCTAGCTGACCTAGCTATAAAATGGTGATTTTCCATGGCGAACTGTTAGTCATAACCAGATGGTAGATCTACGCAGAGTACACCGAACACTGTCCATTAATATGATTTCCGGGGGATTCAACAACAGAGTCACCCCATGTGGTGACTTAGCGGAGTAAAGCGCAATCAGGAGCAAGAATGGTGCAATCAGGAACAACAAACCTGGGAAAAACAATGGGGAATAATGGGGATACACCCTTGAATGTTATTTGTTGATGTTTATATGTTTGCTGCACGCTAAAGACTGCAATGCTCAGGGTAGAACATGGTAGCACTGAAATCGTACCCCGCGCTTCGAGCTTTCTTGGTGGCCTTTACTACAGAAATGGGACAGATGACCAATGTGTGGCAGGGTTTCTTTGACACCACTTCCAAATTCAGTGGTCAAACATGCCTCCTATACGCTTCGCTTCTGCTTTGGTATTATCACAGGAGAAACGCAGCATGAAGATGAATGAAGATGACAGAAAGGATTTGGAAGACCCAAACTACAGCAGAGTTTTCATAGAATTCAATGCTGGTGGATGTTTTCCTGTTTTAAAAACATAAAGTCGGGAAACATGTGTTGCTTTTATGCTCTTGAGGTGCCACCCAGTTGTGATGTGACCACATGGGTACCGTTTTTTGTGCTCCAAACTATTTATATGCTAACATTGGGGTATATTGATGGCATCCATGGTACCATATATAGCAGCACCATGGATCCTATTTTTTATGTACCCCAAGAGTCCTTCAACAACTTCTATGAGCTGAGTCGAGTGTCCAAAACTTCCCAGTTCTTGGGGCCAAACTATCTCGCCAGCTCATGATGCCATGGGCGGATCACAGACACGCGAAGAAGCAGAAGAGTTTCAGGATGATGCTTAATTACAGTGTCTTTAAACATGGGTCATGTTTTTGTTTATTTTGTTTCTTCTCCACCTCTATTTTGTAGGCTTTATTAAATGGTAGCCATCAAATGCCGCAAATAAATAGAAGATCACACATACCAACATGTCCAGGTCACAATATTGCGAATGTCCTGGTCATGTTTCAATTTTTCTTTTCTGCACGGTGTACAGTAGAAGGTATATGATGTTGTGCATTCAGCTTGTGGCTTGTGAATCTGTATGTGAAATTACGTCGTTTTGAATCGAATCGAATGTGGTTGCCACTGGATGTTTGTCCTATGTTTGGGTGTGGGACGGGGACCCCAGAAGAATCTACATGTTTGTTCATTTATACATGGAGGTTTCCTAAAAGAGGAGTATCCCAAATCATCTATGTTAAGCTGATTTTCCCTTATATATGTTATAAGCCATCCATTTTTATCATTTTGGTGCACCACCCATTTTAATAGGACACCCCCATAATGGTTCATAGTTGATTGAACTCATCCCAAGGGTTTCAGCTTCCGAGGACGTCTTCCCCTGGTTTCACTTGATCCAGTGGAGCGCGGAAGATGCCAAGAACAACTGCATCTTTCGTTACGATTTGAGCGGAGCACAGGAGACCCGTAGATTGTTGGGAGTCGCTGGGGTTGGGAGATGAAACGTTTCCCAAGTGGTTGAATCTTCCCAACTAGTTCAATATATATATATAATAAATATATAATATATAAAATATATATGTATAGGTTGGGAGAAGTTTCCTTCCACTGCGATTTTGGGACACTTCTTGGAACTCGTTGGTGGCTTCAATGATGTTTTTATCATGTGCCATCCTCATTGGGATGATAACCCAATTGGGGTACCCTGCGATACGGCATTAGAATGCATTAGTGACGATATCCCCTTTACCATTAGAAAAACATAATAACATTTATAAATCTATATAGCGACCGACTTACACTTAGAAACCATTTTCCAAAATTTTGGACCAAACACTGCAAAACTCCCAACTTTCAGTTTTTCAGTTTCTAAGTGTTGATTTGTGTAGAATAACAGAAACCCACCAATTAGACATGCCCTCAACACTTAGGCACCTTCTTTGGGGTTATGTTTGCTCCAAAATGTGGGTCGGTTACTATATCTGAACAAACACATATAATTAATACATATATACACGACACACAGGCACCGCACATGTATGTATATATGTATACATATATATATATATATATATATATACACATGTTGTATATTTACATATCTTTTGAAAAAACAATCTATCAATAAATGTGTATGTATGTGGACACAAGGCATACAAGGAACTGAACTCACGAAGTGGTTGACCTCGGACTTGCCATTGGAGTCTGTTGAGGTAGGAGTTGCTGGTGCAGCATTAAGCAGGTGCTGTGACTTTCCCAGTATTGAAGTCATAGTGAACATCTTCCCAGTGAGCTCTTGGTCCATTTCCAACTTCATGTTCAGACCATTCGTCCCATTCATTCAAGAACTCTTGTCCATCATCATCACTTGGGACGTTTGTGCTCGTTTCACTTGGTGCTGATGGGGATGTGGCATCACGCTTCTTGATGTCGTCAGTGAAAATTATGATGATTTGTTTCTAAGTGTTGAATTGTTTGTTTTCTAAGTGTACACTTAGAAACTGGTCAATATTGATTTGCCGATATTTTTTCATTTTATCCAAAATTGTTTCTAACTGTAACTCGGTCGCTATAGATGGTTGTTAAGTCAAAAGGTTGAAAAGTTGGGAGCCATGAATTCAGTGAATGATTTGTCTTCTAAATACGGTTGCATTATGGGTAATTACTTAATAATAATATCATGGTACATTAACGTATACACATGTGTAGATCACCCATCCCCCTAGCCTCTTGACTCCTAAGGTCCTAAACATTCCCTTAATACTGTGGATGGTTGCGAAATCCTGCGCCGGTTGATAGGTGGTAAACATCGCATTATTTATAGCCGGTTGGTGGTTTGGAACATGAATTTTATGACTTTCCATTCAGTTGGGAATTTCATCATCGCAACTGACTTTCAGTCCATCATTTTTCAGAGCGGTAGGGCTCAACCACCAACCAGATAAATATATATATATATATATCCATATACTGGACATAGCATGATACCATATATATATATATAAATATAAATATCCATATAATCACCATAGAATACCATAAATATATGTATAAATAGCTGAAGCATCCACAGTATGTATGGCCAAAGATGTTGGGTCATCCCCTTTCGCCGCAAGGAGAAGGCCAAGGCGCTCACCAAAGATGTGGACAGCTTTCTGCGCCTTTGCCCCTGCGGCCTGCCACAGGCAGGGCTCAACATCCAACATGTGACAGGTGGTTTTAGGTGAAGAAAAAGGAGAACATGATGCTGAAAACATAAAAAAATGTCGAACTGAACAAGATCTGGAACATTTGGGGGAAAACACATATATATAGATATATAGATGCAATACTAAAAGATGCAGCAGTAACTCATTCGTGAACATTGGTGGTTTTGACTATCCAAAATCACAGCTTGAAAAATGGGCTATACAAAAGTAGAGGAGCAGAGTCGACTTGTGAGTTGGATGATCAAGATGTGCGATGCTTGCCAAGCGAATTGTCTTTTTTTTTTTGGCTTGAACCAACGTGAAACTGTTTTGTTAGAAACTTATAAAGCATCCGGGTCCCTGCACTTTCAGGTCATGTGACCTCTATGATGCACAAACAAAACTGCCAGCTGTGAGCAAAGTTATGCGGGTGACGTGCACATAGGCAAATTGAAGTTGCAGTTTTTTTGGTGACACAATCCTGTTATTGATGGCCCTTAACATCATACCAATATATATATATATATACACCAATCATAATCCCATCCCCCTGACATGAAACACTGCTTAAGTGGTTTCAGATATGTCTAACAGTGTAATTACATGAATCCCCAATGTTAATTAAACCCCATTGCCATTGGTTCCATGTTTTCTGGATATGTTTAAAAGAAATGAACGGGAGATTGCGGGAGATGGGATTCCCTTAATACTGTGGATGGTTGCGAAATCCTGCACCGGTTGATAGGTGGTAAACATCGCATTATTTATAGCTGGTTGGTGGTTTGGAACATGAATTTTATGACTTCCCAACTGACGAAGTCCATCATTTTTCAGAGGGGTAGGGCTCAACCACCAACCAGATTATTAACCATCATTAACCATACAATAACCATGTAATAACCATATATTAACCACATATATTTCAACCATCGGTGGCGCAGGATTCCGGCTTCAGCATGGAGGACGACACCAACTTCGCGGAATGGGCTGGAGCACTGCTGGAATGGAACTCCGAGCTACGTATGGTGCGCTTCCAGTTCCTTGGGGAATGACGAGGAACATGGGAAGGAGATGTTCAAAATGGGAAGCACATGAAACATGGTTCATCCCAATTTTCCCTAAAGTATCATTTAATATCATTTTTAGATCTTATTGTATTATATTAATTATATTACATTATGTCATGTTACATTCTATTATATTATGTTCGATTAACATATGTCATATCATATTATATTATGCTAAATTGTATTGTATCATATCATGTTATTTTATTTTACATTATATTGAACATTTTATGTCATATATATAATAATAATTGAATATAATATAGTATGACTATATCATAGGAGTTGCTATAAAAATCCGGGTAATTTTTCATGCCTTTCGGGATGGCATCCACCAGCCAGTTGTCGCTTCATACAGAAAAATTCTCCGTTCACCATGGGTAATTTTTATTGCCCAAACTGTTTGTCATTCCAGTTATACCCATCAATAAAGCATTGATAGATGACGGTGTTCCATCATTTTTCCCATGACTTTTTCCCATGTGTTTCCCAAGGGATTTCTCCATCAGTCAGCACGGCCGAGGTTGGTGCCCCGCCGCTTTAGTGAGAAGACCTTCTGGAGCCGTTACTTCGCGGCGCTGCGGCGTGAAATTCAGCAGCTCATCTTTGGGGAGGACCCGGAGGACGCTGGATAACTGGGATTGGACAGATGTTTGAAGGGTGGCAGGCTATATAAACTATGCAACCCATGGTGCTGGTATATTTAGCTACAAAACTGGGTGATTCATGTTGGGCAAATGTTGGTAAATATTCCAGCACCAGGGAGCATATTTTGGAAACGATGTATAAAAAAAATGTGAAAGGCTCTGGCTTTGATCTGGTTTTATGAATGACTGCAGGACTGCAGGGGTTTATTTTTGCATTCGGTTTCCTTGTTCCCAGCATGCACAACTTGGTTTGCAAACCTGTTGAGTACTCATGACACCAACCCACTCGTGTCAGGAGGACCCAGAGGAGTTAGAGACGGAACCACCGATCCATCCGTGACGGTCGCGTCGAAGCACAGGGGCGCTGCCATGATCAAAAGACAGCCGCAGTGGTGCAGTGGGAATCGTGGCTTACTCGTGGCCGGTGATAATGTGATATAATGGGGCAAACCAAAGAGTAAGTCATGGATGTCATCTTTATCTCATTTAGTTTCTAAAGAAAGTCTTTGAATAATGAATAATTATATATGAATGAATATTTTTCATGCCATTGGCCAATGGTTTCACAACATTCACAACATGTTGGCCAGATCTCATCAGTATCCCGTAGCATTTAAGGGTCTATTTCGGTCTTAGGTCACGTCATGGTGACATTACCTGCCTTGCAAATGAAATAGCAAGAGTAAGATTGTAAGCAAATAACAGCAACAAAATGTATGCAGATAACATTAGATAACATCACAGTACACAAATTCCTTGAGGTTTGGATGAAGGAAAATTGAGTTCCATCATCCATCCATCATCCATGTGCCTTGATTATCACAGATCGCCAGCAGTTTAACGTCGTGATCCTGTGCATCCTGCCAAGCAGCATGCCATGAACACTTCAGCTCTGGAGGTCGGGGGGTCGAGCCACTGACGCTGGTTTTTACAGGTCACAATATACTGGACCCAAACCCCAGGGTTTACCTATGATTTACTTGAATTGATTATTCAAATGATTAAAATATGAGGGTATACTCCGTTTTCAGGCAAGCCCATGTTGGTCAAACTCCTTCAAGTTTTTTTTTGCGTCTTCAACGTGATTTTTGGCAGAGATTGCGAATATATGCTAATCAGATCTAATTACTCAGAATATTAGCCCTATATGGATGTATCGGGAATGGGGTATCACTTTCCAAGCCTTTTCCGGTAAATGTTTTTTAGTGACAGTCGCTAGCTTCTTTTCAGCATCCCAAGGTGATCTTGAACAGCACCCACAGGCTACTCCTTCAGATACCCAGTTGTTTGGATGATGGGAAAATTCACTTAAGATTACCAGTAAAAACATGTACGCTTCAACCCTGACGTTGCTCCGCGTCTGACTTCAGGTGGCTATGAAGATAAAGTTGATGTTATTACCCGAGTCAACATATTGTTCATAAGGGGTGGCAAATTTTGATCCCTTATGAAGATGATGATGTTATTACCCCAATCAACATATTGCTCATAAGGGGGTGGCGAATTTTGACCCCTTATGAAGATAAAGATGATGTTATTACCCCAATCAACATATTGCTCATAGGGGGTGGCAAATTTTGATCCCTTATGAAGACAAAGATGATGTTATTACCCCAATCAACATATTGCTCATAGGGGGTGGCAAATTTTGATCCCTCATGGAGATGTAGTTGATGCCATTACCCCAATCAACATATTGCTCATAGGGGGTGGCAAATTTTGATCCCTCATGGAGACAAAGATGATGTTATTACCCCAATCAACATATTGCTCATAGGGGGTGGCAAATTTTGATCCCTCATGGAGATGTAGTTGATGCCATTACCCCAATCAACATATTGCTCATAGGGGGTGGCAAATTTTGATCCCTCATGGAGATATAGTTGGTGTTATGACTCATGACCCCAATCAACATATTGTTCAGAGAGGGTGGCGAATTTTGACCCCTTATGAAGATAAAGATGATGTTATTACCCCAATCAACATATTGCTCATAGGGGGTGGCAAATTTTGATCCCTCATGGAGATATAGTTGATGCCATTACCCCAATCAACATATTGCTCATAGGGAGTGGCAAATTTTGATCCCTCATGGGGATATAGTTGGTGTTATGACTCATGACCCCAATCAACATATTGTTCAGAGGGGGTGGCAAAATATGACCCCTCATGAAGATAAGGATGATGATCATGATGATGGTGATGATCATGACGGCTTGGGGCGAACATGTAAAAACCCCATGGTTTCCTTGAGATACCCTCTGGTTATGACTAACATAGCTATAGAAAATCAGCATTTTTAATAGGTAAACCATCTATAAATGGGCCATTTTCCATGGCTATTTTAAATAACCAGAGGGTATTCCGAACCAAAGCAGTGATTCACTGATCCTTGGATTTGCGCCGCCATCCATGAGGCCGCCTGGCACGTGGACTTCTTGGAGCAGAATGCCTTGCAGCGACAGAAGCGGCTGCCAGGGAAGCCCAGTGCCAGTTTCTATGCGGAGGTTTCCTAAGATATAGCGGAACCCCCCAGTCATCAGTCATTGTCATCCATTTATTCATGCGGATTTTCCCTTATATATAAACATTTATAAACATCCATTTATAGATGGGAAATTATGGGATTTTAATGTTTACCTTATAATACCATCCAGCTAGTGCGGTACCCCCCATTTTCTGGAAACCTCCATGTCATGTCAGGAGAGTGCCATGTTGATCTTTCCCCCGCAGTATCAAGTCCTCCATATGCCCTCAAAGTGAAGAGATCAAGTACTAAACCAGGATTCCTAGAGAAGTATTGAATACTAGGAAGGGAGTAGTAGATTTTAGAAGCACAAAATACACCTGGGGGGAGAATGCTTGAAAAAATCATCAACCAGAGTTTCTGAATCCACGGTTGACAGTTCCCTTACCCAGCAATCTGGCAATGGAAAATGTCTCATTGATCTCTAGTGATAATCATATTGGCTCTTGAGAAATCCAACAGATGTTGTTTTTTTATGATTTATCCATTGCAGTGCCGGGGTAGATGATCTGAGGGCAAGTAATATATATATATATAGTATTGTAATCTTTGGGTGAAGGGTAGGTCAAACACGTTTAACTTGAAGCCATTTCAAACCAGTTTTATGTTTAGTGCCTGCATGGTTAGATATTGTAAAACTCCCAGCAGGTGTGAATCCCATTTGCCACTGGGTCCCTGCCTCCATGTCTACCAAGGCGTTCCAGGGCCCTTTTGTCTTTGGCCCTTTTGGCGGAACCCATGGAGAGGCTGGCTTTGCCGCACGGGATTTGGATCGCATACCTTGGGACTTGTGTTTCAAGTTTCACGGCTGATACATGCTAAGACGCTCAAGTCTGACTCAGCCAAGTCAGCATACCAGAAGACTCCTTCGCGGATGCCCTTGGCATTTTTTAGAAATACAGGATGACCCAGAGATGAATCAGGATTATGTGTTCATCTTTCATTTGGTGGATGTGTCCCAAACTTGTCATGTTTATTACCTACAGCCGGATGCGTAACAAAACACACTTCTGAATGGACCTCGATGTCAACTGTGTTTCTTGGATCCCTGCAAGAACTAATGATGTGCAACCACAAGTCTTGTACAAAGCAAGCTTAAGGACGAGTCCAAAATCTCTTTCTCTCTCTCTTTCTCTCTCTCTTTCTCTCTCTCTCTCTCTCTGTCTCTCCCCCTCTATATGTATATTATAATATTTATAATGTACTACAATTAATATATATTTATATGTATATAATACTGTTTTTTATATATGCATGGTGCAATACATTTGATATATAATATATATATAGATATAATATAATATATAAGAAATATATAAATAAATAAAGGAAAACAACATCGTATTTATTTGACATTAAATATCCGCATGCGTGCGTGTGTATTATGTCCTCGTGCTGAGCGTTTTTTGTGTTTTCTGTATCTTTTACAACAGCTGTCCGTAGTTGTCCTCCCAGGCAATGGCGAGCTTTGAACTCAGGGAAGGGACAGCCGTGGCCATGACTAGGGATGGGTTGGTTTATGGCACCACATCAGTAAACACTACAGTAAACTATGAGGAAACACTACTAACCTATACTAACCTTGGTTTAACTAATATTGGATCTATTTATGAGGTCCAAATTGGTGATTGTTTTAGAATGGTGCCATTTGCGAAGCTTTCTCGCTCAGGGTTAATCCCCGAAGCCAACATGGACCTATCAGCGATCCCTTTCTAGCACGCGTTTTTTTTTCCGGATGGCAGCGCGCCCTTGAAAACAGAATTGCTGGTTAGGACCTACCGTAGATGGACGAAATATTCAAACCCCTTCTATCCGGATCTATCCGGTACAACCCCCTCGCCCCCAAAGTTCAATGTTAATGTAACCTGAAGTGCATTAGCCCCAATGGACGAAAAAAATCAAACCCCTAACATCACTTTTGCTAACACGCGCGCTGAAACATTGAGATTTGGGGGTGCGGGGGTTCAACATAGTGCGTGCAGGGTTTGAATATTTTGTCAATCTACTGTATGTCACTGTATACATGGTTGGTTGGGGCTGGCCCCGGTATGGGCTTATGCCATTGATGTCATGAAGGATTGCACTTGAGTTTTGACATTCCAGTTCTAAGCGGAGAGTCCTAAGGCAAAATAATTTCATTGCTTTCCGTTTCCTTGATCTTACTGGTGCTAAACGTAGGGAATTTTCGGGAATGATCCCAGTCATCACTAGTAATGTCATCATCCCAGCAACCCCCAGCAACCCATCCATTTCTAATGGATCATTTCACCTGGATTTCTTGGGCTCAGTCACCATGTCTCCCAATGCAGGGTCGTAATGGGGGGCACCCAACCCATTGGGGCGGAAGGGGGTACCGGGTGGTATATGCATTATTTTACATTATTATATTACTGTATATGGTACATGATGGTACCATATGTAGAATGATATATTGACAATTATTGACATCTAGCTATCTATCCATCTATCCATCTATCCATATATCCATCTATCCATCTATCCATCTATCCATCTATCCATCTATCCATCTATCTATCTGTCTATCTGTCTATCTGTCTATCTATCTATCTATCTATCTATCTATCCATCTATCCATCTATCCATCTATCCATCTATCCATCTATCCATCTATCCATCTATCCATCTATCCATCTATCCTTCTATCCGTCTATCCATCTATCTATCTATCTATCCATCTATCCATCTATCTATCCATCCATCTGTCTATCTATCTATCTATCGATCGATCGATCTATCTATCTATCCATCTATCTATCTATCTATCTATCTATCTGTATATCTATCTATCCATCTATCCATCTATCGATCTATCCATCTATCCATCTATCCAT